ATTTTTTTTTTTCAAAAATTTATACCAATTTTTCAATTTTTTTTTTTTTTTCCTTTGGATTTTTTTTTTTTTTTTTTTTTTTTTTTTTGGCCTCAAATCCCAGGGGGGGCAGCTGCCCCCCCCCCCCCCCGCCCCCCCCGGAGGCTACGGCCCTGCACACTGTGTGCCTAGTAGTCTATTAATACCAGACCGTGTCCAACTGCCAAGTGAGCGTTTGGGAAGACAGCTCACACTGCGATGTGCAACTTATTTCTTATGCAAATTAGTCATCAAAACGCCAGAAGTGTCAACTGGGATGTGACAATGGGGTTACGTGGTAAATGACTGTGGTTTTTATTCAGCATGGAGTTTTTAAAAATACACATACCAGGTAGGCCTACATTGTAACGTACGTACCGTACCAAATGATAGGCCTAACGTTATCTTAATATCATTCTGTACAATAAGCAGAATGGTCTGCGTACCTAAACGTAACATCAGGTACAGGTACAGGTACCGGTACAGAGGTTTAAGTCCAGGTCTGGACCTGAACCTGTACCTGAACCAGTGTTCGGGTGTCCCATGGAGGACCGAAGGCCCAATAGCGAGCGGTAGAGCCGCGAGCTTCCTGGGGGAGGGGGGTTCGAGGCATGATCCCCCAGGAAATTTTGAAATTTTTAACCATTTTAAACGCCATTTTCGGCATTTTGAGAGGCATATAATTGTTCATAAAGGTAAGTTTATTTTACGACAGCGTAAATGTGTTGATATGTTGGACGTTCCGCCGCTGCACTGGTAACATTACAGAGGTTGCACCGTGCGTTCTGGCCCCCTAGCTAACGGCTTAGCGATTCCTATCAGTCTGCGAAGGATAGGCCTACCTATGGAAGCCGTCTGGTGTCATGTTAAAAAAATTATTATCTCGCAATTTTGAGGTAGTATTTGAAATTTGGACAAAAAAATATTATCTCGAAATTTCCAGATAATTTTTTTAACATGACACCAGTCGGCTTCCATACCTACCGGCAGGGCCTTTATCAGACAAAGGCGGGTCCAAATGGAAGGGGGGGGGGTTAAAATGGTAAAATATTTAAATCATTGTCCCGCCCACATGCTTAAATATGGAAAGAAGAGACCCACAAAATCAGCTAAATCATGGTTCACCCACTCCCATTAAGTAATAAGATCTAATAAGGGGGAGTGGAATGTCGCCGCACTTTAAGACATCACAATTAAACCCCTTAACATAGTCTGACCCACAATTGGTAGGCCTTTTGTACCATCTACTACCAGGGCGACAGATTGATCTTCCACAGATATTCACAGATATGTCTATAGATAAATAGTCATTTTGGCTCTCAGCAAAAAATGTCCACAATAATAACTGCGGCCCTGGTAGAGGGTAGGCCCTTTGCCCGGTTAGTGCAGGTACACTAGAACCGGAAAGAAGCCGTACAAAAGTCAACACTACTGCATCGTCATTTGTTAATACGTGGACAGCGTCCATCGTGCCTATGAGTCGTCTGGGGTAAACAAAAACATTTGCGTCACTCTTTCGGCTCGTTTCCTCTTTTTAAGTCCAGTTGGTGACTTCATATGCCGTGGTCGTGATATCATCTCTTGAAAGTTAAGGCCTTTATAAGCGAACTTTTAGTTTTAGGACTAATGCAGCACGACTGCGGGAACTGATAAAAAACTTGCGTCACCAGTACATATACCGGTAAGAGTTGGCCTACAGCTTTACAGGAGGTGTCAAAGGCATTTTACCAACGCCTTTTATCGTTTGTGGAAATTTTACATGAGGTCAGAGGTACGTTCATTTGTCTAAAGTCATGTTATTATTATTTGTCAATGTAGATGTAGTAGTACGTTATTCATGGCTTTTATTAGTATTATACCTGTGTAGCAAATTGAACGATATATAGAAACCATACACCTGTAGGTCAGTTAAATCGCGCGTGCGTGTCACCTAGACCGTGATCTTGAGTAAATCGTGGTAGACTTGATAGCTAGGGCATTTGAGTTGCATTGTGGTTGGCTAGTGTGGTAAATTAAAGTAGTTTTTGTGGTTCTTAGAAACATTGGCTGATCAAGTTGACAGTTCATTTGCACCAACTGTTATTGCCTGTTACACGGTACAGAGGGATCTACATGTAGTATGTGTGTGTGTGTGTGTCAAATAAGCCATATAGTCTTATAGATCTACATTTTAAATTTGCCCAATATATAACTTGTTAAGGCTGTTGTGTATATTTAAGCCTACATGTATTTACATTGAACATGGGAACACTTGCCAGAAAGAAATATTAATATGGTACCATTGATTTTGTTATTAGGTAAATGTCACATGCCCAACATTTTTATATTTACCAGGTATATTAACAAAAGATGGAAATAGTAGATTACGTGATTGGTCTAGATGTGAAGACGGTAGTTGTTGCCAGCCTGGCATTTCTTCTAGCCATGGTGTATCTAAGACGGAGGAAGGGGAATCTACCACCTGGACCCATGCAAGTGCCTTTTCTTGGAAGCATTTTCGGTAAATTGCTTAACCTAATTCTTCCTTATATCGGGGGGAGGGGTGGGGCAATTTCAGTGGATTGTGCAAGTATATGTAAGTATGAGGCAGTTACATGTAGTAGAAAAGATGTGATATGTGGTACTTTTTGCCACCATAAAATAATAGTTTTAGCCTTATTATACACATATCCTGTAGATTTTAAAATGATTTTTGAGCTGTTCTTAGAGAAGATCGAGTTTGGCATAATTTTACAGCGTGCATATCAAAATTCTTGATTAATTTTTTTGCAGCTCTCAATAAGGATGTTAGACTGTTCAAGGTGTGTGAAGAACTGGCAAAAACATATGGTGAAATGACAACAGTTAGCTTAGGCAAGTCAAGCTTCAAACTATTCATATTTATTTATTATTCTTTTATTTATTATTATTCATTTATTATATTATTATTATTATTCATATTTATTGGGATAGTCAAAACTAATCTAATTAATATCTTTTTGTAAAATAGCATATAACTAATACTATGCAATTGACATCATGACAGACAAATTCTTAACTTGAGATGGGAGGGAACTTTCTCAAAAATTGTACAATGTACATTGCATCAAATTTGGTCCATCAAGTTTGGTCTTACATGTATCAGCTGTTTAAAGATGCATTTAAAGTCATATTTTTACCACAAAATCTGACCCAGTGCCACCATATAGTTTTAAATTGTTTAATTTAGAGAAATATTAAAGGGCATCATTCATATTTCCACAAAATGATATTTGAACAGATATTTTCTGTTTTCCTTACGTGTGTGTGTGTGTGTGTGTGTGTGTGTGTGTGTGTGTGGCTTTACAATAATATATTATGTGGGAGAGGAGTGAGAGTGATGATTATGCAATGCACGTGCAGTGCTACTGTATGTCATTTATGGGACTTTAACAAACTGGAGGAATGGATAAATATTTTGAAATCAATTTACAACCAAAAGTTGAAGCAGGTGTTGTTTTGAAACTTTGGGAGGGGGGCAGAACAGGGGATTAATTTTGTTAATGACATGGCATGTCGACTTTATTTTAGTCATATAAGAAACTAGTGGAAGTGGTTTATATACCTTATCGGCATCCACACTTGCTTTATATGTATTATAACTTTTAAAATGTTATCCTTTCTTTTCAGGGTTGGCACTGGAGAATCTTGTTGTTTTGAACTCTGCAGACGTGGTTCATGAAGCTTTTGTAGAGAAGAAAGAAATACTGGCAGGAAGAGATACAAGTATTTGGTCATGTAAGTATTTGTAAAAAGTACAATTATTAGATGTAATTTTACCTTGCTGAAGGTACATGTAACTGATTATGGCTAATATTGTAGCTGGAGGTCACCTCAGGGATACGAGGTCATGGGTCTGATCTCCATCATATAGCACTTAATATTGAAGGGTGTTTTGAAGCAGAGAGTTGAATGCATAACTTCAAATTAAATGTGTCCAGTTTGGTAGCACTACTTTAGTATACTGGTTTATAATAGTGGACAAAAAAATTTGGGAATGTGCATTAATTTTATCTGTATACTGGTAGTTGATACTTACAATCTGTACAAAACTCTTATCAAATCAACCTTATTGTCCACAACTTCTACAGTCAAAATGACTAAGGTGGCTATTGTGAACTTTGTTCAGTCAATTTCATATTAATTACAAGCAATGTGGTTTTTATAGCTGATAATCTTTTTTTCCTTTTCTTACAGTTGATTAACCCTACTGAAGGTTTTGAAGATAAAGTATTTGGTGAATTTGGTCCAATATGGAAGCTGATATTTATTGATAAATTATTATCTTTTTCTTACAGTTGGCTTCTTTACTGAAGGATTTAAAGATATAGCATTTGGTGACTTTGGTCCAAGCTGGAAGCTTCAAAGAAAATTGGCACTTAAAGCTATCAGGTACATGTACTTCTGTATAGCTTATGACTCAGAAGACCAAGAATAAAGCTATTTGATGAAATGGGGTTTTCATTGTCTCTTGTGCCATACATTGTACATCAGTTCTGAAGAGATAAACATGTTTTTCTGTTAAGTTCCTGTAAAGTTCTCAAGAAATTTGACTTTGTTTGTTTAGGTTCAAAACTTTGCTTTTTCTTTTCAAAGTTTATGAGAAAATACTACATTTACATAATATTTTTTTCCACATATTTATATTAATGCCATATACTGTTAACATTGTGTGCAGAATGATGAATGAGAATATTGGTAGATAGCTGTATTTTAATGGTTTTGCAGGACATATGCCATGGGGACTAAGTTGGAGCAACTATTGAAGTCCTCCTACAGTGATGTGGCAGCTTTATTGGAGAAAGAGAAAGAACCTTTTTACTTTGGGGAGTACATACATTTAATGCTGTATAACATTATCTGTAGAATGGCATTTGGAAAAAGGTAAGAACAGTAATAACAGTTAATGCACCTCAGAGACTTTCATTGTGACATATATATATAGCAAAAATATTATTGAAACTAAATTTCTGCAATTTTGCATTAATAAAGGGTATATCCTATCCAGAATTGTTGGTACAATTTCCATTTATAAAGCAAGACTGTTGGTAAATTGATTTCCTGATTACTAATCTTTTCAGTCTGAAGAGTAAAATTCACCAGCATTACTAGGTTAAAAATATACTATTTATGAAAACTATCCTTCTCAGTAAATATCTTAAAAATATGTTTCCATTTAAGAGGCACAACAAACACACATTCAAATACCAATTTGATTAATTGTTGTTATTTTTTAGCTACAAAATTGATGACCCGGAGTTTCTTCAGTGGAGAAAATTACTAACCTTGATGGTAGAAGATTATTTCCAAAGTTTTCTACCACCAGATTTGCTACCTCTGCTGGAGCATGCACCAATAAAAAGAGTAGCTTCGTTTAAAAAGAGTGTCAAGGAATTGCATGGAATAGTCTATAAGAAATTAAAAGAGCACAAGGCAACTTTTGATCCAGGTAATTCATGTTTTCTTTAGGTGTTTTAATGTCCTTAGGCACCATTTCAAATGTCCATTCTATTTCAGTACTCCAGTATATTGCTTTTTAGAAACATTTGTTTTTTTTTATATAGTACAGTATGTGCAAACAATTTACTTTTGAGTTTAGTTGAGTTTTTTATTCCACCTGTAATATGTGGTTATTTCTTAAATTTCTTGTTTGCTTCACTCATTCTTTGTTCTACTTTTTCAAGATGTGTACTTTTTCAGTTGCCCATGAAAATGTTCTCTCTGATGTGAAGTCATCTCACTTTCAGAACTGAATGTATGCAATACATAAAATTGTTTTGGAGAATATGACATACTGATTTTGTTCAACTTTGATAAATGATTCCTGTTCCTTTTGATGTACAGATGCTGCTCCACGTGACCTAATGGATCAGCTGCTTTTAGCACAAAAAGAGTCTGAAGAGGAGGAAGGTGAAGATACTAAGAACTTGCTGACAGACACACATGTTGTGCAGACTGTATTAGATGTGTTTTTTGGTATGAATTTGAAATCCTCATTATGAGAGAAGATAGTTTTGATGGAATAACTAAATTTCTAATTACATGTTACTCTTTCACTAGGGGAAAATTTAGATATTATTTATGTATTTCAATCTCAATTTTAGAATATGAATAAGCAACCTGTAATTTTTATCATTGACTCTTTAATTTGTCATTTTTAATTCCTAATTTGTCATTTTAGCTGTTCATAAATTGCTATATTTAGCTTTTAATTGAACACCAATTGAATTTTTAATTGGAATTCTATATACAAATAAATTATTATTATTTTTTAGCTGGAACAGAAACCTCCTCAGAAACCCTGAAATGGACACTTATGTATACAGCAGCTTATCCAGATGTTCAGGAAAAGATGCACAATGAAATATTGGATGTTTTAGGTGAATGGTTTAAGCCAAATTGGCATATTCTTTGTATTGAAATAGGGAAAATTGTACTAACATTTTACCATAGTGTAGTTACATATGTGAATGGTAAAAAAATCTGACAAAATCTCATTGCGCCAAGAAATAGTTATGAATATCAATTTTGACAACTGAAATAAAGAATAAATTGTGCAAAAATTATATGAATAATTATCAAGGTGAAGTTGTCATTGGTCTTGCAGAAAAAAGTGTCAAAGAACAGGATTAAAATCATTTTCATGGAAATTGTCTATATTTTTCTACCAATCAGTTTTTACAGCAAACATTTATCCCATGTACCAGTTGCTGCTTCTGCAATAGCATGTGCCATTCAGAGTTTTATTTTTGATACATGTACCAATTTTTTGCTGTATCTTTGTTTCTATAACAGGAGGCAGTGATGACCTTCTCAAAAGCAAATCCAAGTTAACATACTGTGATGCTGTTTTGCATGAAGTGATGAGACTGAGGCCAGCAGTCCCAATGTCTCTGTTTCACAAAGTCCTGCAAGATACAAAACTGGGTAAGTCTACTGGCGATCTAGGAAAACTTTTTGGTGTATCTTTAATATATATGTATAATTAAAGTTAGAGATAAAAAAAATCATTTCTTAAAAGACTAAACATGTTTTGCTTACCTGGGAGCCATTACATTTCAATTAATCAAATTAAATTTTTTTTTGATCATTTGATGTGCAGTATTCATTATTTCTTCAAGGAAAGTATGATTTGCCGAAGGGAACCATTGTCACTCCAAACATATGGGGAATACACCATGATCCCGCAAACTGGGATTCACCAGAAGAATTCAGACCAGAAAGGTTCTTAGATGAACATGGCAACATACATGTGGATTCTAAGATATGGCTTCCATTCTCCAGTGGGAAGAGAAAATGTCTTGGGGAAGCCCTGGCCAAATCTGACATAATGATGATCATGGTGTGTACCCTTTGGATAAATGAAGTTTTTTTGACTGCACAACAGTATCTAGGACATCTTCACCTCCCCCCCCCCTCCTCCAGAAATACTACCGTTCTTTTTGTTACATTTATCTTTAAATAGAAATTACTTTATTAAAAAAATCATGGGTAGATTTTTGTGTCAGAATTGAATTTTTTAACCTAAATACACCATATTTTAAATATCTGACCTGCATTACATGCCAAAAACATCAGAATTTAACATCATTTTGGCAGGATCATGATGAAAAGAGATAGAAATGAATATTGCATTCAAAACAAAATACAATTTAAATGTTCCAGAATATTTATGGACATATTTTTACAATAGTTTTCATGTTTTGATAAAATTTGATTCAGGAAAACCATTTTAACTACATCTTTGGTGTTGATAATATTCTGTCTTGATTTTGATGATTATTTACATGATTTGACTGTTTGTTTTTTGTTTCATCAGGCTTTGTTTTTCCGGGACTTCAAAGTGAGCTTTCCACCCAATGTTACAGGAGACTTCGAACCTGCAGATAAAATCATTGACTGCCACTGTAAACGTCAGAAACTGATTATTGAAAAGAGGAAAGGCTAGATTTACACACACACACACACACACACACACACACACAATAACATATATAATACTGTATGAGTATTCCAGGACATGAATAATTTTATATTAAATCTTTTTTATTAACATCAGATCATGGTCTCCATTTACATCTAAATGTATAAATATGAATATAATAACCATTAAAAAATTTGCTATAAAACAACTATGGATATTGGATGGAGTAACATGTTGATACACCATGTTCCAATCATGTATTGATAATTGTAGAAATACTTGACTAAATCTAACCACTGCTATGGCACTCGATTAAATGTTGGTAACTACGATACATTACATTTGTAAAGTACAAGAACTTGAAGGGTAAATATCAAGACAATACATGGTGGAGCTGAACACAAAGGAACCAAAAACACTGGCATCAAAGGAGCAATTGACTACAAATTTGGTTTTTCTAGGCAGAACTTTAGACATACATTTCAAACCATTTAGTGGATTTTTTGCGATGCTTACATTTAATTTAATTAAGACACACTGTTTAGTACCTTCTCTTTTATTAAGAAACACATCAGTACATTAAATTATGTACACAATATGACATGTTTATCGGTTTTTCTTTTAAGCCTCCAACTGTGACACTCTGGGGGTCTAGGAGTAACATGCTAAGTAATGACAGTTTACAGTATATCCATTTAATTTTTTGCAACGGGATATATACATTAACAAATATTTTGGTGCAATTTCACCATTGGGCCTATATTAATCACTTGGGTGCCATTAAAACTTTGATTATCACATAAGTACCAATGAACAATAACAGGATCGATGGATCATGTGCAAACGTAAACACACATAGAAATAGAATTCAGTGTAAAAAATAATGACATTTACCATTAAAGGTTATAGAATGAGATTTAAAACTTTGGAAAATATACAGGCCCGTAGTCAGGGGGGGTTCGGGGGGTTCGAAAGAACCGCCCCTTTTGGTGGGAAAAGGTTCACTCTGGGTAAAATTTGATCTAGGTTCATGAAGTTTTTATGGAAAAAGGTCCACTTTTTCAGAAAAAGAACCCCCCTTTTGAAATTGCTGGCTACGGGCCTGATATAGTACATAATTAATCACATCTTTAATGTGTACTACTAATTAAGGCTGCTGCATTTGATCTCAGAAACATTGTCGAGACTCAGTCGTTATACTGTATATATTTATAAGAATATCAAAAATATATATACAATATGTGTTCTTAAAAATATATATTTAATATATTAACAAAAGTAAAGTTCAAATCTAATACATCTCTTAAGGGTGTTGTTACCTTTTATTATCATCCAGATACCAAAAATGAGGTTTTTCCTGCATCTATAATTTGACAATAATGCATCTATTTTGCGCTGATTTAAAACAATAAAAAACTCACGAAAATGTAAGATATCGACCTTTATATTTCTCGTTGCAATGTATAAGCATAGTTAATCGTCAATTTAACACTTCTAGTGTATTTTGAGGTAAGACACGTAGCAATCATTATGGGGCGTAACTTCAACCCTGAACAAGATTTTTTCACGAAAATTGGCAGCATTGACCACGAGTATATGAGCTACAATCCCGTGCCGTCATTTTGGTTTAAATGCTTTTTTTTATGGAGTTATGAGCTCTTAATTACATATTTTCACAAAAGAAAGGCATTATTGTACCACCAGCGTTAGCGCTGGCGGTACACATGGTTTCGGTCCCGTCCGGATCGTTCCGCCGGCTCCGCCGGCTCCGCCGGCTCCACCGGACAGCTACCGTTACCGCTTCTCCTCCTAGACGGTAAGGGCCCCCGTACCCATCTCATGGATTTAGGTCACCTATAATCTCAACTCGTTCCACGTAAAATTTGGGCTTTGTCGGTATTGGGGTCTGGGTGTGGCACTCATTACAATGCACCCTTGTCTAAAAATGGCAAAATTAAATACTAATTATCAACCCTACGGAAGGAGTTATGGGAAAAATTTCTATAGACGGCTTTCCAAAAGTCATATGTGTAGATTTTAAATATACCCTTGGATTTGACCTTTGACCTTTACTTCAAGGTCAAATGGGTCAAAATTTTCAAAAAAATGAAATTTTTTACGAAAAAAATTTTTTTTGCCCTGTTATTCAGACACCACACAGACTTAACCAATAATATTATTGGAAAGTGTTACCCTTCAGGTCATCTTTCATCTCCATGAATTTGGAGTCAATCGGTGCATTTTCACGGGAGTAGCGGCCATAAGATACCGAAACTGAAAACTGTCTCTAATTCGGGAATCGTTAATGCTAGAGACCCATTCTTTTTTGCATTTTGTAGAGCATGTAAAGCCCAACGCTGGAGGTGGTCTCCGTTTTTTTGTATTCCATACGGTTTTCGAGTTACGCTGTATCAAAAAGTACATATTGGTGGTAAAAGCAAAATGTGCAGTACGGTAATGGATAATAAATTTTGAACTCTGGAAAAATAAAACATAAGGCTTGGCGAATTAGAGACAACTTGTGTTCAAAAATGACATTATTTCATCAAATTTGAACTTCTGAAACTTCAGAGCACCTCCTATTTCAAGAATTTTGACCAAAATGACATTTTCTTTATTTAAATTAATTTTTTCTGTACGAAATTTAAGGCACATTATGGTAACTCCAAAATTATAACATTTAGTCCCTTATAACTCCAAAACTGGCAGAGATAGGTCCATAGTTACTATTGAAGTTGAATAGGAAGTCATATACTGGCGATCTTACTGTGACCTTGAAATTGACCTTTGACCTACTTTTCACCATGAACTGAACTTTGCAAATTTTGCTTCCCTTTTATCTCCAAAACTGGCTGAGATAGGTCCATAGTTAGTATTGAAATTGAATAAAAAGTCATATACTGGCAATCTAAATGTGATCTTAAAATTGACCTTTGACCTACTTTACACCATGAACCGAATTTTGCAAATTTTGCTTTCCTTTTATCTCCAAAACTGGCTGAGATAGGTNATTGCTGTAAAACAGCTATGGATATTGGATGGAGTAACATGTTGATACACCATGTTCCAATCTTTTATTGATAATTGTGGAAATACTTGACTAAATCTAACCACTGCTATGGCACTCGATTAAATTGTTATTACCATGTTGGTAACTGCGATACATGACATTTGTAAAGTACAAGAACTTGAAGTGTAAATATCAAGACAATACATGGTGGAGCAGGACACAAAGGAACCAAAAGAACTGGCACCAAAGGAGCAATTGACTACAAATGTGATTTTCCTAGGCAGAACTTTAGACATAACATATTTCATATATTTCAAACCATATATAGTCCTTCATTTAGTGGATTTTTTTTTTTTTGGAATGCTTACATTTTATTCTATTAAGACACCCTATTAAGTACCTTCTATTTTATTTAGAAACACATCAGTACATTAAATTATGTACACATTAGGACATGTTTATCAGTTTTTCTTTTAAGCCTCCAACTGTGACACTCTGGGGGTAACATGCTAATTAAGTAATGACACTTTACAGTATATCCATTTAATTTTTTTGCAAAGGGATATATACATTAACAAATATTTTGGTGCAATTTCACCATCAGGCCTATATAAAGCACTTAGGTGCCATTAAAACTTTGATTATCACATAAGTACCAATAAACAATAACAGGATTGATGGATCATGTGCAAATGTAAACACATATAGAAATAGAATTTAATGTAAAAAATAATGACATATACCGTCAAAGGTTATATAAAGAGATTTAAAACTTCGGAGAATATAGTACATAATTAATGACATCTTTAATGTGTACTACTAATTAAGGCTGCTGTGTATGATCTCAGAAACAGTGTCGAGACTCGGTCGTTATACTGTATATATTTATAAGAATGTCAAAAATATATATACAATATAATGTGTTCTTAAAAGATATATAATACATTCAAGAAAGTAAAGTTCAAATCTAATACATCTCTTAAGGGTGTTAATTGTTACCTTTTATCATCCAGATACCAAAAATGAGGTTTTTCCTGCATCTATAATTTGACAATAATGCATCTATTTTGTGCTGATTTAAAAAAAAAAACACGAAAATGTGAGATATCGGCTTTTATATTTCTCGTTGCAATGTAAAAGCATAGTTAATTCAAAGCTTTAATCGCCAATTTAACACTTCTATTTTGAGGTAAGACACGTAGCTATCGTTATGGGGCGTAACTTCATCCCTGAACAAGATTTTATCACGAAAATTGGCAGCATTGACCACGAGTGTATGAGCTACAATCCCGTGCAGTCATTTTGGTTTAAATGCTTTTGTTATGGAGTTATGAGCTCTTAATTACATATTTTCATTGAACAAAGGCATTATTTAACTTTGTCGACGCTAAAATCTGGCAGGGTAGGCTTACGTTTTGGAGTACAAAATGATGTTATGGAATCAGCATTGATAAGGTGATCGTGGGTGCTATAAGGTAAAGGAGAAATTTGAGAAAACGATTTTTTCAGTTTTTACCCCCAAATACCAATTGTGATGTCACCCGTAACCTATTATAACTCCTAGGTTGGGTTTCAAGGTATAATGTAGAGTGCATTATAGAAGTTCTATTTCAGAAACAATTAAGTCTTGGCTTCCTTAACAAAAGATTCTAATGACATAAAAGCCTGCAAAGGATAAGCCTATATTATATCAGGCATAGGTGGGTTCAAATGGAGGTGGGGGCTTTAAGATGGTAAAATATTAAAATCATTCCGCCACCCTATGGAAGAAATTAAGAGGCGCCTACAAAATCAGCAAAATCAGGGTTCACCCTCTTCAAGCAATATGGGAGAGAGGAATGTTAGTGCAGTTAAACCCCTTAAACATTTGCTCTCCTTTTTATATAGTCTGACCCACAATATTGGTAGGCCCTTTAAGTGCAGGTACACTTGAACCAGATGAACGCCATGTCAACAATATTAGGCCTACTGCATCGACATCTGTTGACAAATCGACGGCGCCCATAGTCGTGCCTGTGAGTCGTCTGGGGAAACCATGAGCATTTTTGCATCATTCTTTCGGCTCGATTCCTCTNGGTTAAGACGGTAAAATATTAAAATCATTCGAAGAGGCCCCTACAAAATCAGCAAAATCATGGTTCACCCTCTTCAAGTAGGCCTAATATGGGAGAGTGGAATGTCGCCGCAGTGCAGTTACAACCCTTAAACATTTGCTCTCTTTATTTATATAGTCTGACCAGGGAGTTATATAATTCACTGGTCTGACCCACAATATTGGTAGGCCCTTTAAGTGCAGGTACACTTGAACCTGATGAACGCCATGTCAACAATTTAGGCCTACTGCATCGTCATCTGTTGACAAATCGACGGCGCCCGTCGTGCCTGTGAGTCGTCTGGGGAAACCATGCGCATTTTTGCATCATTCTTTCGGCTAGATTCCCCTTTTTAATTTCAGTTGATGACTTCATAATCATATGCCGTGGTCGTGATATCATCTATGAAAATCCAAGCCTTAATAAGCGAACTTTTAGTCTAAGGACTAATGCACCACGAGGAACTGATACATTTTCGCGTCATCGTTACTAGAAATAAGGTATCAAAGACACATTACCAGCGTTTTAAACATCTGTTGAAATTTTAGACTAGGTCAGAGGTACATGTACGTTAACTTGGCGAGAGTCATATTTTATTATTATTTGTTCTAAAACAAGTACGTTATACATAGTTATTCTCAGTATTATACCTGTGCACAGTGTAGCTCTGATCATAGAAGTAGAGAACGGTAGAAAACATGCATCTGAAGGTCAGTTAAATCACGCATGCGTGTCACCAAGACCTTGATTGCGTTGTGGTAGACTAGCGAGGTATATTCAGTGGTTTATATGGTTTTTAGAGACATTGGCTGATCTAGTTGACAGACGAGCGATGGTTCAGTTGTACTAACTAAGCTTGTTACACAGGAGGATCCATGTGTTTGTGTCATGTAAACTATTTAATGTGTTCTATGCATTTTTAATTTGCACAATACAACTTAATTGCAGCTTCTACAGTTTTTTTAACAGGGCAATTAATTTAATTAATTTTAAGGATGGTGTGTATCATAAAGTCTACATGTATAAATTTACATTGAATATAAGAACATATAAGAAAAATATTGATATGACCTTATTGGTTTTTGTTATTAGGTAAATGTCACATGCTCAACATTTTTATATTTACCAGGTATATTAGCAAAAGATGGAAATAGTAGATTATGTGACTGGTCTAGACGTCAAGACGGTAGCCGTTGCCACCCTGGCATTTCTTCTAGCCATGGTGTATCTAAGACGGAGGAAGGGAAATCTACCACCTGGACCCATGCAAGTGCCTTTTCTAGGAAGCATTTTTGGTAAATTGCTTAACCTTACAGTGTACTTTCTTATATCTGGGGGCGGGGGGGGGGGGGGGGGGAATTTCAGTAGATTGTGTCAGTGAGCATGTTTACAAGTATGTGGTAGAAAAGGTGAGATGTATGGTACCTTTTGTCACCATAAAATTAGTTTTAAGTTATATCATATTAGCCTATCAATATCCTTTAGTTTTGACAGTAATTTTTTAGTTGTACTTTTAAAACATTATAAAAAAAGTGTCTTGTTTTAATTTTCTTCCAGCTCTCAATAAGGATGTTAGACTGTTCAAGGTGTGTGAAGAACTGGCAAAAACATATGGTGAAATGACAACAATTAGCTTAGGCAAGTTATGTAACATATTTATTTATTTATTTATTTATTTATTAAAGTATAATATTATTAATGCCTTTTTAAAAATAGCATAAGACTATGCAGTTGACATCATGACAAATTAGTTCTTTACTTTCTTGACAGTTGTATCGATAATAATTTGGTCTTATCAGCTGTTTAAAGATGCATTTAAAATCCGACCAAATGTTACCATATAGTTTCAATTAGTATAATTTAGAAAATACCAAAGGGCATATTTCATATCTCCCAAACACTGATATTTGAATAGATATTTTCTGCTTTCTTTCTGTGCTACACTATATATTATATATCCCTCAGCAGGCTCATTTAAATAAGTATGCAATTTTGGGCCCAGCTTTACATTCATATATATCATTATAAAGGAGGTGAGCGAGAGTGATGATTATGCAATGTGCGTGCAGCCATACGCCATTTAAGGGACTTCAACTAACTGGAGAGAAGGATAAATAACCTGAGGTCAATTTACGACCAAAAAGCTGTTTTTTTTTTTTGGCAAAATGTGGGATTATTTGGATGAATGACTTGACATGTCAACTTTATTTTAGTCATATAAGAAAATAGTGGAAGTAGATAATATGCCTTATTGGGCATCCACACTTCCTTTATATGTATTATAACTTTAAAAATGTTATCCTTTCTTTTCAGGGTTGGTACTGGATAAGCTTGTCATTTTGAACTCTGCAGATGTGGTTCATGAAGCCTTGGTAGAGAAGAAAGAAATAATGGCAGGAAGAGACACAACTATTTGGTCATGTAAGACCTTGAGAAATGCAATATTTGACATAATTTTACCTTGTTGAAGGTTATCCTTTTCTTACAGTCGAGTAAGTGCACTGAATGGTTCAGAAATATAGCATTTGGTGAATTTGGCCCAAGCTTATTTATTGAAAATTTATAATCCTTTTCTTACAGTTGGCTACATCTCTGAAGGGTTTAAAGATATAGCAGTTGGTGACTTTGGTCCAACATGGAAGCTTCAAAGAAAATTGGCACTTAAAGCTATCAGGTACATGTACTTCTGTATAGCTTATTGCTCAGAAGACCAAGAATAAAGCTATTTGATGAAATGGGGTTTTCATTGCCTCTTGTGTCATAAATCAGTTCCTAAGAGATAAACATGTTTATCCATTAAGTTAATATAAAGTTCTTGAGAAATTTAAGTATGATTGTTAAGGTTAAAAACTTCCCATTTTCTTTTCAAAGTATATATGAGGAAATGTAACATTTGTTACCAATTCGTTTTTTTCCACTGTTTTTTATGTAAGTACCATTTGGTCCACATACTACTGTAAAATTTTGATGAATGAGTATATAAAAATTTGTATATCATTATACATGTATTTTAATGGTTTTGCAGGACATACACCATGGGGACTAAGTTGGAGCAACTATTGAAGTCCTCCTACAGTGATGTGGCAGCTTTATTGGAGAAAGAGAAAGAACCTTTTTACTTTGGGGAGTACATCCATTTAATGTTGTACAACATTATCTGCAGAATGGCATTTGGGAAAAGGTAAGAACTTATCTTTTTTTATATTTATTACCAAGACTTATGGAATAAAATTATTTGCTAAGTTTTATAATTATGTGTGTGGACGTGGGCGAAAACGGGAGTCACCCTATTGAACGTAGGTTGGGAACTGATGAATGAAAATTAAAATTAAGTAAAATAAGTAAAATTAGTTAGAATGACGTAACACATAATTATAAAAGGTGGGGCTTTTCTGTATTTACCAGTACCAGCAGGTTAAAAAATACTATTAATAAAAACAATCCTGCTCAGTAAATATCCTAAAAATATGTTTTCATTCAAGAGGCACATCTGTCACAGTATAATACCAATTTTATTTACAGCATTATTGTTATTTTTTAGCTACAAAATTGATGACCCCGAGTTTCTTCAGTGGAGAAAATTACTAACCTTGCTGGTGGAAGATTTCTTCCAAAGTTTTCTTCCACCAGATTTGCTCCCTCTGCTGGAGCATGCACCAATAAAAAGAGTAGCTGCATATAAAGAGTGTGTCAAGGAATTGCATGGATTAGCCTATAAGAAACTGAAAGAGCACAAGGCAACTTTTGATCCAGGTAATCCATGTTTTCTGTAGGTGTTTAAATGTCCTTGGGTACCATTTCCAAAGCCCACTCCATTTCTTAGGAAAGTACTTCAGTATTACTTTTTAGAAACATTTGTTTATTATTATTATTATTATTATTATTATTATTATTATTATTATTATTATGGTACAGTATGTGCAAAAAATTTACCTTTGAGTCTGGATAGTAAGGTTGCACATGTAATACCAGTTTACTTTGTTTGTGGACAGATCCTTACTGGTATATATACTGTATATAATTTTTTGTGTCCCCCTCCCCCCCTCCCCTTATTACTTTTTCAAATTTTGTGCTTTTTAGTTGTTTAGTGGCCTTTGAAAATGTACTCTATAACATGAAATCATCTCACTTTCAAGTCTTCTGAATTGACATTTGTATGCAATACTAACAACACTGTTTCGGAGAATATGATCTATTAATTGTGTTCAACTTTGATAAAAGATCACTGTACCTTTTGATATAGATGCTCCACGTGACCTAATGGACCAGCTGCTTTTAGCACAAAAAGAGTCTGAAGAGGAGGAAGGTGAAGATACTAAGAACTTGCTGACAGACACACATGTTGTGCAGACTGTATTAGATGTGTTTTTTGGTATGGATTTGAAATTCTCATAATGAGAGTGAATAGTTTTGATGGATTAACTAACTTTCTTATTACACGTTACTCTTTCTTTAGATATCATTTATGTATTTTAATCTCTATTTTAGAATGAGCAACCTGTAATTTTTATCATTGGCTCTTTAATTTGTCATTTTTACTTCTTAATTTGTCATTTAAGCTGTTGATAAATTGTAACATTAAGCTTATAATTGAACACCCATTGAGATTTTAATAGAAATGCCATATAGAAATAAATTGTTGTCATTATTATTATTATTTAGCTGGAACAGAAACCTCCTCAGAAACCCTGAAATGGACACTTATGTATACAGCAGCTTATCCAGATGTTCAGGAAAAGATGCACAATGAAATATTGGATGTTTTAGGTGAATGCTTAAAAGTAAATTCAATAAAATGTACAAAACTTGTTAAAACTTGTATGAACTTTTATGAAAATTATAAAATTTTTATTAAAATCATTCTCATGGAAGTTTTTGATATTTTGACAAATCAGTTTTTAAAGCACCAGTGGCATATAATTGTGCTGCTCATGATCTAAGTTTTGATGCCATTTTTTGTACCTTTGTTTCTATAACAGGAGACAGTGATGACCTTCTCAAAAGCAAATCCAAGTTAACATACTGCGATGCTGTTTTGCATGAAGTTATGAGACTGAGGCCAGTGGTCCCAATGTCTCTGTTTCACAAAGTCCTGCAAGATACAAAACTGAGTATGTCTGTTTGAATTACTGCAATATTTGTGTATCTTTTCAGTTTATCTTGTATAAGTGTTTAGAATTTTAAAAAGGACATCACTTCTAAAAAAGAACGTTTTGCTTACTGTGAGACATACATGTAACATTTTATCTCGTCAAATGAAATTTTTCATCAATTGTCATTGATCACGTGATTGACTTGCAGATGTGATATTGTGTAGCTTTAATCTCAAAAGTTGTAGTGATGTATCCATGACCAGAATGTATTTATAATTTCTTCAAGGAGAATACGATTTGCCGAAGGGAACCATTGTCACTCCAAACATATGGGGAATACACCATGATCCGGCTAACTGGGATTCACCAGAGGAATTCAGACCAGAAAGGTTCTTAGATGAACATGGCAACATACATGTGGATTCTAAGATATGGCTTCCATTCTCCAGTGGGAAGAGAAAATGTCTTGGGGAAGCCCTGGCCAGATCTGACATAATGATGATCATGGTGTGTACCCATTGGATAAATGAAATTTAAAAAAAATTGTAAAACATAATCTAGGACTTTTTCACCCCTCCCCCCTCCAACAATACCATCGTTCTTTTTGTTACATCTTTAAATAGAATTTACTTTATTATAAAAGCATGGGTAGATTTTTATGTCAGAATTGAACTTTTTAACCTAGATACACCATATTTTAAATATCTGACCTACATTACATGCCAAAAACATCCAAATTTAACATCATTTTGGCAGGATCATGATGAAAAGAGATGAATACTGCATTCAAAACAAAATACATTATAAATGGTCCAGAAAAAGTGTATGGACATATTTTCACAATAGTTTGCATGTTTGAGTAAAATTTGATTGACATTTAGCATTCAGAAAAAGTAATCAAAAATCAATCAAAACCACTTAAATGATGTCTTCGGTGTTGATAATATCCCCTTTTTCTTAATTTTTGAGGATTATTGACATGATTTGACTGTTTGTTTTTTGTTTCATCAGGCTTTGTTTTTCCGGGACTTCAAAGTGAGCTTTCCACCCAATGTTACAGGAGACTTCGAACCTGCAGATAAAATCATTGACTGCCACTGTAAACGTCAGAAACTGGTTATTGAAAAGAGGAAAGACTAGAATTACATATTATACTATGAAATATATATATATATATATATATATATATATATATATATATATAGTTGATACACTATGGAAAAGTGCTCTACCCATGGTGACGGATGTGCGATGTAGCGCTAATGTCACACGTGTACATTTTGTACGACGTTTCACTTTCACCGTTTGTAATCAGTCTTTTTTTTTTTTTGTATTTTGATCTGTTTGCACCCCTGACGAGGCCTCCACGCCAAAACAGCTGTAGGGACTTAAGTAAATTATATTGGAGAGAACAGATTAACTTTGTTTTTTGTCTTTATATATATATATAATACTGTATGAGTTTTCCTGGACAGAAATCATTTTATATAATGTCTTTTTTATTTACATCAGATCATGTTCTCCGTTAACATCTAAATATATAAATATGAATATAATAACAATAAAAATATTTTTTATATAAAACAGCTATGGATAATGGATGGAGTAACAGTTTGATACACCATGTTCAATTTTTTATTTATATATTTTGATAATTGTGGAAATACTTGACTATATCTAACTACTGCTATGGCACTCGATTAAATTGTTATTACCATGTTGGTAACTGCGATACATTACATTTGTAAAGTACAAGAACTTGAAGTGTAAATATCAAGACAATACATGGTGGAGCTGAACACAAAAGAACCAAAAAGAACTGGCACCAAAGGAGCAATTGACTACAAATGTGAAAGTTTCTAAGCAGAGCTCAAGACAGATAACAATTTCCAACCACATATATTCCTTGGTTAAGCGGATTTTTTTTTTTTTTAATTCTTACATTTTATTTAAGACAATTTGCTTACTTTCTATTATATTAAGAAACAAAACTCATTAATCAGTACATTAAATAGTGTACACAATACAACATGTTCATCAGTTTTTCTTGGTGTTGGTGGGTGATCGGAGTTATGGCAGTCTACAGTATGTCCATTTTACAATTTCTTGCAATGACATATAACATTTACAAATATTTCAGTGCCATTTCACCTTTGGTCATATGTGTGGCATTAAAACTTTGATTATCATGTAAGTACCAATAAACAATAACAGGACGGATTGTGTGCAAACATAAACACATAGAAATAGAATTCAATTTAAAAAATAATGGCATCATATACCTTTAAAAAAGTTTTATGGAATGAGACTTAAAACTTTGGACAATATATATATATATAGTTAATCAAATCTTTAATGTGTACTTCTAAAGCCACTGTACATGATCTCAGAAACATTGTTGAGATTCTGTCATATGTGATACATATTTATAAGAATACCAAAAAATATATATACAGAAATTTATATAATAAGTATAACTTGGGTTTTATGCCATCTGTAAAGAAGGTAAAATTCAAAACTAATACATCTCTTCATGTAGTCTGATCACTGTCAATCTGGAGATCCACCACATCATTACGAATCAATGATCCCCTGTATTTCTTACGTAGCTCCAAAAACATGCAGTGAAAATGTGACGTGATCAGATTAATATGATAAATATTTACATATGCACATAAAAAGACAGCAAGTCCAGTTTTATACAGCATTATTGTTCTCCAAAATTAATTCTCTTTCTGTCTTCCCATCATCTTCACCAGAGTCCAGCCATCTAAAATAAAAGGTAAATAAACTGTTTAATTTAAAATTTAAACTATCTTTAATAAAATTTTTCTAACAATGATCAGTAAAAACAAATATACTGGGGTTCAAGGCAAACAGCAATTTCAACACATTGTTTTAATTGAGAACTAAAATTGGGACCTCAAAATGTACCCTTGGCCTCTAAATTATAGTCATCTAATACCTTATATAATCTGAGATATGATAATCATAATGTATAATATGTAACATGTTACATTAGCTAAGACCTAAAAATCTGTTTAGCATGCATCAAGATTAAAAAAAAAAAAAAGCGGCCACTGAGGCATTTGTGAAAGAAAACTTCAATAACAAAATTTGTGTAAAATATCCCAAATGAAGGACATTGAAGACCGAAAGTATTATTATAATTATAAATGAAGTATTAACATACTAGTCTAATGTGTGTAGCATACCTGTTACATGGGAATACACACTCCTGGCCATCCTCTCCCTCCTTGATGGTCACCTTTTCCAGGTACCAACCAGCCCCTGACCCCTCGCCATCATGACCGATGACCACTTTGGTCAGTTTACCAAGGCCGATTGCTTCCACATGGAAAGTGTCCACCTGGAAGAGAAATGGGTAATGACATATAAGGTCCGGGGAGCTACAGCATTTTGTTGTGTTTTATATCAACTTTGTTGAAAGGATTGTATGTGTGTATGCCATTTGATTTTAGTTTTCACCCCTTGAAGCCTCAGCATGCTTTGATACTGCAACTAAACCTGCAAACATAAACATGGTGACAGCTTCAGTAAAAATAAGCATAATAATAATAATCATAATAACAATTATATAAAAATTCTCACCTTTCCACTCTCAAACATGCCATCTCCCTCAATGTTCTTTCTCAAATGTCTCTTTCCTGAGTCTCCCTTCTCCCCATACAAGACAACATGGACATTGGCATCTGTCCCAGCCCCAAAGTCACTGCTGGTGTGGGTCTGCAGTATGTACTTGGTAGCTGAAATGGGTAGATATTACAATGAAGAACTTGAATTCTGCCAATAAAATTGTTTATCTGCCATACACCCCTTTTCATCAGAAATTTGATTGGCATCTATCTGATTGGTTGATGATTATAAGCAGTTCAAGTAAATATGAAAACTTAAATGAAAATAATTATAAGAAGACATCTCTGTTATAACTTAATTAGTTTAGAAACAGAATTTTAAAAAATACATGAATTCCACAAAGAGTTCTTGTTGTACAATTTTACAGATATGGCAAGCAATTTACAAATGGCACTGTCATAGCTAATTAAGCTCACCTGTGATTGGTTCCTCTCCAGGCCAATGAGCTGGCAGCTCTCTCACAGTGTCCCCATCCTCCTCCAGGGCATCCAGCCACCTGTTCACTGGGAACTCCAACTGGGTCTCATCCAACACATTATCCAGTACAATCTGTAAGGAAATAATGTCTTATCTAACACATTCTCCAACACCAAAGAAAAAATTACAAAATGGTTTCCTGTTATGCAGTTAGAGATATGCAAGTATATTGTATTAATCCTAAGCAACCATAATGAAGTATACATATAATACTGGTTGTGCATTAAATATGTGTTGAGGAACACAGTGCTAATACTATTGCTTTATCTTACACAGATTTACTGTAATATGAAAAACCTGAAATTCAAATGGATTCATAATGAACAGCAATGTAAAATCAACAGAAATGCTGAGTAAAAGTGAATGACTTTATCTTTATCAATTTACAGTAATACTAGATCTTCAAGTTCCCAAGGGTCTCATACCTTTCCAACGTGCCACCCTGGTGCTGAACTGCTGTTGTCATGCTCCAGCCGCAATTTGGTGATTTTACCAACCTTCTCAGGGTCAACAAATATCTGAATATAGAGTAACAATTCATAATGACCTCCATTGAAGAGTGCACAATTTTTTAAAATAAAAGGCAAGATTACATGAACAATTTAAATTAAATAAGAAAAAAAAAAGGAGTTGACCCACCTTAAATTCATCCACCTTTCCACTCTCAAAGTGTCCTAGGCCTGGCTGTCCCAGTGGCAGAGGACCCGTGTCACCAGTCTCTCCAAATACAGTGACAGTCACCCGGGCATCAGTGCCACTGTTCTCTATAGGACTGGTGGTTATTGTCAGTTTCCAGTCACCAGCTTAAATGTAGGAAATGTAGGAGTGGGGATTTATATGTATGTATGTATGTATGTATGATACATATAATTTTGACCTCTTTTAAAATCCAATGAATAAGTAAGATGTCAATTCATCATATAGCAATGAAATGTACTTTCACATCCACAATATTGTCATTGAGTAATTCAGTGTGTGTGTGTGCATGCGTGTGAATGTCCCTGTTAGAATGCATGGTGTCTTGTTTAATTAATTTATTTTTTGCAAGAGAACAGTGCACAAGTAGGGGTACCTTTTGCTGGGGGTTCTTCTCCACCTTCATCAATGACTTCTGTCAACATCAGCTCCCTCTCTGTCAGTCCATCATCTTCACCCTCCTCCAACCACCTGACAAAATGTACATTTAAATGTGTTCAGTAAGTATGCAGAAATGGAAAAAAATCAGAAAATCTGAACCCAAGTCTTATAAAATCACTGTAACTGATCGCTGATATCAGACTATGAAATGTCCTTTATTCTTTACACACACGTATACGCCAACATTAACCACAACAATAACTAACATCATGTTCATGAAATATTAAGCCTAGTTCACTCCTTGGAAGTGGTGGCATTAATGAATTTTACCTGGCAAATAAATCAAGAAGTTAGACAAAAATAAAAAAATAAAAAAAAGCTTACCTATCACAGTTAAACAGATACTTTTTCTTGGCCTGAGGAGACTCTGTGATGATGATCTTATCCAAGTACCAGCCAGAGCCCAGCCCACTGCCGTCATGTCCCACCGTGACCTTGGTCAGGTCCTTCATGTCCACTGCCTCAATCTCAAACAGGTCCAACTGAAAGCATTAGAGAGAGTTCACTTAGATCTAAACCTGTCGATTTGCATCCAAATTTCATAAACAAATTGACCAAAAGGTCTTGTTTAATTTAACAACAAATGCACCAGCTTCTGTCTGTCTGTGCGTGTGTGTCTAACAGTCCATCTCTTAACACATACTATCTATTCACAAACTATCTATTCAGTTAAATGTGGTGAGTATCAAGTAACTTCTAAAAACCCAGGGTATTCACATACCTGTCCTTGTTCAAATTTATTTGAGTTATTTGTTGACTTCAGTAATTTCCTTTTCCCGGTGTCTCCCCTCTCTCCAAACACCTGGAGGTAGACATTGGCATTGGTCCCTGCTCCACTCTTGTCTCCAGTGTACACTTCAACCTGGTACTTGTACACTACAAAGTGTGGAAAAACCACATGTAGTGGAAATATCATTTTCCACAAAACTTCATGAAAAAAATGATGTTTTTGAAAAAAGTTTGTCTGAAGTAGTTTTATGCTATTTAATAAGTGTGTAAATGTTTGGTAAATTAAGTTTTTTGTTGTCTCTTGGGTAATGATGAAAAAAGAAAATGGTTTTTAAAGAAACCATGTTGTGTTTTTCTATTAGGAATTATGTTTTGTTCCTTCATCAAAGAGCCTTGACCACATGACTAACTCATTGACATGTGAATGTTGTTTATAAGGATAACCTTTTCTAAAGAATGACCTTATCAAATCCTTTTTTAATAAAATTCACAAATATTTAGAGATTCAAATCCAAAAATAACACAAAAGTAACTAACCACTGAAAACTTTTTCTTCTTCTTCCGTTCTGAGTGCAATTTCTCTCCAGCAGTCCTGTTCACTGTTGGCCCAGATCCAGCCATTCAACTCAAATATGTACTCCTTGGACGTGGTGGCATTAATGAATTTTACCTGGCAAATAAATCAAGAAGTTAGTCAGATAGATAGCTAGTTGGTTAATCCTGTTCTTGTTGTGTTGCACGGAAGGCTGTCGCCAGACTTCCAGTGCTGCCTGTCTTGGGACCACTGTTGTACTTGTCCCCATGTCCATCCTGCCTCCTTCACTTACTTCTATATGGATCATTTTCAGGTTTTTCTACTCTATACTAGAGGTCCCATAAGTTATAATATTATTTCAGTACAAAAATTCTCACTCACAGTAGAGAAAAGTGTAAAGAATTAGCCAGAGATATATCTGTGAATATCTAGAGAAAATCAATCTGTAACGCTACTAGAGAGTAAGATTTTCCTGTTATGGGGCATTATGCAGAAGGTGACTAAAATGATTTAAATTTACTGGTATTGAGTTGAGCACATCTGAAAGGGCCATTCTAACTTCAGCCCAAAAAGGGCATACCCTAAGACAAATGTTTCATGCTCATATAATATTACACAATGTTAATCCATAGAGTGTAATACTCTGTCTGGTATACTTGTAACGCTTCCATTTGCTTTTGTTAAATTACTTCAAATTAGAAATCATTTCATGTCAAAGGAAACTTACCATCTTCATAAACCACTGAGGATCTCCACTGGGGTCTTCAAAGCCAACTCGTAACTTGTAAATGTCTCCCAAGTCATCATCTACTTCCAGCTAAAAACCACATGTCATAAACAACTATTAACAGTAGTTCATAATGTACCAATTTTCTTCACCAATAACTATTTTAAAGAAAATTAAAAATAACATTTCCTTTCTTCAGACTGAAATACAATTGGTAATAAAAATATCTAAAAGACCTGCACTGAAACTAAATGCAACAATCCCATACAGTGTTTACATCTATGTGATAAATGTATATGCAAGCCACCAGAGTATCTTACCTCAAACTCATCAGGTGTCCCTTCAGTGATAGTGAACCCTCCTTCCTTCTGAACATGAAGCACCTTCGAGTGCCCCTTGTCTCCATATAGGACCATGGCGACCTGGGCCTCGGTGGTGTTCTCCTCATCTGGGCCGGTAAAGGTCAGTGCTGTCCACTTGCTGGCTTGAGCTGCCAACTGTAACTCTCTCTCTATCAGGCCATCATCTTCTCCTTCATCTAGCCATCTAAGAGTTGAAAGGGAAATATTTTAATCTTTAGTATAAAAAATTGAAGGGATGATGTTTCAAATGTTTGTCAAAATCTTTTTCGGAGAGGTAAACCTTTCATTTTTGTATCTATTAGGTTGAATAGCAATTGACCAACATCTACTAACTTTATTTTGTATTCATTTTGTTCAGACATGTTATGTATTATTTCACTTGCAATGGGGATATCTTAATATTCATACTCGGCTTTCGCTTGTTAATTTACCTATCACATTCAAAAGTGTATTCATGATCCTGTGGATCTTTGATGACCACTTTATCCAAGAACCATCCACTGCCTGCTCCAGTTCCATCATGCCCTACCACCACACTCTTCAACTGACCAAGGTCCACTGCTTCAAGGCTAAATGTGTCACTCTGAAATCAAAATGAGATTACCCATCATGCCCTTAGTACTCATCCAGATTTTTCGTCTGGCTTGTCTATTTGCTTACAATTTCAAAGTCCACTCTTGGTCACCATTGGGCAATATCCTATTTTCAAAGTCTTCATAAACTACTGAGGATCTTATAGGATAGGATGGGATGGTCTGCAAGAATATACTGGCCCAAACCAAAAACAGTGGCCAGCACTACTCTACAACATTAAGCAGGCCTGGGGTCATTTTTTCTGGCATTTGGCAGAGATTATCCTCTTTTTATTACTTAGTATTTTTTTACATAACAAGCTGTTTTACCTGTCCACTTTCAAATTTGTTGATGTTGTTCATGGACTTCAGCAGACGTCTTGCTCCAGTGTCACCTCTCTCTCCAGTTATCTTCAGGTAGACATTAGCATTGGTGCCTCCGCCTGACTTGTCTCCAGTGTGAACTGTCACTTCATATTTATATACTGGAAATGATATATTCAAGACTTATCATCTTTATTTACTCATAAAAATGCACTTCCTGAACCTTACTTTTCAGACTTATCATGAATCAAAAATTTCAAGTATTAACTGGAAAAAAAAAACAACACTAATCAAGTCAAAATATTTCATCGTATCTTAAAAAGTGATTTCATGTGTATTTTCAATCAATTTAATATAATTCAATCAAATTCAAAGAGCAATGTGTTCATACCTGGCAGTAAGAGATCCTCAGTGACAGGCCTCTCCACCCACCAGTCCTGCTCATCAGTCAGAGACACCCAACAGTTGAACTCAAACTCATAGTTAGCACCAGAATCCAAGTGCTGCAGACGGACCTGAACAAGCATAAAAACAGTCATATCACACTGATTACCTCATGTTCTTTCTTTCTTCATTCTTTGAGCATATCACATTGATTGCCTCATTTTCTTTCTTCCTTTATACTTTAAGCCAAATGGCTTCATCAGCCATGCAGGACATATGAATGTATTTGTCCTAAATAAACTAGCTAAATATTGGTAACCCTTTAAACTGATGAGCCATTTCTACAGAAGTATTATAGATATATATATATGCAAATGTAGATGTGTTGTACTTTGAAGTACGTTCACATTTGAGGAGTTAAAAAGACATTAGGATGAAGGGAAGAATTTGTACCCTTGTGACTCACCTTTTCAAGGTACCACGAAGGTTGACCTTGTGTATCTTCACTGAACCCAACACGCAGTTTGTAGATCTTACCCAGGTTGGCTTTGGCTTTGACCTAAAAACGTACAGGTAAATGAATCATTACCGCACTTTATAAAACTAGTAAATATATGTGTGAAGATACTAATTTGATAAGCCTAAAATCATACATACAAGCCACTTTACATTAATAATTGACAATGGAATTTCATAAAAAAAGTGATAATAAGAACTCTATCCTTTTCATTCTTTTTCTTGGAGCTTACCCTGAACTCATCAGTCGAGGCCTTGAGGAACTTCTCCTCTCTGTCATGTCCAATGGGGATTTCCTCAGAGCGGTCATTTTCTCCATACAGTATCAGCACCACTTGTGAAGAGGCATCAGCATCAGGGAGATCACCAGTGGTGGTCCACACCTTCCACAGCTCCTCTGAAACAAATACCAGTGTGTTAGGTGTGAAATTACAGCATTGTGTTGTGTTGTGTGACATTACTACAGTGTGTTGTGTTGTGTGATGTTACTGCAGTGTGTTGTGTTATGTTGTGTGATGCTGCTGCATTGCATGTGTTATATTATTTGGGATTACAGCACAGTGTTGTGTTGAGTCTGATAGTATAGCATTGTGTTATATTGTGTTGCCGTAGGTGTGCAATTACAGCATTCCTCAGTGGCTAAATTGGTTAAACTACGTACAGCAGTGTGGGAAACAACAAACGAGAATGTGTTAGGTGTGACAAAATGACAAGGTATCATGTGGGGCAAATTCATATATTCTGTATAACAATACCCATATGATTTCCACAAGAACATCAGCTAGGTTAAGCTGTGAAAGATACTTACTTGATTCTAAATCTTCTGCTTCTTCCTCTCCACTCTCTTCACTGGCTGTTACCAACAGTTCTCTTTCCACTTTGCCATCATCCTCACCCTCATCAAGCCATCTATTGGTGGGAAATCAAAATTTTCACAATTTTGTTTTTAAAAATTCACAAATGATAATTCATACAAAGTACAAAGAGATACAACATTAATAATTGACATTAATAATAATTCACTTAAACCAATTCATGCGAGAACTGAAAAATACCTATATGGGTAATGTTAAACATTACCCATATAGGTATGCAGTTATCTCTCTAAATTTGACACAAATATGTCACATGCATCCTATGTAGCAGTAGTATACTCACTTATTGCACAAGAATTCGTATTCCTTCTCAGCATCAGCATCCTCCTTGATGACCACTTTGTCCAGGAACCAGCCAGATCCTACACCTGCACCATCATGGCCGACCACTACTTTCTGGAGATCCTTCATCCACACAGACTCCAGGTTAAATATGTCCATCTGAAACATGTTGTTTATTGACTTGTAGGCCAACTCAGTGGTCTTGGACTAAATCGTGTTTCAAATGTTGGCTGTCAGAGTATACCACATTATCTTTTACAGAAAGAGAGGTCACTGTCATGTACCTTGTTTACTCGCAAAAGTCAGTTGTCACAGTCCTCAAACAAACCGACACTTAGAGTGTATTTCATCTCAAGTGCTCAACCAATTGTGGATACAAATACGCATATACTCTACTTGATTTTAACTTTCCCACAAATACATGTAAGATAGTATAAACACCACAATGACCCACCAAGACACCTACCTGTCCTTCTTCAAATTTATTATCATTATTCTGAGATTTTTTCAACCATCTTTTGCCTGTCCCGCCATCTTGTCCATCTATAATGATGTATACATTGGAATCTGTCCCTGCCCCACTGACTGCTCCCGTGTACACTGACAACTGGTACTTGATCACTGTGAAATGAAAGTAAAAGGATAAGCATCGCAAGCAGGTCACATCCACAACAGGGAGATCAAAATGAGCTTCAGTAAGAAAGTAACCTATTTATGACAAAAGATGTGCGTGTATAGTTAACACCATAATCTTAAACTGTGTAAAAATTTGCATAGTTCATATCTTCTTGTACAGTGTAACAATGGCAATGAACAATCTCTTACTGAGAAGTCATTTTGAAAGAGCTACCTAAAACCTTGCAATGACATTTGACCATCTCTCAGAAGATTGAAGATACCATTAACAAAACTAAAACGATCTGTCAACAGGTACAAATGTATTGAATCTGAACACAGTGCTTTAGAAAATGTCAACACAATGCCATCTTTAGACATTGATATACAGACTTTATCTCAGGTTCTCACAGTGTTTATGACACCACTAATTTAAAAGTACTATAAAGCAGAGACACTTTAAATTATGTCAACATACATGGTGCAGGGGGTATTCCTGGCCAGACCACAGGGAACTCCACCACCCCGTCACACTCCCCATCCACCCTGACCCAGCCTCTGTACTCAAATCCAAACTCCTCGCTGGTGGTGTCTTTATGGAACCGTATGATGTCCATATACCAGGAAGGATCCCATGAGGTATCCACGTAACCCAGACGTATTTTCTTCAGGGGACCTATGTCTCCAGTCACTGTAATCTAATGGGAAAAAGACAACATGTTCTTATCTAAGAATCAACTGCTTCATTGGTGTATTTGGTGATAAAAAATGCCCTTCTATACCTCTCCCCAGCACTCCACTCCCCTCTTTCCTACTGTACACGTATCATACACCTCTTCCTTTTCATCCACTCAATTATAATCCCCTCCGACCTTTTCAATACTATTTTACATTACTCATTGATGAGACTGCCATTTAGTGAAAAAGTTGGAAAATATGGAGTGGGGGCCAGGGGGCAGCTTAGGCAAATGATATTTTTGGCTCCCCAAAAGTCTGAAATCCAATGATAGACAAATCTGATCTCTGTGTACTTCCCTCTTGCCCCTCTATTCCATTCTTTTCTCTTCTTATCCTTAAAGAATATACCTTAAATTTGTCCCACTTCCCTCTTTCCTGTCTGAACTCTTCTGAAGCCACAGGCTGCAGTGGCAGCTGGTCAGTCTCTCCCTTCTCTCCACACATCACCACATACAGCTGCTTGTTGTTGTCTGCTTCGTCCAGGTCACCTGTTAGTGTCTGCACTGTCCACTCACCCTCTGTGACCACAGATAATGAAAAATTGGAAGATGTATTATATATGCATTTGACTACATGTGTCCTGGCATATAAGGACAAGACAGATTGTGCTACAAAGATTTAATTATCTTGGCTGAAAAATCATCTAGTTACTAACCAAGAAGCAAGCCAACTGATTGAACCTTAAGAAAGTTTTGAATTGAATGAAAATGTATAACAAGGCAATATTCCTTTTCTGAAAGAAACACTGTAGTCTACATTCTTCATATTTTCTTCCTATTTGACATTACCTGCAATACCCCCTCGTTCCTTAGCTGTGGGTTGCATGGCTTCACACAGCCTGGTTTCACTCTCAGTCAGCTCAATGTCTACTGCTTCGTCTTTATTTCCAGTATCTCCCAGCCACCTAAAACAGAAAAATTCATGTACTTTATAAGGGAATACTTAAAGTTGAATTATTCCTTGTCCTCTCAATCAATGTCTTCTTCAGTATATGTCTGTCTCCATCTGGTTATAATTATAACAATGGTTTTATGCTGTCTGACCCTTACTACAGGAATTACATGTAATTATTCACAAGACTTGATATCCCAGTCCAAATTAGTAAAAGAAGTTGCCTAGGGAGTAATAACTTCCAGACTGAGTCAATTAGTACCCAAGTCTTCATGGGAAATTCACTAGTTACCTGCAGGACCATGTTTCCATATACCCTGTAACTTTGATTTAAGCTGTGAACACCTATCTACAAAATCATAAGACTTGAATGATCTGATCAGAAAAAGAAGACCTCAAACTTCCTTACATAAAGACTTACTTATCATAAATGAAGACTTTTTCCTCTGCCAAGCCCTCCTCCCTGATGATCATTTCTTTGAAAAGCCAGGGGTCACCGGGTCCCTTGGTGACCATGACCTTCTGAATGTCACCCAGGTCAACTGCTTCTATCAAGAACTCATCCACCTTTTGGGAATAAATAGAGGTAAAATCAATTATTTGACACAACTAATTTGTTTAAAAAAGAAAAAGGTTGAGAATGAAAATAATTATGTAGCATTCCCAATGCTCCTCTTCATTCCACAACCATTTTTTATTTCTTCAATCTTTAAAGTAAATTTCCACAAATAATTTTATATACTAGGCATAAAAGATTTGTAACATTACTCCTTAACCTTTAATATCTGATAACATCAAGTTTCAATCATACCTGTCCTTTCTGAAACTTGATGGAGTCATTTTTGTTCACAGATAACATCCTTTTCCCAGAGTCTCCCAGGGTGCCAATGATGTTGACAAAGATGTTGGAGAAAGTGCCAGCATCTACTCCCTCCTGGACATCACCAGTACATATGGAGACAGTGTATGGGACCACTGAATTAAAATGGTTAAAATTTTGATTTTATTAGTTTCATTTCTATATATTATTATAATACTATATCTATCACTGCTTGGTATTCTGAACAAATGCACTTCAATGATTAATCACAATACTGTAAACAAGAAATTAGAAACAAACAATATAAGAAAACATCTAGATCAGGCAAGATCCATCTTTCTGTAACCCCTGTAACCCCTTTTTATGTTAAAAATCATGATAATTTCATAGAAAAGAATATTGTTTATCTGTCATCAACCAATCAACTTATCATTATTATTAAATGAGCATTTTCCCCTAATAAGTCCTACTGACTATTGATAAAATCCTTCAAAATTGTGGTACAATGACATTGCATTTATTCTTACCTGGGGCCACCCACTTCCCAGTCCTGGCCACTGGCAGTTCCTTCACAGAGCTGGTGTTGTCTCCCAGCCATTTGGTAAAATTGAAATGCAGCATTTCTTTGGTATGGGTATCTTCCATAGTGAGCTTAAATGGAGAAAACAAAAATAAAATATTTATGTATCATGTACTCAGAGCACTGTTCAACAATTTAGATATTATAGGTGTAATAAAAGACATATATTTTGAACTTTGTTTACCTCCTTGATGAACCAGGTCACATCCTGTTGTTCTTGGCAGACTCTGATCTTCTTAAGATCACCAATTTGTCCAACAGATACCTGGAGGAAGAGGAGCAGAGAAGTTAAACACCAATTTTTAAGAAGAAATCAAATGTTTTTGTAGATTCAGCTCAATTGCTATATTATATCAAACAAATCTATTGGAATGAATTTAGTCTTTGGTGCATGTAAATGTAGAGGTTGAAATTTTACAAACAGTGCCCAACTAGAATCTACATAAAACTAAAAAAAATTTTCTGGAACCAAACCATCTGAAATATGTAAAGTCTATTGTACCACATGAATATTTCCCTTCTCAAATTATGATTTATATTTCTACAGAGACCTGTATCTGATATGATAAAAATGACACCATACACTTACATGACATTCCTGTGAATCTGGCTCGGATTGTTTTTCTGCTGAGTCATCCTTGAGTTCAAAGGGTCCTGCTGTGTTCTCTTCTCCTATCACAGTAAGGGTCACAGGGGCAGAGGGGGTGCCGTTCTGAGGCACAGTGACTATCTTCACCTTCCATTCACCTTCTATAAAGTAGTGGCAATGAATTTCATAAGCTGTGTTATGTACTCAAAGTTACAATGTAGTAATTACCAATTTATTTTTCAAATAATTCTACTTATCATTTTAGCTTTCCAGGGTTTATTGTTTTTAGACACCCAAAAAATGTATTTTTTGACACAAACCAACTAACTTTTCAAAACTTTTAAATTAAGTATTCACTTATTACTAACAAACAATTTTGGTCATATGTCATATTTTCACAGTTTATTTATAAACAGTCAAATTTTTTAGCTTATCTCTCATATCCATAACTTACTGGACTCCAGCTCTTCAGAGGGTCCTTTCAGAGGTACCTCAGACATAGGCAGAAGTTCCCTCTCCAGCTGACCATCTCCTATCTCGCTGTCCAGCCATCTAAAACACAACATGTCCAATAAATATTTTTTTCATGTTACCTAAATAGAACAGTAATACATCAATCACAAAAATAAAAAGTGAAGTATATTCATCTGTTTTTCTTGCACTAAAATATATCAAAATACAGATATCAAGTGGCAAATTCAATGTACATAGCCTGCAGAGTCCAAGGATAACTTTTATGAGTATTTATATTGTACATTATAGGTAAGAAACATCATATTTTCAGCTTGTGAAATTCATCTTTGAATTGTATAAAAGTACAGAGAACAACCAAACAAAATCAGATATTCCTCACCTGTGACATGGGAAAATAAGCTCATATTCTGGTGGGCTATCACCCTCATCCTTAACTTTGTCTTGTTCTTCCTCTGTCTCCTGACTCTCTTCCTTTGTTTCTTCTTTCCTTCTCACTGTGACAGACTCACAGAACCACCCTGCGCCATAGCCTTCGGTAGTATGTCCAACTATTACTTTCTCCAACTTTCCTAAATCTAAGCCTGATATATGGAATGTGTCAGACTAGAGGAAAATGAAAAAGAAAATACTATTAATTTTTTGTTATTTGTAAAGAAAACACTTCTTGTGAATAAATAAATAAATTTCGGGCAAGCAATCCACAAAAATCTCTGGGAGGGCAAATGCAACACCACAGCATGTGTACAGGGGCGGATCTAGAGATATTTTCTGACAGTCTTCCAAATTATCTTTGTTGATCCATCCTCCATTTTGACCAGAAAACACACGATACCCGTCAATGTAAACTTGAAAATCTGACCGTCTTCTGGAAGACCCAGAAGACGGCCTAAATCCGCCCCTGTGTGTATGCTCACTAACTGTACCCCTTGTACTACTCACCTGTCCCTTCCTGAAGTTGACATTATTAAGAGTGGTAGTGTCAGAGGCCACAGTCTGTGTGAGAGCTCTCCTCCCTGTGTCTCCCCACTCTCCCACCAACATACAGTACACATCAGCCCTTGTCTCTGCCCCTGGCTGGTGTCCTGTTGTCACACTGACCACATAGGTGACATCTGAAATATCATGGTGACATATACCCTCAGTTTCAGTTCTGATTCATGCCAGCTTCTTTATTTTCAAATCTTCATAGACAGGGAAATTATTATGTGAAAATGTGAAGAAAAAAAGATGGCTTTGATATCCAGGCTGGGTGAATATGACATAGTAAAATTAATGGAAAATTCATGTTTATATAGCATGTCTTAGTGCAAAGTAATAAGCCACAACTTCCACTTTGAGATTGTAGATTCCTAGGCTTTGGACTCCTGTAGGGCCAATATAGGGCTAAATTGTTTCTGGTATAGACTGCATTTAATATTAGCTAAAATATGAAGTGGGGTTGGCAGCTGTATGAATATGTATTTACTGGTATATAGAACGACTGGATATCTTCCATATTTCTTCTGGTAAAAAGAACCCTTTCCATGTATCAGACTATCTTTAAATTTCCAGTTTTCTCACCTTGCAGTGGCATGATATCAGGCCACACAGCAGGCAGCTCTACACATCCACTAGGGTTCTCTGCCGTCATCCTGAGCCAGTTGTCATAGGCAAAGTGGAACTCTTGCCCTGTATCCTGATCTTTCAGCTTCATCTGTAATATTGTGCATGAACATTTTCATTTTTCATTAAATTTGCCATCAGCACTTGTTTATCTGTTTGTTAGAGGACAAGATATCTTAAAAAGCTTTTCACAAATTTTTCATCAAAATTAAAAAATTTTACTGATACAATTCATAAATTTTTTCTTTGCAGAGGACGGCACTCTTTAATCTTAATTTCTTTTTATATGTAAGATTGTTTTAGATCATTTTTTCCTTAAATTGCTTAAAATGAAAATTGATGGTACTGTATAGTTCACAGCTGTTGACATATACAGTAAGTACAAATAAACAAAGCTACAACAAATGCCTTAAGGGATGCTGATCAACACACGGCACATCATTATAGAGGTCTCAGTCCGTAAGACAGCTTACCTTGCTGAGGTAGAATGTCTCCATCTCAGAACTCTGCAGTGCTAGTTGTACTTTGTAGATATTCCCAATGTCACCAACTGAGATCTGCAACAGAATTCATTTTTTTGAAATAAGCACACTCCATATCAATTAGAAATGGAACTTTTTTCCAACAAAGGTATAGATAGGAATACACCACCATTCAGGAACATTTAGTCCTCAAATTCATAACTTATCAGCCTGTTCTTGCTTAGTTATGTTTATATGATATATAAATTACCTGCAGTGAACTTTGAGGTGATTTAAATTTGTTTAGACACTATAACAATAACTCTTTATTAAAAATAAAAATGCTATTTTCATTCAAAATATAACATAGAATTATTTGACTGCAGAAAAAAATTCACATACCTTGAAATCATCTGTCATCCCTGGCTTAAACCCTTCTCCTTCTTCTTTGCACAGGGGTATCTGGTCACTTTTTCCCTGGACACCATAGACGACCATGGTCAGTGTGGCAGTGGTCCCTGCATCCTCTGACCCTCCTGTGGTTATCCATGCTGCCCAGTTACCTTTGCTGGACTCTGGCTCCATCTCTTTAACTGATAAAATTAAAACACAGACATTTAAACTTGCCATCATTGATGTTATGTGGTTGTTGCAATGTGACAGAAAACACTTCCCAGAAATACACTATAAACCCACAATTTAATTTTGTATTCAAAGTTCATCAAAGATCATCAAATTAATTAAAATACAGAGGCCATGCTTCTTTTAAGTTTATACACCCAGAACTTCATTTTCTAATCAAAGTGAGTTAAAGCTGTTCTAGAACTATTCTAAACATGATACTTACTTGCTCTGGTCTCCTTTTCAATGTATGGCACTTCTTGGACATCATCTGTAAAAAGAGACCCCAATTGTTGTCAAGAGATAGTTAAATGTGCCATATTAAACCCCATACTGGGCTAACACACACACACACACAAGCACTCATATGTATGAGCACACATCCACTTGCATGCACACATGCATCCACATATGCGTGCACACACACACACACACACACACACACACATGCACACACACACAAACACACACCCACACATTATGAATAGCAAAACATTGTTTAGAATCAACAGGAGCAAAAATCAGAAATCAACCCTACCTGCTGGGAAGAGTTCCATCTCCACTTTCTTGTCCTCTTCATGATCGTCCAGCCAGTGTCCACATGGGAAAATGACCTCCCTGTCTGACCCGTCCGTTTCCTTGACCACAACCTTGTCCAAGAAAATACCAGCTCCGTGTCCCCTGCCGTCATGGCTGACCACAACCTTGGTCAAGTCCTCTAAGGACACTGCCTCCAGTTTGAACACATCCACCTGGGGATGGACAGATCAGGTCACATTTTATGTTCCAGAGGCAACACTTAATTAGTTCTTAAATTACGTAATTCTTGAGAAAGAGAGATACAGAAAGAAATAATGCAGAGAAAGATATCTTGAGCAATGAAGGTAGCAATATTGACTGACAACCAGACAGATGAATGAATTAAGTAGAAGAGAAACAGTACATTCAGACAAACTATAGAAGAATCAGAAAGCCAGACAGTCAGACAGACCTGTTCTCTCTGGAACTTGCAGTCATTTTCTAAGGAATGGTACAGCTGTCTCTTGCCACTGTCCCCCTTGCTGCCACACAGGGTGATGTAGAGGTTGGCATCGCAGTCAGCTGCCCAGCGTCTCCCAGTGTACACAGATACCTCATAATGTTGCACTGGTAATAAAAGTATAGGAATGAGTTAAAACATGAAGAGTCACCTGTATGAAAAGCCACAAGAATATTAGAAGTAAATTCTGGTGCAGATACAAAAATTATATAAAATATTCAAAGAAGACATTTTTTTCCAAATTTTAGCAATATATTTTAATACAACAGAAGTCTCAGTGATTGTTCTCCAATTTACCCTTTTCTAAGTTCTTCATCTAAAAAACCTAAATGCAAGTTTCAAAGGATATCGATCTTTTTTCTTTTAACATCATTTTAAATCATACAAAAAATAAAGTAATATGTACTTGGAAGCACTTCTTTTCCATCCCTCTGTACGGCCATCTCCCTGACCACATCATGGTCATCCATGTCTCTGGACATCCACCGGTCAAAATGGAATATGAAGGATTCCTCAGTGTGTTTGTCTTGGAGAATCACCTATAGGGCCAAAATAATTCCATTTAAAATAATGAAACCTAATTTTCAAAGGGACTTTATGAATTTATCTAGTTGTTTACAACTGTCATTTCTAATTAGAATATTTGCATAATGAAGTCTTTCCCATTCATAAGCTAGAAAACAAACATTATCTTTCCTTCCCCTAAGTCAAAATAAACTACTAAATAATTTTTTTCAATAAATCAATTAATAAATCATTAAAATTTTATTCAAAAGGCAACTGTATAATTTGATACTTGTACTCTTGTAATAATGCCATTTGTATTGTCAGTCTATACATATGTGTGTATGTCTATTTGTGTCTAATATAGCCAAAAAAAAAAAAAAAAAAAGAAGATCCTGACCTCTTCCAAGTGCCATGCCTCCCAACCTTTGCCTTCTTCCATTCCGACACGAATCTTGTACAGATCACCAATGTCACCAGCATTAATCTAAAACCCAAAGTTTGGAACTGAGAATGTTGTTTCCAAGAGAAAGAAAGTGGACTCTGCATAACTTGGATATTATGACCACCAGAAAAAGTTTTGACGGAACAAAAAGATTCAAGTGAGAAAACATTCATATTAGCATCTGAATCAGCTTATACTTAAGGAAAATCCATTCCATAATATGTTTGAGATAAATGATAATTTGAGCTATTAAAATGTTGAATTATGCAGAATTTTCTGTAGTAAAAAAATGAACATCATATGATACTGTCAGCATGACTTTTGACATATTTACATTTATTTAAACCAAAGACAATAATAATGAAAGACTTGTGCTTTAAATATGTTTTTAAGAAATTTCAAGTTTTTAACTCAAACTCATGATTTCAATGTGTATTGGTAAATTAAGAACAATTTCTCATGTATATTTTATTTGTTATTATCTGAATAAATTATCATTATTATTTCATCACATGCCGGTGTCCATATGCATATATACTCACCTGGAACTCATCAATATTTCCTGCCTCAAATAGTTTGTGCGGTGCCCCCAGTGCCCAGAGTTCAAAGTCTTCACTCACTCCCTCCTCCCCATACACAGTGATGACTGCCTTAGAGTCATTGGAGGGTTTGGAGTCTTTTGCAGTAGTCACCAGGACTCCATAAACGCCCCCTATAGGAGGAAATCAGAACAAATGAAGTCAATGCTATTGTAAACACTATTTCCACAGCTAACATTTCTTTAATTCTTTGTATACCTCACAATCAATGTCCACTTAAAAAACTATGAAGATATTTAGTGTATGATAAATTAGTTTTGGCTTTGTTATAGATCAATCAAGCCCAAAAAAATCATTTATTACAAGCCATAATGTGTTTCGGATGAATTCAACATTGCTCAGAGGTAAGAGAAAAGGCTTCATTTAGCACCCCAGCTTTGATTCTCAATGGCTGTTTTCTACAATCACATAGTGAAATCAAAACTTACTAGACTTATTTTCTTCTTTTTTATCTTCCTTTATGTCTTCTTCTTTTTCTGAAAGTAAGAAGGGGTGAACAAATTATGAAAAGTATCAAATCATGAAACAAATTGTTAGTGCATTTCAAAATATTTCACTTTAATTTTTTATTAAAAGACACTTATGAAAATATACCAGACTCCTATCACATGAAAAACTTTCTTGCTTAAATGCAATGTTTTGCCTGTTAGTTTCTCCCACACGAGACAGATATTATTGCAAACAATACTGGTTATAACATTAAAGATTTACTTATTTGATAAAGTCTAATATCTTTAAACTGCTTTGAAAGGAAAGATAAGGTAATGTATTAAATGTGGTATGCTGAAGCTAGTGCTGGACATGCCTCAGTGACATTTCTGACTGTCATTTAATTATGACAATAACATGGCAATGACTCAAATTAAAACCACAAAGTTTACAATGCTTGCCATCATAAAATGTTAATATAACAAATAATATCGGGTAAACATAGAATACTCATGGTGTGTGAATGAATTATTCTGTGACCAAAATGATTTCTGTGATCAAAATGTGCTGAAGCAGAATATAAAATTCTTACATCTTTTATCATCTAAAAATTGCCACTGATTTAGTGTGAATAAGCAGAAGTCCGGGCTGAAGGAATCAAGCAAATAGAAGTAGCCTACTAACTCTTCTTCTTTAAAGAAGCAAAAGAGCCAGCATAAAGAGCTTTCCTGAGTAACCTAGCCATTCTTGATGCTGCTTTAGTCAGGAAAAGTAGGAGACAACCAATTAAAACAGCATTTACTCTGTATAACCCATTTTCAGACATTTCTGCATGCAGGATAAGATAATATCTATTTCAAAGCTATCAACATGTCTCTTTCAACCTGAACAGAGAGGAAGTTGTCTATTAAATTATTCAGTAGTACAAGAAGTACCAATTCAGTTTTTCTTGTTCCAAATTTATGTCAGTGAATTAACAGAGACACAAATTTAAAATGATATATATATATATATATATATATATATATATATATATATATATATATATATATATATATATATATATATATATATATATATATATATATATATGGTTATTACAGTAACAGTGTTGTTTTATGCAACAATTGGGTTAAAAGAGACTTCATATGGCAATTACGTAAAATTTCAAGTGCCTCACTTTTTGTCATTTTATACTTTAGATGCTTACAAATATGACTTGAAGCATACTTACATTTTTTAACTTTTGAATTAATAGTTTTAGGTATTACCAACAAAACATATGCTTTTTTTATCTGGTTCTTTAGGGGGGTGGAGTTTTATTCATTGTTATGCAAATTTCTTGGGGAATTACCAAATACATGTATATTATGGTATATATATATATATATATATACATACCTGGCTTGGGAGAATTTCTGGTTTCCAAGGTAGCATTGACACTTGTCTGCTCAGGTTTAATGTCTGAAAAACAAAATTACCACAAATCAATCACACTTCTTTATTATTCATTGTCAACAAGCTTTCAACATGAAGTGTTTGTTTTTATCTTAGAAACGTGGCTTAAGTCAGACTTGGCACTTTCTCCTTGGCACCTATGTTGTAGCTCTATTTTTCAATTTCTGATTTCCTGATAATTCTGGCATAATAAAATTTTTACCAAATTAAGTCATAAGTGGGCTTTTCCTGAGAACAAAGCTATCAAGAATCAAGTAATATGTCCCATTTTAAATATATATCTTAAATGTCCTGAAACAAACAGTATTTTTTTTTCATTATCTTATTCATTTCAGCTCTTGCTCAGGTTAAACCCAAAATCATACTAATTTTAAAACTGTTTTTGCCCAAACAAAAATGAGAAGCATTAATGTGATTATTTTTAGGTGTTTTCAAATAAATTACTGAGACTGAAAAACCAGACAAATAACAAAATAAAAAGCCTTTTGCTCTTCTTGAAAATATTGCAAAGGGAGCTATCTATTTATTTATGAAATTCATTCTGCAAATTATTTTTGTGCTCAGAATAAGTAAAAGATAATGAACCATGCTGCACAGTCAAAATTCCTGCAAGTTGCACTTTGTTTAAAATTGCATCCAATTCACTCTTGAACTAATATTAGCAAAAGTGACAGTGGTGAATGAATTTAGTAATCTAAGAAATTGGTAAGGAACAAAGTACGTATGACAGCATTGATGAAAACTGTCTGTCGCAGAGGTTTCCTGGCAGCTAGAGGGGGACAAAAATAATATTCAGAGCTTTTTTATCAGAAAATGCTAAAATTTTAACAGACTTCAGTCCAACATTTTTAAATATATTTTACAACACTATTTTGCTTTACCAATTTCCCATGACTTATCAAGCATATTTTTCACAACACTATATTGCTTTACCAATTTCCCATAACCTATCAAGCATAATCAAGTAAACTGTGATTAAATTTGTCAGTGGTAATATATCAACTGCCAAATCATACAAGCAAACTGTAATTGAACCTTAGAACAAATTTTTCAGTAAGCAGAAGTAAACCATATAATGTATTGAATTTTTTTCAAAATTCAAAATACCTTCTTTGAGTTTGAGTATCCTGGTAATCTTCTTATCATCCTTCCCGGCATCAAGCCACTGGTCACACGGATAGATGAACTCTTTGTCACCCTCCTTGATGACCACTTGGTGACAGTACCAGCCATCCCCAGGGGAGTCAGTGTCTATGGACACCTCACAGGTGGACAGCTGACCCAGGGACACTGCCTCCAGCTCAAAGACATCAACCTAAACATAGAGATAAGTGGATGGTGTTATGTCAATCAAATTTTCAAAAAACAACATCAATGAGGTAGTTTTTTTTTTCAAAAGAGAGAGAGAGAGAGAGAGAGATATTTTCTAACTACCCTATATTACAACACATATAATATACAATAACATCCTACAACAATTGTAATGTGCAGGCAATAAGTAGTTCAGACATGCATATAATTCTGCATGCCCTTTGATATATAACGATTTAACATGTATTTTTTAAGTCTTAGACATACAACCTTTTCTCATTGCAGTCATAGATATTAATCAATAGGCAAACCTTACCTGTCCTTGAAGAAACCTGTCCTTGTTATTGGATCTGTGTAACAATCTTTTCCCAGTATCTCCGTGCTCTCCATTCAACTGGATGTACACATTAGCCTTGGTGTCAGAGTCTACCTCTGTGCCAGTGTGAACAGAGACTTGATACTTAACAACTGCAAGCCAAGGCAAAAAACAAATTTAAAAAATGAATGTACATAAATAAAAACTGTAACTTGAAAATTTCTTCTATAAACATTTGTATTTACAAAACACTTACATTGTGTTCAAAGCAAAATCAAGAAGAGTTTTAAAAACAGCACAATAAATAATGATATCATATCTTAGGAGGTCAGTTTTTGTACTCAGTAACTATTTTAGTCCCACATGTAGCACAAACAAGCTAGGAGTAAAATGATGGCTCTGGTTTAAAGTTCCCGATGAGCAAAAAACAAAATAAACCAAATTCATGACATGGCCAACAACAGATGCAGGTGATGACTATATAAAAATAGACAAAAAAAACATTATCAATGAGTTTTTCTAACCTGGAAGCACTTCCTTTCCATTCTTCATCACGGGCAGTTCTCGGGCCACTGCACCATCATCCTCAGCACGTGACAGGTAACGGTCGAACCTGAACAGGTGAGTCTCATTACTGAAGATATCCTGCATTTTTACCTGGATGGTGGATGACATCAGTAAAATTAGAATGAAATATTATATTAGCAATCCCTTGTTATGATGCCAGTGAATGTATAAATATTTTTCACTTGCAAGCTGCTTTCTTAAAAATGTAATGAATAAAAAAATACAATTTTTACATTCTTTCAAAATAACTTTATTTTTAGTTGTGGGTATAGTCATGGCAGTATAATTTCACTGAAATTATATGATACTGATCCTTTTTAGTAATACTGCTCATTGTTCAAAAAAGGTCTGCCATTAACCCATCACCTTACCTCTTTGACTTTCCAAGTAGCAACTTGTTCTTCACTCATATCCTCTACCAGTTCTATGCGAATCTTATAGATTTCCCCAATCTTATTCTTTTCTAGATTGGCCTACAAAACATGATTTTATGACCCTTAAAATACTTTCACAGACAGCATTCAAGCAATAAACTTATACAATAGTCTTTTAATAGTGTTTTAATTAATCTGATGTATATATACAGCCAAACATCAGGCAAAATATTGGATGGTGAGCTATTTCTCAAATTACTGACAAAAGAGATTTTAAATTTCTACTGAAATTATATAATTTAGCTGATAAACCTTTTTATCTCTCACATGTTTTTTGGCAGTGCTTCTTCACCTACCTTGAAGACATCACGGTTCCCTTTCTGGAAAACCTCATTGAGTCCTGATGCTCCCAGAATAACTGGTGAGGATTTCCCCTTGTTTCCATATACCATCAATACAATATAACCATGCTGTAGACTCTCCAGAGTAGATATCCAGATCTTCCAGTCTCCCTCTGAAATATAGAATGTAGTCAGTTTGAGATTACCAAGGCAACAGAATTTTAGCTATTTTTGTATTTATGTTGGTGAAGCAAGATTCAAAGAATCATTTTCACTATCTTCAATAAAATTTCTGAATAAACAAATAATAAAATCTTTTAAAAATGCATATTTACAAGATAAGAAAAGAAAAAAAACCTGTTCAAACCTTCAATTGAATTAAGGTAAGTGAATGAAATGCTGTCTCAAAAACATATATAATATGACAGTTTTTATGAATGTGAGATCTGATGACCCAAAGGAATAGTTTCAAGAAAAAAGAAAAAAAAACATTGTTATCTTTATTATTCATCTGTTTTAAAACAGACCATGTGAAATATTTCATTACAACCAATTTCAAAATAGCTTGTTTGTTTTGATTTTTTTTCTTTTTTTTTCTTGTTTAAGAATCAATTTTTTAGCAGTGATCCACTGACATGAACTAATCATACCTGTGAACTCAGATACTGTGCTTTCTGGTTTGGAGGACATTGATGCCACTGATTTTGCAGATTTTTTACTTTCTTTCTTTGGTGTCTTAGTCTTTTCCCTTGGTGTTTCTCTAGCAGGTGATGGAGTCCTGTTACCTAAGTTAATGTTAATATTAAGAACAGCTGATTCCTTTGCTGGAGAGGCTGTCTTCTCCCTCACATGGCTCTTCACTGGTTCCTCCACTGGTTCCTCAACTGGGCTCTCCTCTTTCTTCTTTCTCTTTCCAACTGAAGAGGGAAAACATCATATGTGCAACTTTATTTTTAAATTAAAGGTACTATTTGCCACCCTAAAAGTGAACAAAAGCACTATCTTTGTTTTGATTAAAAATAGAAATGAAAGATGAAAGATGGTCTTAATATTTGAAAATCATACTCTCACAGCTAACTTATGCATTTCACCCTCATCATCATTTAATCTAGATATAATATGTTTAATACAATACTTACATTTGATGACCTCTGGCCAGAATCTCACATTCCTCTCGCCAGTGTCTACTGTGGGGCGTACCGTCCCATCTGCGGTCATTCCCAAGGCAACACCTCTGTCAGACACCGACTCCAGAGTGATAAAACCTTTCTCTTTGTATCTGACCACGCGGAATTCACAATGCCCATCACCAGTGCCCTAGAGGAAGGAGTACATTGATAATACAATACAATAATACATATCATGACTGATGTAAAATCATTTTCACCATGCAATAATGAAGTTTTCACAAATGAAACATGCATAGTGTAATATATACAAAGACTATTGCAACATAGTGCATAGTTCATAAATACTTTTTCCTCATGAATTTGTAAAATAAATTAATTTTCTAAATTCAAACGAAGAACTAAAAAAAACATGCTTTTGCTCATGTTTCTCTTGTAGCATATACTTCCACATCTGGAGGAATGCTGAATGAAAGAAATTTTACATTAGTTTTACTTACTTTGCAATCGGCTTGTCCATCCTTGATCTGTATGAACTGTCCTGGTAAAGCCAGACTCTCAAACTTTCTCACATTTCCTTCTGTGCCCACTTTGTGCACCTTAAAGTGTGCCAGTCTGTTCCTCTTCCCTGTGGCGATCAAGGTGTTGTCATTCTCCACAGCCAGGGTTTGGAATGGGGAGGTGCTCAGCATGATTTCACCAGTGTCACGGAACATACCCTGGGAAGAAGAAAAGAATGCAAATTTCAACCATGTCATGGAACATACCCATGGGACGAAAAGAAAAGAATACAAATTTCACCAGTGTTATGGAAAATACCCTGGGATGAAGAAAATAATACAAGCATCTCAAACTCAAGATATTTCATCCTCATTTTTGTTGCCTGCTGGTGATACAATGAAGATTAATAAAATGCCATAGTAAAGAAAAATGACTAGAGGATATGTGAAAAAAGCTTTTAATTAAAAAAATCATTTCTAATGCAAATACCCCCTCCAGGGAAAAAAAAGGGAAAAAAAGATTTTTGAACAACAATGTGTTCCTCATATAATAACAAATTAATTTGAATGAGGATATTTAGGGTACCTTGCAGTAACAGAAGAACATCTTTGTGTGATCTAAGATAGACCCTCTGGGATCCCCAGCTTTCCCATTCTTCTGGATGGTGACAGTCTGGAGAGTGTGCTTCACAGACTCCAGGGCAATGCTACGGTCCCTCTGTGGACGGATGATAAACTCGCAGTAGGCACCTCCCTTACCCTGAATCCAAGAGAATACACCATCATACTCATGTACAAATAATCTTACACCATTACAGCAAGCATACAAAGGGGAGTATCAAGTGGCCTTTGAAACTCGGGGTGCAAGCAAAGCAGAGACAATACAAATCATGCAGGTTTAACAAGACCATTTCCTTACTAATATAACTATGGTCAAATCAAACAAGTGTCATCATTTACAAGGTGTACATCCTCACCTCATCTGTTACGCTAGATAATAAGGAGATTTAATTTATCTATACAAATGTGACTTCTCTACATTTAAGTGTTCCTTACCATTCCTACCACTTTTCCATTATCGATGGCAAGATGATATTTTGGATTTTCCAAGCTTCTGAAAACGCGGATGCTGCCCTTTTTAGCGACCACTGTGAATACACCTGATAAAAAACAAAAATTCATGTCACCATCACAATATCTTTCTGTTGCTTTTCATATAGAAAACAAACTTATCAAAACCATCTCAAAGTTAACTCTTTATAATTTCACACTTAAAAAAACACCTTTCAGATGGCTGAGAATACACAAACATTATTGAATAATTAGTATAGTATATGATCTAATATGTGAGGCATGACAGAAATATTATTGTCCCTATCGTAATAATTATTGCTGATTTTATTCCGTTAGAGAAAAGGAGACATAACATCCATTAAATAACAGCAATGGAACAGAAGTGCTGTTGTAACTTCTGATGTTATTGATGACACTGACATTCAGGCATTAAATTATATAGTAAAACAATTATTGACTTTTGCTTTGAATCAATATGTTATTTGGCAGAACTCAGGTAAGTGATATCGACCAAGGTGCGGCAGAGGTCAACATCACTTTTCTGAGGTATACAAAACATGTTGACCTCAGCCAAATTCTGTAAGGCCTCCATGTCAACATGATCAAACAGAAAACAAGTTTACATATACAATTCAACTTGATTCCTTATTACTTCACACTTTAAAAAGTTTAGAACATCTTAACGTAACAGTTAAAAATTTCTTTAAAAAATATCATACCCAGTTCGTCCTTAAAATCCCCGTCACCATCCACGCTGCCGTCTGGTTTCAGGCGTAAGGCCCTCTGGGTCAAAAGATTTATGAACACCACCTTGTTGTCATTGGCATACTTCCACTGCTCATATTCCCACTGCAAAACAAACACCTTGGATCATTAAAATGTTGAAAACAGAACATTTATTAAATATACATGTGAACCTTGTTTGTTACGTACTTTAAATGTACCTAGCTACTATACCAAAATTATGAAACATCAATATTTTATTGGAGTACTTGATGGATTATGCAATTAAATAGAGATACAAAAGGGGAAAAATAAATAATAGACCCACCATTTCTTTCTCTATCTGAAACTGGGGAGATTCTTCCTGGACTTTTATTTCACGCACAATCTTCTTGTCATCTTCTCCTTCGTCCAGCCACCTTAGAGAAAATCATCATGATCACTTTATGCAGAGTATGTTTTATGGGGTTGACTCAATGAAATAAATATAACTTCCTAGTTCTGAATATTATTTTCAATGCTTGCATTTGCTTTCACTGCAGATGTGTTTTTTATGGGCATGTGTTAGAATCACATACGTTAGTTTTTTGAAAAAAAAAAACATTCTCTTGAAATCCAATTCACTTGACTTATAACATCAGTTCAACATTCATTACATATTTTCATATTTGCATTTCTCCAATTCTCAAGTATACTGCTGAAGGAAATTACCTGTGGCAGTAAAATAAATAATCTTCTTTTGCAGAGGGAGATTCTTTAATTATGACCTTCTCTAGGAACCACCCTTGACCTGAAAGAACAAAGATAAAAATATTATGAACTAATTATATAAGCAAATTTCAAGTAATCAGTTTGTTTCATGATAACAGAATGCCCAAACACTTTATAATTATTCCCCCGGTGCAATGTAATTGATTTTCACACTTGTTTCATCTCAGTATACAACTGCATGGGAAACCAGCTAGTAATCTGAAAGGACTATGTAATGGTTTCAATTTTCAATTATGGTAGATCAGTTTTTAATGATAAAAATATTTGACTCTCATCTGTTTTTGCTTGCAACAGGTGCCTGTAGCATATTTTCTCACCATGCCCTACGCCATCATGACCGATGATTATTTTCTTCAGTGCACCAAGTGAAACAGCTTCTATGGTAAAACTGTCATTCTGTAAATAAAAGACAATGCAATCAACATAACACAAAGGCACCTCAGCAGAAATTTATAGAATGGGCATCTTTTTATTCAAACTTAATATAAGAAGTAATAGCTCAACCACAATCTGTTGAACGTTTCAGTGCACAATCCAAGTGGTGGTGGTGGTGGTGGGTGTGTGGGTGTGTGTGTCAATTTCATCCTCCAAATCATCTCATAATGTCATTTAGGAGTATGTATGACCTTTTTTTGTCTACTGGACAACTAATATAATTATAATTCTGGGTGAGGTGTTTTTATAAATGGATTAAACAAATTATCACACCAATGACAGACCCTACAACATGCAATTAAATGTCAGTGTGCATGGGGTTAAGGGTGAAACTGGTAAGTGAATTTTTATCAAAGAAACAGAGATGACGGCTGACTGGGGTTCCACATGGTCATCTGAACAAACAAAGTAAAGATAATGTTAAACATTTTAGGCTTTATGAAATTACTGTAAATTTTTCTATGATGAAAAAAATGAGAGAAAGGCAAGTAAAATGGGTGAATTTCTGCATGGGGTAAAGCAGTAAACTTGTGCATCAAAAACAGGTAACACTGTGCAATGCTTTGTTACTATTCAAACTGAAAACAAAAATATACAGAATGGTGACAGCAACCCAAAGGACAAATATAAAATTGATTTTGTCAGAATACTAAAAACACAGCAAAGACATATCTTATCCCATGCTAGTATGTGATAATAAATAAAGGTCTGATAAAAGTTATTTCATCCTTCACTTTGCTGCCTGATGGTGATACAATACAAAAAATAATAAAATACTATCAATCAAAGAAAAACAACAAGAGGTGTAAAAAGTTTAATGCTTGTCCGACAGTAAATAACATCAGTGTGCATCATGCCACAACAAACTATCTACCTTGTCCATTGTAAATAACTTTTCATCATCCTACAAAGAAAAGTTCAAAGTTTGTTTCACTGGTATAAGGACAGTATCAACTACATGAAAAGAAACCTAAACTAGAATTTTACTAAAATAAAGAGAATAGTACTTGAATTTAGCACATTTAAAAGCTACTGACAAGAATATGAAAGAAAAAATATACTGACATGCTAAAATTAGAAAATAAATAAATAAATAAATAAATTTCATTCCCTCGAGCAGTGTCAAAGCCTACCTTTCCCTTCTCATACTGGAAGTCTGTCCTGTTGTGTTTGATGAGCTGCCTGACCCCAGTGTCTCCCCTCTCCCCATAGATGGTCATGTACACATTGGCCTCTGTGCCTGCATTGTACACATCCCCTGTGAACACCTGGACACTGTACTTGAACACTGGAAACAGATTAAATCACTTGGTCAGATCTTCATAATATGCATTTTTTTTTCATAATCCCTTGTATAATGATCGACAGTAAAAAAAGTGAATCATTTCTAGAGTTTGTTTTTTTTTAATATGAATAAGTTACATGATCAAGGTACCTTGATAAAGGGTCAAAATGTTATGCCTTGTGAAATATGTTTAATGAAACATTGAAACTACTCACTTTTTAACCATCTCCATGAATCTCATTGAATAAATGAAGTACAGTTGTATATATTATACACTTTGTCAAGTTACTTTATATTCTCCCACACTGTACTTGAACTCAGAAAACAGATTTATTGAGGAAGCTGGAACTGAGGCTCAGACTAGAATTCATTAAAACTGAGACTGAATGGAAGTCAATTCCAGGAGTCAAGGAAAACCCACCCAAAGTTCCTTCAAAATTTAGGAATCAATGGTTGTTTTGTGGGTCCTAGATTTCAAGAAATTTAGATAATTTTTTAATCACAACTACAGTAGTTTCCAGGCAGGGGCTGTGGTGTTTTCTCACCTGGTAGTGTGGGCTTATTCTCTCTGACAGCTGGCAATTCTCTCGTAATCTCACAGTCATCCTCCTTCCTGGACAGCCAGCGCCCACACGTGAACACGAGATCTTCTTCAGTGTGCATATCGTGCATTTGCACCTAAAATATGCAATTGTTTCTTCAAATCAGCAAAATCTAAAAGAAAACTGAACCTAAAATCTCAAAAATGACTTTAAAAAAGCACATCATTCTCAAAACTGATGTGTATATCCATAAATGAAATCATTAAAGATGTTAAAGGAATCAATCTTGATCAGATGCTATGGGATATAAATGAAGGCCAAGAGCTTCAGTTCAAACCAAACTGATGCAACCATCTGTAGTGTTTTTAGTCTGTGGTTTAAGACCCCATTCCCAGAGATTAGATTGATCTAATTTAGATCGACCTAACTCCCTGGGGGTTCACGCTAAATAGCTGTCAGCCGAGCGGGCACGAAAGTTATATAATTACCCCCTTACAGCTTGCAGTAGGCGGGACGGACATTTAAGCCGGATTATGTGACAGTAATCTAGTGAGACTCCCCGCAGGGATAGATCGATCTAAAATCTATGGGAATACGCCCTAAGGTTTTTAATTCCGTAGAGTCTCTTGTTAAAAGTTTATACATCTGTGTATTGAGGAGGACATTTGGTGCAGTAGAAATAAATCTCTGATGTTTTGCTCTAGAGTCTCTGGTTTCAGGCTTATACCTGTATATTGAGAATGATATCTTATCTAAATGCCATAGAAATAAAGCTTTATATAATTATTTTCTATAGCCTGAGACTAGATTCCATTTAACCTGATACTTTACCTGATCACAGAACCAGCCAGGGAACTCTCCAGCATTATCATGATGCAGTCGGATCTTGTATATTTCACCAATATTTCCAACAGATATCTGGAAAAGTCAATTAATTTTAAGGAAAAACAAAACAATAAATTTTTTAACTATTTGTTTTCTTTCACAAAACTGAAATCAGACAGTTTTTTATAACCCAAGAGATAAATGTGCCACACTAGCCATAGATGATTATAACATTTCACTTGTTATTGATTAACATTCTGAGCACTGTAGCATAAGAAAAAAGCATTATCTAAAAAAGAGACTTCAATGACTAGTTAAAATCTTAAATTGATATGACATTTTGTTTTCTATATTTCAAGAAAATATCATACATAATATTTTGGAGGTAAGGTTACATTAATGTTCACAACAATCTGACAAGTTAATCAAGTAAGTGTTAAAAATCACATTTTTAATATTACATTTAGTGTTTAGTTGTTATATGGAAAAGTTATTCCATCTTAAATTATTTGTTTATGAAAAGGAAAAAATTAATTAAAAAATTAAGTATCAATCATTTTCAAAGTGGTGTACATTTCGTTTTATTCCGCATTTCTTTTTTGCTTTCTAATATGAGACCAAGGAAAGGCCTGTTCTGTAAATCTAAGAGATTTTTTTCAAAAAAAAAAAACATTGGTTATGTATTGCAACATAATCATATTTTGCAAGTTAAAAAGTGAAAATATGCTAGAAGATTTAAGCTGTCAAAAGTGAAAGAAATAAAATAAATACAAAGAATCCATTCAGTGCAACATTTCAAAATGACAAAAAATCAAAGATCAGTGCTTTTTCTTCAACAAATGTTTCTGTTAGCAACCATGAACAATCCACCCCAGATGTTGGCTGTGATATACTTAGCAACAGTGATAAAGACACCACAACACTACCTTGGAAAACAACACAACTTTTCTTCCAGCCTGGAGACAAATCACATATAGACATGAATATCAATATGTGGGCACTGCTATATCTAATATTACCAACAGAAAAATCTATAGAATCACAACCTGGGCATTGACTCTCCACTGTAAAGTGCCTTACATAAATACAATATACTGTTATGATTATATCCAATAAATCAATAAGACAAACTTAAGCTTAAACATGTGTACGCAAACTTGTCACATCCTCACATTCAATGAGGTATATACTTTTTAAGGTATCAGTGAGGTTCTTGTATTGATTCTCATTTGTGTAAATCTCCCCACAAATACTTCATGAAGAAGAAGCGTGTCCTGACTGGCTTAATTAATTCTTACCTCAAACTCGTCCTTGTGTTCGCTCTGGAAGGCGGAACCATCAGGCAACCCAAGGGGAATAGCACCAGAGTTGCCTCTCTGTCCATACACAGTGATGTACACCTGGGCCGTGGTGCCAGCTGTGGGGAGCTCATTGGTGGTCACCCACACCTTCCACTTACCATCTGGAAACAGTTACAATGAGCTATGAGGAACAGTTATGCAGCTTAAGCCAAAGATTTTAATTGCACACCTTGTAAAATTGAGGGAAACAGAAATTGTAGATTAAAAATTATTTGATATGTTCAATAACTATTCTGTGAGGTGAAATCGGGAGTCACCCTAGAGAGAATAAATTAATACAAGGCACAATAATGATAGCAAAGTAAAGGATAATTATAAAAGGTTGAGTGTTTAACTGCCCAGGGGGAGCTCACTGGTGGTCACCCACACGTTTCATTAACCATATGGAAACAGTTGCAATAAGCTAATAGGAACATTGGTGCATTTTTCTTGTAAAATCTTGTAATATTTTTTTTTTATTAAAATTTTGCATAAATTCTCAATGTCAATATATACAGTTTTGGTTTTATTTTAACAAATCAGGCTAAAGTATGGTAAGTGAGTATATGTGAGAAAATAAACATAACGACAAAGTTCAAATTCTGCATATAAGAAAGGAATTAACGTAATACAAAAAAATTAATCAACATACGTGACTTTGATATTTTCTCTTTCTTCTCCCTGACTTTACTCTGCTCACTGTCACCAGTGACTATGCTCCTTCTTTTGCGCTGAGGAGGGCGAGGTGATATCCCTGCCTCAATCTCTGGCGTTATCATAGTCTTAAATGGCTCAGCCTTGGCAGCCACATACACATCAGGGCCATGGAATATAGCAGATAGGCTTGTTACCTGTGTGATATAATAATAATAATAATAATAATAATAATAATAATAATAATAATAATAATATCTGAATTGGAATGATATATTTCACTTTTCTGTGGTGTACAGCATTTACACTTACAGACATTTTATAATTTATTTAAAGCTTTTAAAGCTAATTCATATTTTTCCAATCTTGTTTTAGAGGGATACTCCATAAAGAAAATGATTATGATTAGAATAGAATATCATATTATATGCATAAGAAATATTTTATCAGTTCATAAAAGTGAAATCGATGAGTTTTGCTCTTAGCATCCAAATATTCCCAAAGAAAAAATAATGATCTGCTGGTTAATGTTTTTCTTATTGATTCATCTTTAGACCTTAAGTGTAAAGGTCAATCACCCTCAGCTGGTGTCTTGTGTACTTTATCAATTAGCTCTTTAAATTTAAAGTTGACAATTATGATTCATTTTAAAAATATCATCCAACACTGAACATGTGATTTTCATCTTCTATTGTCATGGATAACATGGTTTGCGAGTATAAAACCAAAACCTGCTTACAAAAAATGAAGCTGAAATAATGAACAAAGCATGTGAGTATTCCATGATCTCAGCTGACTGTGACTGCATTGAATGTAGAAACCTAACAATCATCTACTCCATTTTATCACTTATGGCAATTATGAAGTCTCCTTTTCCGGAGATATCTTTTTTAACAAACAAAGATGAAGTATAATCAAAACTTCAAGCAAAAACTGAACTAACTCCTTATCGACTTTTTGTACCAATGTAAAGGCAAATTTTTACGATTCCTTAACTCCCATTTAGAATAAAAAAGTAATTCACTCATCAATTTAAAAAAATCAGATATGGGGTTAAACAGGTTTTTTTTACTAATATAATTTTTTACTTGTCATGATCATACTATATATAACAGGCCATATCTCCTGCTTGGTTTAGTTTCATGTCAATTGATTGATGATCATACTTGTTTCATGATTTTTCTTATAACAGGCAGGGGCGGTGTAGGTTACCAAAGTGTTATATATATATATAATATTATGGAGTGTGTTTGTAAAAAATTCATGGATGTATCTCCCAGAAATTGCTAAATATCATGAGAGATGCTCTGTTCAATCAATACAGAATGATGACATCAAATAACCATACAGCGCATCAAACTCAGGAGATTGCTTCCCCCACGTGTTTTCTCTTCCAACAATTTCTCAATTTTCTGCAACTTACCAATTTCCCATCAGTTGTGAACAGGCGCCTGACAGCTATCCGAAACAAGTCACTCATGTCATCAAGTACTTGCTCAAACGTCTGAGCAGTCCTTCTATTCAGCATGATGACGTGCCGCTCATGTGGAAAGCCATTTTTCATCACAGTGATTTTTTTTGGAACTGTGGTTGTAGTAAGCAACCTTGATTCTGTTCGAGAAGTGTTTGCCACTTTCTTTTTTCGTATATTTCTCCCCAATAAATGGCTGTTATATGCATTCTTCCCACTTGGAGGTTTTCCACCATGCCAGGCACGAGGGGGGTGCACAACTTCCACTTTGATTCCTTTAGCATAATTCCTATGAGTGGAACATACATACCTCCCCTCATTCTGCATGTCACTGACATCCTTTACACTATGGCGACCCTTTGGCGTATATATACTTCGTACTCCAAACGACAACCCAGGCACTTTCACAGACAAGTCTGACAACAAGGTGTCCATGCTGCGGTATTTTTTTGGACTGATAGCCATAGATACAGGGGAGAAGTAGTAGTCCCCATCCTTGTAGAAATGAATTGTTTTGGCAACTTGGGTCGACCTAGGAGAGGCGCCAGACCCCTGCACATTCTGTTGAGGACTTCGCTGCATTTCGTTGTTGTTCTGCTTCTACGCTGGGTGCATCTCGATTTTCAAGGCACAGTCAGGAATAGCAATTATTAACATGATGCTATATTCTTCCATATCTGAAATGCAGAGAAAATCTAAATTAAGAATTGATAATGCAATAAAATAAAATATTAACATACAGACTTTTACAAACCAGCCAGTTTATTTTTGTCTTAAGATATGCAACATTTCAAGAATTGTTCTTTGAAAATACTGGAACAGATACTGAACTGAGGATGCACTTTTATGATTCAAAGTAACACTGTTAAATATGAATGACCAATGACGATGAAATCAGACTTGCACTGACAGGCTTGACCCTGTGTTGCCAGCATAAAAAAGTCCTTATGAACCTCAGACTCAAAGCCAGTCTAGTAAACTGGTGACAGCATGTTATCATTTAGAATATTTTAATTTCTGCGTAACATTATTGAATACTTCTGTCAATCTTTCGTAGCAAACTCTATTTTCTATTAGAACCTGTATGTAAAACTACTGAATACCTCTGTCAATCCTCTATGGCAAACTCAATTTTCTATTAGAACTCAAATATCTTACATATTCCCATATCTGATTTTAGAAAATATTGTTGAATGTGGCCATACACCGGCTCTTAGAAAACTAACATCACCATCAGCGTCTCCTTATATTCTAAGGAAATGTACTGTTTTCATCATTTTGATTAAAACTTTTAAGAAAGAAAAACCATTGATTTTTTTTCACAAAAATAGTAGTAGTGAAAACATTTCACAGGTATTCTCACATAAGATCTATTCATTATAGTTTAATCACATATCTATTTTTAGATTACAGTAATGGGCAAAAGTTATCAAACTTTCATATACATAATTTTACAATCACTTAATAATATTTTTAACAGTGTTTTTGGTGTTTTACTGCATAGAATAGAACTAGAGTAGCCTGCTTTTTAATTTGTTGCTACCACTCAATAGGAATGTTCTAAACTCAAGAAATTAAGACTTAAAAAATACAGTATCTTTAAAATTCATAATTTTTCCAAACTGAAATGGAAATTATCGTTTGTGAAAGCTGAATGTTAATCTTAGTGCAGTGGAATTCATTTGAAACATAGATGTTTTATTCTTATTCAAAGTCAACAAAGAATGAACTCGACAGTCCTTGTGCAGCACACCTGAGAAGAATAGTCTCAATAACAGAGCAAAGTAAACATAGCTAGGTTGCTAAAACATGACTGAGACATCTGCACCCTAGTTAACAGATCATGTTTACCTTTATCAAAATGCTCTCAAGAAATAGCAGAAAAAAGGAAGGGTTCTTTACTGATAAAGTACCATAAGAGATAGGGAATCTCAATTATATTCCTGGGTGATAAAAATTAATTTCTTCCAGAGAAGTACATTAAAAAAGATGTTTTAAAATGTTTGATTTACCTTTTTTTTCAATGGGGATTTTCTCTAAAGTGACTAAGGCACCAAACTATTAAAACTTTGGTGAAGTAGGTTGTTTTTCCCCCACCTATTGTGTAATGACAGAGAGTAAAAAAGTAAATTGTTTTTGAAGTCTTCAGAAACACATTTCCCATTGGTTATGAAACAGGTTTCAACCCTTCATCAACATGCCAGTTTTTTGTTTTTTTTTTTTTTTTTGAAATATCCAATCTTTTATCATTATTTGAAACTTTCTTGAAAATTTAAAAACAGCACATAAAATTTAAAATGTAAAGCGAGCTGAAGATGATGGAAAAGATGTATGAAAAAGAAAACAGTGAACCTAACACTTTTTAAGGTAGCACATTTTTGTTTACATGCAAATAAATGAAATATGACACTGTATTAAACAAGCCCTCTTTGGTCTGATTGTTTTTTAAGCTGAAAATTTAGATGACTTGTGCAAACACCAGCTTCCACTGGTTTTTTACTACCAATGTAAAACAATCCTAACTACATGGCATCTGTAAACAAGAAGTGAGTACTTAATAAACAAATTCCCAAATATCCATGAAGGATCAATCTTTTACCTGTCAACCAGTGCTAAAATAAGTATCACCATATGGAAGATAACTTGGAAAATATAAACATAGCAACTGTGGAATGGATCTGATACAAAACTACTAGCATCCAAATCAATCATGTATTAATTTTGTCACCAAACAAATTCTGCTTGATATTTACCTTGCAATGACTCAAAGATATGTCCCTATTTCAACCATGCTTTGATGGATGACAGCATCATTAAGGGTGTTTCTGGGAATCAACTTCAGTTCCACAAGCAATAACCCAAGTGCACACTGACATTAAACCACTGGATTTATTGACAATCAACAAATAACATGATGTTGTCAGAACTGCTACCTGAGCTATAACGTAATTATGTTATCTGTTTTCATTCATAAATGACAGCTTATAGGGATTTACCAAATAAAAGGATATGGAAAAAATCCATAAAATTGCCAATCCTACAGCAATACATGTTTTATATATAAACAAATACTTTATTGTGTAATCGTGTGTAGCACAAGTAGCACCAAGCCTCTACTATATGACTGTAATGGGATGACATGTAAAAAAATCAAATATTGTTAGGAAATTTCCTGGTGTTCTCAACAATCACAACGTTTATCAAACACCACAAAAGTTAAGTTAGAAGACCATATTTCCTTTTCTTCAATTAATCTAATGCAAAAAGAGAAAAATTAGAGATAATGATAATACCACAGTAGTCTGCATAGTAAATGTAGAACTCCAACAACCTATACAGTTTCTATATTAAACTTACTCATTATTTGCCTCTTTCCTTTGAATTACTACAAAAGGTCTTCTCTCAGGAGTTATTGTTGTTACATCAAAGCTTATTTGCTAAAGAGATGTAACTAGTGACAGAGAAATTTAATACAATCTACCTGAACCCAACAATCCATCAAGCACCATTTTCAGGAGAAAACTTTCAACTGCTTGACAACACCTCGATTACACACAAAGATAACTGTGCAACAGAAAACAAACTAATACATTTAATTGTCTGCTTTCCATGTTTTCATTTTCCATTAACGGAGTGGCAATTCAGGCAAATAGTTAATTCATATATATATATATATATATATATATATATATATATATATATATATCTGCACATACAAATTACTGCAAAAAAAATTTTTTTTTGTATTTCTAACATCAGTCTTTTTGACTGAGGGCATTATGAATTAGTAAATTTCAAAGTAAATTTACGTCTAACATCCCATTTCCATAGATTTTTATATCGATCTATCTCTGTGGGGAGTCTCACTAGATTACTGTCAGCTTGGCCAGCTTAAGCGTCTGTCCCGCCTACTAAAAGCTGTAAGGGGGTAATTAACTATGGTTCCCGCTCGGGTGACTGCAATTTAGCGTGAACCCCCAGGGAGTTAGGTCGATCTAAATCTTAATCTTTAGATCGATCTAAATCTTTGGGAAAGCACCCTAACTGTAACTTACATGCGGACCTCATTTGCTGCAATATGGCAACCAACAGATAAAAGTGCAGTGAAAGCTTCACAACAGGCAGATGAGAGTTTATCTGCAGTTCAAACTATTGACAAACATGGCACAAAAGCATTGATCAATATAAAGGCAATCAGCTTTTAGCAGACAACAAACAGAACAGAATGTAACTGCTTCAAAATACATATATTTTTCATTTGCCTGAAAATTAAATATATTACAATAATTTTTAATTCAATAACTAAACTATCAAAGGTAGTCACTTTTTTCTCCTTTCAATGAATAAATAAATGATTTTAAAAATATATAGATTCTCTTTAAAATAATGTGTACATCCTATAAATTGCATTTTATTTAATCATATCACAGACAGTTACCTTTTAGTATGTGCCCTGTCATTATGTTCAAACATTAAAACTAACCTGTGATATGTCTGTGATATGATTAAATAACAAAATACAATAGACTTATTACCAGCCTAATGAATTTCTTCAAGAATGGGAACCTAATATTTGTGTGCCTTGTTTTTAAGATGAGAAGCTCCCTTGGCACTTTCAGATGACTCTCAGGTGCATGCCACATGCAAGCTACTCGTATAATGGATCTGACTGCACACAGATATCCCCATGTCACTAATAAAACAAAACAATCAACTTAGCCACACCACAAATGGATTAAGTACTAATCAATGGGATATATTCAATTAATAAAAGTACAGTCTTCATTTCTAGCACCTGTTCCTCTAAACATTATCAAAGACACTTTTTCTTTTAGTATATGATTTCCTTTATCAAGTCAAACCTACAGAAAACCACCACTTTTACTTACAATCTAAATATCATTATGTCTGCTTAATGGTTCAAATCAAATTTTTAGTGCTTAATTGTAATAAAATTAATTATTTAAGTCTAAAAGAGGACTTTAAAATTTGTCTACCTGGCAACTTTGCATCTCCCTCTCAGAGACTATGGATGGTCTACTGAGAATAGAGATCAACTATTCTCAGTCCTGTAAAGTAATCAGCCGACCTGCCGAAGTCTTGGAGAGGGAGACACAACGTCATCAACTAGACAAATTTCAAAGTCCACTAACAGATTTGAATAATTTATTTTATGTGAAATACGACCAGGTGACTAACAAACAAAGTAATATTTAACCGTAATCTTAATTTAAAAAGTAATAATGAGGTAAACAGCCTTTTTATTATTCCTTGTGAAATACAACATAGTCTGCTAAATCTTTAAAGTCTAAGATTTTAGTCATTAGACTTTTTGTGCAACAAAACCCTGGGCTCTGCTATCATTCAGACCACTTTGAAGGATGTACACCCTTTTCAAATTGAGTGGTATACTTTAGGGTTACAGTCGGTACTGGTACATTCTGTGAGATTGACAACTTAAAAGCCCGGTATTTTATAAGAGAATCACTTCAACAGAGCCTCTGTGTTCAACAAAGCTTATTAACATAGAAACCATGCCCATATTACATGGATCGATGCATCTCTACCAGGACTTTCACTAAGTGCAATCACATTAACTGAATGACAAGCCTCCTCCTGTATCCAATGTACTTGTATTATCATCAGCTTTTCTGTATTCTACTTAAAGCCAGGAGGCGGCGTGTTATTCAGTTAAGCTGACTGCAAGGGAATCAGGCCTTACTAACTTCACAGCAAGAAAAGGAGTAAAACACCCTGGAGCCTAATAAACCATAGCGGCAGTCAGGGCCCTTCCAAGGATTGTGGGTACAGGCCATCCAAAATTACCACCGGTAATTTCCTACAAAATTTCTGGGGGTCCAAGTATGCCTAAAGCCCTCATATTTCGAAAAAAAAATCCATAAGCCATCCAGCTGTCTTTGAAAATTTTGGCAGTCTGCTGGTGCTAGTGGCCATCCAAATGACAGACGAAGGGTTCGCTGGGAAAACCCTTGGCGGCAGTGGTACAGACTGCATCACTTAAGTTTCCCACTCCATGTGAAAAGGGCACAAGTTTTTGCCAATATAATTATCCCACTAGAGCCCTTATGACAAGGCCATGAAGCTTAACAAATTACAATCTTCTCAGTAGGTAGGACCTTTAGATCCCCAATGGACCGAGAGTTCAAACTGTAAAGTAAGCCCCCGCCCATTATTGCAATGCTTACCTGAAAGCCAGAAATGACTTTCAAGGTCTAAAATTGGAATTAAAATTCACACCAGCGTCTTATCCTGCACTAATCTAAAAATGTCCCAGAGTTTACATGTAAACCAAAAGGCACTCCAGGAATGCTTCATCAGTTACTACAATACCAAACTGTTATTACAGTAGCAATAGATAGGTTGCGTGAAACTTTTCATGTGTGAAATCTTCACCCACCAGATCAACAGAGAGCGAAGGCCCCAGGTGTCGAAAAATAACATGCAACCCTATATGGGAAAGGTGTCTTGGAATCCTTCCAATATTTTACAGTATGGTGAATAATAATTCATCAAAATATACGGGAATTGTCCTAAAGGACAGATCTTGACAAATATCAGGCCTTGTAAATGATAATTGTCATTTGTGAACTAGAGCCATGGATCTGTGATAGCGAACCCCGAATCAACAACTCAAACCCCAATGTCATTAGCAAGAAGGTAAAAATAGTGATCACATAAAAAAGCATCACATAAAAGAATGTGAACAATTTAACCAGGTTTCAGCAAGGTACTATCTCTGTTGACATTGTGATACTATTCTTTTTCTCAGCCTGAAATATTTTCAATACAGGAATAACGCCTTTTCAATGTGGAAATAAACATTGTCCCATTATGAGATAATGTTGTTACATCAAAAATACAGCTACTCCTTATCCATTAGCTAGTCCCTTACATATATTACTATGTCACATTTTCTGAATTACCATTTGCATATAACAATAAGCATTATAGGTGACTGTCCGTTGTACAGGTATATATATATAGCATGATAAAAACAGTGAAATTTACTTAATAATTCAGTTAATAAAATATATATGCACCTTAAAAGTAACCTAACAACGGTTTTCACGCCAAAGCAAATTTTCCTAGAGAAAAAAGCAAATTTGTCTTACTCGTGTACCATTGCTTGAACCAACAATTTAATCGAATTTGATCTTTTATACATTTGTAGAATTTCTAACTAAACATTTTAGCTCTAAATATCTGGCCGGCCGTTTTGACTGCCATCAGTACGTTTATGGAGGAAATATCGACATCTGGGACATTTATTAAAGGGTTTTATTCTTTTACAGAAAACACAAGAAGCTTTGCATGATATGTAGACAAAGAAGATATGACTTGTGACATTTTCTAATGCGTACATTATACTTGTATACCATGGCAATTACATGTAGTACTACATGTGGTAGTGGACAGTGGTAGTACATGTACAGTACATATACATGTACCTTTAAAATAATCGATGCCGATACTGGAAACACAAGCACATTTAACGCCTTTCAGTTCTCTATTCTCAGTTAACTGAAACTACTTTAATTACAAACAATTGGTCTGAAACCACACGTAATGTCAGTTATTACATTCAGTAAACTAATGCACATCCCACCAACCTTCTCCACAGGCACCTGCCTCTGTTGTTGTAAGCATGACCTACTTTCTGGTCATCTCGCACAGCGTGTGACTTAGATACAGCAGTTCTGTTTTCCAAGTCATACTTCTTTGTACAAAAGCAAAAGTATGAAATATATGGATAATTACGAAAACGATTATACCATAGCTACAACTGATCACGGCTAATGCCCGAATTTTTAAGAAAGCCCGAATGATTTAAAATTAGAGCAACGAGAAAGTCCGAGACTGAGTGGTTAGCAACAAAGATGGCGGGACTGACAACAGATCAAGTAAAGGCGATTGCAAGTACTAAGGTACATTTCCTGCAATGTTGTGTCAATCACTTAAAATTGAATATGTGTATCGAGAACGTCAGTTTCTCTTTTGCGATCCTTTCTTTTGTTTTTCTCTGACACTCGTCGACCGTTTTGATAATGTACTAATCACTTCACTGCCTCAAATGAGCTACTCGGCTGTCTGCTAAAATTGCATGTTCTTCATGTTCCAAAGGGGCAAAGGAATTTTGGTTTAAAGGTTCATTGCTATAGTTTGAAATTGGAACAGATTATTAAAACATTCATTTATAGATCTATAGCAAAATTCCCATTGTTGCTGTTATTATTATTTTATTTATCATTATTATTATTTATTTTTATTATAATTATTATCATTTATCATTACTCATAAACCTCTGAACAATTGATGAAATGGCCTTTTAGATTAATTCACCTTCAGACTGTGGATGTGCACCTTGCCATTTTGTTAGTCTATTTTATATCTACCAGTAAATGTCCAGTACAGGAATTTACAGCCCTGCATTGATGTCAATAAGTCCCACTTTTCCTATTATACACCTGCTTTTCCTGTAAAATACCTTTTATTTTTAATGACAGTTCTGGAAAAAGATCATTTTTTCTTTTTTTTTTTTCTTTCTCAACTTCTTAGAATTACGTTAAAGATACAGTACCACAATTTGTATCACTAACACAAACATAACGCTTTTTTTTTCATGCATAAAATAGCCTTGATGGAAAAAAAATGGCTTGTAACACCTTGTACTCTGTAATGAAGATTGAATTACATATGATTATTCTTTGATATATAAATTTTTCATTTCTTAATGTAGGGTCGAAGAAGTGCCAGGGGTGTGCTGGCTGACTGTTTAAGCTGGGAATTGAATGAAGATGATGTAAAACAAATAATACAGTTGGACTACCTCTATGACACAATTATGTTTGCCATAGAAAAGGGGTTTGCTTGGTCTCAAGTTTGTCTAGTTGTACAGTTATCAATGGAGTTACTAAAGGAGACTGTTGGTAAGAACTGAGATATATATTATTGGTTTTAGAACTACTGGTCTATTTGTTAACGACTATGCAAGTAGTTATTATCAGATTTTGATGACAATTTCAATGAGTGTAACAAGTAAACCAAGTAACGAAAAATCAGATTTTGGTGATGATCCATTAAATAGTTAATTAATTAATTAATCAATTAACAAAAAGACTAATTGTGCTGCCTTGGTGGAGGTCTGCACTCTCTGAATGCATTTCAAGTTAAGCTTATTATTATTATTAAAGTAAAGCTTTTAGAAAAGTGAATAGTATGAGACCATCATGCCATTACAAAATATAAATGCCCTATCATGATGGTCTAATGCATGCAGCTTTTCTGAAGAATTTCTTTTAATAACAATAACAATATAGAGATTAAAAAATAAAATTCCAAAAACATACCAGCTTAAATGACCAGTTCACTCTACAGGTTGGAGTCTTTATGTATTGGAACTATCTGTCCATCTCCATGTACATTTATTTAGTTTGTCATTATGAAAAGATACATTTTTTTAAATATTAGTATTTTTTTACATGTTTAATCTTCTTACTTTCAGATCAACCTATTACAGAAGCCATCAAGATTTTAAAGTCAAAATGTTGCCATTATAATGGGAAAATCAGTGGCAGAAACATTCAACTTTACACAGACTACTTTTTTGACACTTTTATGAAACACTTTAAATTATACCAATATGTTTTCACCAGAGAAAGAGAAAAATGGAACACACAACTGAATCTGACTGTAGAACTACCTCGTGACCCTCTTCCTTGTAGCAGTGGAAAGCAGCAGCACTTATGGGAATATGATCAAAAATGGACAGAAATAGAACAGAAAGAGACTGAAAAGAAGACTGAGCTTGCACAAAAGAAAACTGTTGTTTCTGAGGAGAATGATAAAACAATTAAGGAAGCTTACAGAGAAGTTGAACAGTTAGAGGAAACTGCTGATAAAGAGGTATGTTGTCATATTCATGGCAGAAAGCATTGTTTACAAAGTTAAAAAGAAAAATACATTTTGTTTATATCAACTTTCTCACTTGTGAACTTTAAGATATCTAGTAGTATTTCAATTTTCTTCTTACCATTCTGTTGAAAATTTTGTTTTCAAATATACAATTCTTCATTCTCAGACTATTGCTAAAACAGTAGCAGCATTTGCCTCTGCACATATGAAATCTGCCATAGATAACTTGAGACTCAGCATAGAGGAAGCAGAATATGATCTGGACTTCAAGCTTGAAAAAACAAGTTTAGCTAGGCCACAAGAATTGGGTAAGTTGCATTTTGTCATGGAAAAGGCCTCTATTTTTCACAAAACTTGTCGTTCATTATTTGGAAAATTGATACTCAAATTCATGATTAATTCCCTTCGGATATGTGTAAACAAATAAAACCACTTTCTTTACTGGATCAAAGTGATTTCCATTTTAGTACGTTATATTTTTCTTATGGGAATATATATGATTTTTTTTTCAAGCATAAAAAACTATCATAAATATTATTGTAAAACGTGAACTTGCCTTTATTCCAGGCCCTCCTCCCAGATATAATACTAAGTCTCCAATAAGAGGAAATTCCCCAGTTGGAAGAAAAAGTGCAAACTCAAAAGCAAAGGGAAGGGACAAATCTTCAAAAGGAAAAAAGTGAAACCTATTCTTGCATAGAACTGTACTGAAAATGGAATACTTCAGTCACAGTCCCAGGCCATGTAGAAATTAGGTGCACACTTAAAATATTCACTGTGATGCTAATGTTAGTCATATGAAAGTTTTAGTGCTATGTATACAAAGTGTAGTAAAATAGGTGCATACATTTTGAACAGGTTCACTGTGATAGCAAATTGTGTTACGTTCTTTAAGACATTGTCATTACTGTTAAGTCCAAATGTTATTCATTTATTGTTGTATTTGTTAAGTAAAAACTAGGTGCCCAAATAGTGCAGAATGCTTCCAGTCTTATTTATAGTTTTTCATTCTTAGCCCCAAGTCACTATACAAGTCCATCATTTTATTATTAGTTTTTTTTAGCAGAATGGGAGCTTTGAGACACATAATAGTTATCATTTGCCATGTTTATATGAAATGTTGCCAATAATCTGTACACTTTTCACATACTGTTTTGAATAAATGTTTTAAACCAACAAACAAAATGAAAAAGGTGATTTTTTTTATTTGTTGACTTAAAAGATAAATATGATTATTACTTTTTTTTCTTTGATATTATATACCACTTTAAAAGTCCATTTCTGTTTCCATTTGGCATTGCATGTTTGATAAGCTTATACATCATAATCATGCTCATGACAATATTCTTCAGTGAGATAGTTATCTTTTTAAATATCCAATATGTATCAATCCTGGGTGGAATATATTATCAGTTTTTCTTCAATTTGATGATTGTTCAGCAAGAATAACTTATTGAACTTCAAAGTCAAACTCAAAATATGGTGAATCAAACTGATGACATCTGACAAATCCATCTTCACCACCACTGCTGTAGCTGAAATAAAAATAAATTATTCATTTTATCATTTTGAATCTCAAATATATAAAGATCAAATATTTTGTGTGAAGTTCAATTTACTTATTTTCTAATAACAGTGCAAAATTTGTAGAGAATGGACTTTAAGCAGGACTCAAGTCAAACTCAAACAGGGTTTTTGAATAATTGTATTCAAATGACATGTGGAAGTGTCTGTTGTCCAACGTATAAACTATTTTTTCTTCGCTTTAGAATACAGCCTTAAAGCCCAATTCTGTTGTACACAATATTACAAAGAAAATCTATTGACTAATGAAGGATACTTTAAAACATGCAATGCTGGTTAGGCATTTATATAGGAAAAATATCATGATGATTTTTAAACTTTTTATCAAATTATAAATTTCAAATAGGAGTGAAAGTAACCAGTCTTTGTACCCATTACTAAGGATCGCAAAATTAGAAACTTAAATATGAAAATGATTTTCAAGTAAATTTGTCAACCCTTTTGGACATCAAGTAGTTTAATGAAAAGTGTTGAAATTTATTTAAAACAAGCTCTAAAACTCACTGAGTGCCTTTGAAGTAAAAAAAGTACAAACCTTTTGCCATCTGGATGGAAAGCCAGACTGTTAATTGGCCCAAAATGCCCCTTGACCCTACCAAATTCCTCCTCAAATATAAGATGGTAGAACCTAGCATCGAACTTCCCTATCCTTGAGGATGTTGTAGTCACGTCCATAGCCTCCTGTCCACCACCTAGTACAACCTGAAATAATATTTTTTGTTGATATATTTATTACAACATTAAGAAGGACTTAAGGTGGAGGACAGTGGTTAGAAGACCCATCTTTGGGGCTGTCCACCTTTTGGATATTTACTATGACCATCTTATGTGCCAATACAAGATATAATGCTTTGCATCCAGGATAAGATGGTATGCATATATCAAGCTGTTTTATTCACAAATACAAAAGCTCAGTAGACATACTTTGAGGATCATCTGCACGGCTATTACATGTGTGCTTTGAACTGTCCGCCATAATACATACGAGGTCTTCTGCATATATATATACTCCACTGACTCATACCTGTCTGGAGTAAACTGCTATCATGAGTTCTGGGAATAAATCTAAATACTTTCACAGCAAATCGACTAATGCTGATGGAAAAAAAGAAAAAATGAAAAAGAGCCACCACCACCCACAAAACGGCATCATGGTGAAGAATTTAACTCTACTAGTAATGCAGAGGAGTCTTTATCCCTCATGAGTAAACTATAAGAAATAGAATCAGAAATAAAACTAACATTTAAAACTGATGCACTGCAGGGCATAGTACAAACTATGATAAATGATATTATGCAAGTACGTGTATTTAGCCAAGAGACTGACAGAATAATCAAGGAAATTCACGGCCATAACAAAAGGGGGATCAAAGATATGAAGAGAGAATTAAATCATTTGAGATTGCAAGTCATGAACTCCATGAGAATCTGGCCGAGAGGGACAAAATTGTGAGGGATTAGGCTCTCAGGGTCCCCAAGGCACAAAAATGGTGAATTACAATGAACAGTATTCAAGAAAAACACATCTGACAATCATGGGAATGAAGGAGTTTGATGGAGAAAAATTGAGTGAAGTGGTATGTACAATTCTAAAAGAAACAGTCGAAGTAAATCTAAAGGCAGAGGACATCATGGCCTGCCACGATACCCAGGAAACCAGGCAAACTCCGCCTTATACTGCTGAAAGTCAAAATCATAGAAATAAAGGAGAACACAATAAGGACCAGGAAAGTTTTTAAAACAAGTAGAAGTGGGCTCAGATTAGAAATCGATGTCATTAGACAAACGCCATGCTGGGACAATGCTTAAATGAACATTGATGTATCGATATGGCATGGTATTTCACCATGCAGTATATGGGAAGAGTACAGGAACGCAATATGAAAGAGAAAATTTCAGTATCTCTGAAGACACTGACCAAAAAATAAGACAAAACTCATGTATTTTGTCCCCTGTGCAAAATTAATTATCTGGTGCCCTAAACTAAACCATTTTGTCTAAAAGTTAACGCCAATTTTAAGGCCAATGTTCTTTTGTAAACTGGTTTGTTGAAAAACCCACAATATTTTTTGTGAACTTCCAGATCAAATAACTCTCAGGTTGTTAATCCTTTAGCAGCTCTAACGAATGCATGTCATTTCTGAAACCACGTTTACATTTGAAAAATTTAATGATCTGACATTCCTAAAAGTTTAACTTCTTTTACTAGTAACTACTTACGTGATCCATGAGTGGAGAAATAGATGCAGAGTTAACTGGCCTCTCTGTCCTATATGTTTTCATGTGTTTAAGAGTAGCTGTATCAAATAACTGTAAAGAAAAACAACATCTTTAAAACCAGGACCATATTTATATGCAATAACTTGTGCCAGTCATTCACATGAAAAAAACAAAGACGGCTATGACAACTCATTAATTACAACGTACTGATCAAAAACTAATGTTGTATTAAATATCATACCTACACAGTTGACAGTATCTCAGAGCATTTGCTAAATGCTATAAGACACTAAGAAATTTTTCAAATATATACTTGGAAATGAAATGTTGTTATTATCTCCTTTAATTATATTGTTTTACACAAACCTTAGCTGTGCAATCCTTGGAGGCTGTTATCACCATCGTTTTGTCTTTGGAAGTCTGAATATCATTTATTTGCTTATTGTGGTCTTTGACTTGATGTACCAGATCCCCAGACTAAAAAGATAGTACACAAGCATACATCACACATATAAACACACATATTCACTTAATTTACAAACATTTCACTTCAAGTTCTTCAAAGTCCCCTTGCAAATAAACATTTTTTTTTATCTGCTATCATGTTTTTTTAACCTTCTGAATAAGATAATCACATTAAATCTTTTACTGCATTCTTTTACACTAAAACTTAAACAAAAAAATCAATAATATACACATACCTTAAAATCCCATTGTCTCAAAGCTCCATTCTCATGACCTGTGATAATAAATTCATCCAAAGGTCCCCATATAGAAGCTGTGATTTTACTGTCTCCTGCTGGCATCACCATTAGTGGATCAGCATTGGCTGAAATGAAATAATATTGAACTTCATAAAAAAAATGCTGTGTAAAAATCAGTGTAACAATAATGGGGGTTTGACTCTGTAAGCTAGTAGGTATAAGCCATTCAGTTGGTATTGTCACTATTGAAAACAAATTATATGCACAACTAAGACTTTCAGTACAATCTGGAAAAGCAGATGACATTGTGAGTAGAAAATTTCCACATTATAAGCTCTACACTTTGAACTTGAAGACACATCTAATACTGCAGTAGGTTTATGTAATGAAATGAAAATCTTTTAAAGTTAAAATTGCATATCAAGATCATGTTAACTGGTGCAATTAACCTTTGTGCAATCCTTCGAGGCTGTTACTGGAGCAACTATATGTGGCAAAAGTCAGGACCATTTGTCTTTTGAAGAATGAAAAATTGCCTACCTATTGAATTACTGTCCCTTAGATCATAGATGTGTATTTCTGAAGGCTGGCCCATAGTCTTGTCTGTAGTGTACATGGCAATATTTCCACCATATGAGAAACCACAAGACCTTACTGCTGTTTTTGTTGGAAGATTACTGACAACTTTTCCTAATCAAAAATGAAAAAAGGCAGAAAGATGAGTTAATACAAACGACAAAACATTCACTTTCAATACAAACTGCTCTAGAACCCTCACAAAGTCATGACCAATTCAAAAATAAAAAATTAACATTTAATGTATACATACTGAATTATTGTGACTGAAAGATGTGTTCCACAAAATCATCACAAGACATATCATTTTCTGTTAACATTCTCCCCAATTTATACTTACAATTTTCATCATTACCATGACCAGTGTTCTTAGCTTTATAACAGTAGTCAATCTTAACAGTATATCAAGTAAAAACTGAGAATCATTAGTCTCACCTGTTTCGCAGTCCCATAGTCTACAGGAGTTATCAGCTGATCCTGTCATTACCCTTGTTGAATCCCCTGATTCTAGATTAAGGATTGCATTACTGATTAAAAGTGAATTTATTTCAACTTCAACAATATGGTCATTAAATTCCAATAAATAACAGACAAAATTTACCATTTCCAATTACTGTTGCATAGTTTTCTATATTATGGATTAACTTTCTTCTTTAAAAAATAAAGTGAGCCACCAAAACTTTAAACTAATGATAGCAATTATTGTTTTAAATAAGTCAAACTCAGTGGTCAAGCAAGGATACAGGTCACGTCCACACACCAAATGGCACCATTGTGCCCATTAAATGTGCCCAGTCTTTCTCCATTTAAAGAATACCACACATTGGGGATGTTGTCTTTAGAACATGAAAACAACAAATCTCCTTCCCTGTTGTACTTGATCTGTGTGATGGAACGCTCATGCCCTTGAAGCAATATAGGCCTCTGAAAATATAATTGTAAGCGCTTTATGATTCAAATACCTTTGCACTTACTGTATATTAATCTAATGTGCTAAAGCTATGTATCATTATAAACCATTTCACATCTTCCTTGTAAGTCACGTGTGTCAGTACTCAAAATAGCAAAATCAATCGTTTACTACTAAAATTAAATTAAAAAGCTCCTATTCACTTCCCTGGACTCATAAATATAATGGCCAACAACCTTCAGATCTCCAAAGACGTCATAGTATGGGCATTGAATACTTTTAAAATTTAAAACTTTTAGTATGATTTTAATTATGGGCACATTTGGGATGAAGGGGGCCAAGATATGTAGTTATTTCCAGTCTCCATGTACATTTTATGTAGGAGATTTTTTTACACATGAAAATGTCAGGCCTCAACAACTTACTGTATCTTAATCAACATAATTTTAATTTGGAAAATCAATTAACCTCTTTGGTGCAGATGAAACCTTTACCTCAACTTGCTACTGGGAAGGTATTTCAAATCTATTTCTGAGATACAGAGTAATTAATTATTTATCAAAAGAGGTATGATAATTCAATGGCGCAAGATGCAGGACATGTATGGTACCCCTGAGATAACCTTATCCAACTGATAAGATGGCATGATCAGTGGTTCTCAGGAGTACCATTCTGTGTCATGCGTAACTGATTTTCAAGTCTATTTTAATCTGAGATTTGTAGTGTAATCAGAAGAATTTTGTTTTATAGCTGCACTATGAGAATATTAAAGGGCTACTTGCAGCCTATGTCAATGATTTTTCATCAGTGTAAAGCATGATTACAAACAGGGGTAGGAAACGTATGGAACTGTCAGAAGCAATTAACTTGGAAGATTATGTGACCTGTTCGGCCTTACAACTGACATGAAAACGTAAATTTAAACATGAAATAATTGTACTAGATTTAAAACCATAGAAACACGACGTCCCTGACCACAGAAACGCTATTTTAATTATTAAATATAAGTAAATTTAGTATTTACACGTGAGCATGTCTTCAGAGATACGCACCATATGATAATAAATCTTTGTCATTTAAGGCATAATACAGCGTGAACAAAGCTTCAAATAACAAATTATGTTACACAGAAAATAAAAGCGTAAGCCAAACACCATTTCTATCTACAACACCTACCATTTTAAAGTTTTTACTGTGATTTTCCCGGTTTCTTTACAATCAAGCATGTGCAGCCGGAAAGACACACAGACACACATTAATGCGCAGGCGCAGTAAAAATGTCTGCGTCCCTACGCTGTAGCAGCCGACTACATAAACGATGAATACCGCATGAGTTAAGCAAAGTTGAACATGGGATTTTTTTTTCAGTTTATAGAGTAGATATCGATGGATATAGTCATTTGCTTACTGGCTGTTATACACCATGACAAGTGTTGGTAGGTCAAATGTCAAATCTAACAATATATCTCGCTGACTCCATCAGTTCATAATCATCAAGTTCATATACCTAGGCTACATATGTTTATTGAATTAGGTCCTCCTAGGAAACATATTAATACTTATTATAAATTATCAATTGTGACATCATATACAAGTAATAGTATTTATTAGAATCCCGAGTAAAAGTATGGACTAGTTTGCAGTTTACTGTAATAGTAATACAGTTTGAATGTTCAAAGCCATTTCATTTCACATGTTAACTATATATACAAAGCTTCAGTTTATCCTTGTAGGTGGTAAATATTGCAAAGAAAGAAAAAATTGTCTTAAATTTAATTTTATATCTAGTGCTTTGATGTGTATAACATAGGCTTTCTGTTTCAGCCAATGCAGTCTGGTTGACTTTTGTTGCATTTTTATGGGGAGCTACCAACCCATTTATTAAACGGGGCAGTGCAGGAATTGAAAAAATCAAGAGAAAAAATGCAGCTCTCCAGTTCCTTGCTGAAATAAAATTTCTAGTATGCAGCTGGAAAGTATGTATGTCACGGAAAAAGTTCTATGAATTTCCGACTAATTAGTAATGACAGTTTTACAATGTGCATGCATACTGTATATGAAGTGAAAACAAGTGAGATGTACCCGGTATTGATCATGTCCTTTTAAGAAAGCACAAGGAGACTGAGTCTGCTGAAGTACTGAGTAAAAAAGTGAACAGATTTTCTTTACTGGCTGATAGTAATATTTTATTCTATTTTAGTACATGGTTCCCTTTTTGATTAACCAGAGTGGATCCGTGGTATACTATCTAACATTAGCATCTGCAGGCAAGTATATACATACTGGTTGTTCTGTAATGGCACAAGTTCTTACTTAAGTACAGTGAACAAATTTCATGAAAATATTTAATTTAAGTTGAAATGAAAAAAGGACCAAAAAAAAAAAAAAAGGTTAAGAACAATAACCCCAACTTCTGGTGGAACATATTCAAAAGATGGCCTCACCCAAAGTCAGTAATTGTATGATATGTATGTTGTGAACTCGTTAATGAAAGAGATAAGCTATTCGTACAATTTCACAGACAGTAGAAACTTGGAAGGCACTTGGATGAGTTTTGTGACTGTATTACTGTGACAAATTTGTTATCATTTGGCAGATCCACATGGCCCACTGTTGTCACCTTTTTTCAAGTTTTTAATGAAATATTCTTTAGTTATTATTGTATTTTTTTTCTTTCCAGATTTGTCACAAGCTGTCCCCATAACAAATTCATTAACATTCTTGTTTACAACATTATCGGGAACATTCCTAGGAGAGAAAGTTGGAGGGAAAGGTAGTGGTGCATTACTTCCATTGTTAATTTTATAAACCTTTTAGTTGTTTTGCACTTTTATATGCCTTTACATTTTATGTTTTTTCAGTTATGTTTGCCTTTGAGATTCAGAGAAATGCACACTTACAGCAACTGAGCATTGATTTTTGCATTTTTATTTATTTTTTATTTTATCATTTCTTTTTACAGAGACCTACCTAGGAATGCTGCTGGTGATTTTAGGAGTCAGTCTCTGTGTAATGGACAAAGCTTCTTGAAGCCTGTTTGGATATGGTCTCAGTCCTACTGAACGATTTTCCTCATTCAAGTTGCAAACTGTTGCCCCACTGTAAATGTGCCGATGGCAGTGTGGGTGTGGAGTATTTTTGTTGTAAGGCACTAGTAATTAACAGTGCTCAACATGTAAAATTGATGTTTTCTTTTCAGTATTTAAAAATGTATACATAGATCACAGTATCATTTTACTTGGTGACTGTATTATATTGGTAATATATGTCCTTTTTACAAATGTACTTACATGTACTTAGAAGTTACACCTTAAATCAAATGTTTCAAAGGGTATCTATACATATAAGTTGATGTGCATTCCAACTTGTGTCAGTATTATATATCATGTTTTGACAGAGCTGAAGTAAAAAATTAAAATACTTTAGAAATGGAGACATTGGTGCCAAGGATGTATTTGTCAGATTGGATTGGCACTTGAAGTGGCTGGTGAATCTTTTGTTGGACTGAGGAGCAGTCTTATTAGGATGCATTATGTGAGGTAAAAACAAAAATGGCCCAGACAAGAACATTTTTGTCATGTTGAACTAAAAAAGACACACACTTTATTGCCATTTTTGAGTTCTGAGTTACTGAATTTTGCGTCACCCTTGTAACGATGCTGAAGATGGAAACTGGTGAAATTTTTAAAATTAAAAAATTGGATCATAAGTTGAATTTTTCTCAGCATATTTTGATAGGATAAACACTAACAATTGAGGAAAGATGTTAAAATTTCCAAAATATTTTGATAAAATTATTCATTTAAAGATCTTAAATGAACTCTATGCTTCTATAGCCATACATAACTTAAGGACATTGCTTAACATTATTTTTAGAGTCAAACAAGTTAAATGACCTCTGAGAAAAGACATTATGCATCCTGACGTATTTCTAGAATTGGAGCATACACTATCTTTTAACATGTAAACCACTGTATCTTGAACTCTTTCTCTCAGTCATGTTTGACTGATCAGATGCAAATGAGAAACCACATAATCTGTGATAAAATAAGGTCCAGCACCCATTTACTGGGTTAACTGAATACAGTATGAGTGCTCATGTTTTATTGTTATACAACATTGAAGTCCTCTTTTTTATATACTTCAGGGAAAAGGATCAATAAATGTTAGTTTACAATATCAAATTGTCTTAATTTTTACGGAAATGATAAGAAAAGTGCATTTCAGAACTAGAAAAGCACTCAGATAGCGCAGACCTCCGCCAAGGCAGCAAAGTCTCCATCCAATGCTGTTTCACCCCTAAATTTTCGATATTTTTGATTATTGATTATTGATTAAATATTGTTCCTGATCACCACCAAAAACTTATCATCTGTTCCTTGGCCCACTTCTGACAGTTCCTGAAAATATAATCAAAGTCCATAACTTTTTGAGTTATGTTGATGACAGACAAACAAACAAACGGGTGAAAACATAACCTTCTTGGCGGAGGTAATAATTAAACACATTCTTCACAAGTCGTGCATTAACTTTAACATTTAAAAGCATGTTACCAAACTATTTTGGAATGAGTAATATTCACCAGTTGTAATAGGTTTGCATCTACTACACATTAATATATATGAGAACGAGTATTTCTTTTTACCTGAAAAACAAATGCCATCCACCATTGGCAAGAGAAAATGACAAGTACCTGGCCGCAAAATATTATAAACCGGTTGCATAAAAATGGTTCCTGAAATTTATCAGAGTGACAATGTGCTTGTGTATAGGTTTAGATGCATGCAGTAAGATTGTTATTTTATTCCTAATTCCAGGTTGTGGCAAAGAGCATTTCAGGAGAACATGTTATCACTCAGTTCATGACAATGGAATGTTTGTGTGTTTATTTTGCAGAAGGTATAGTTAGGTCTTCTATTATGAGTAATTTAAGAGAAGTTTATACAGCCCAACCAGATATAAAATATGACCACCTTTATCCTTTGTGAAACTGAACTACCCAGTGATGTGGATTCATTTTGCAAAGATTTTTAGTGCTAGCTGTATTATTTTAATGTAAATAGTGGCTGTTAGTTGGTAATTTTTACCTCTGTCAAGGAGGCTATGTTTTGCTTGCCATTAATGGGTTTGTTTGTTTATCTGGGGAGAGCATTACACAAAAAGTTATGGACAAGTTTTGATGAAATTTTCAGGAAAGGGCACAAATGGGCCAAGGAAGAAGTGATTAGATTTTGGCAATGATACATTGATTGATTAATAAATAAACTATGCAAAATTTTGATTAAATTTTTGAGATACATGTAGGTCAGAAATGGGCCAAGGAAGAAATTATTAGATTTTGGCAATGATTCATTAATTAATTAATTGATTAATTAACAAATCAGTTACTTTATTTATTTTATGGATAAGTCACAAATGGACCAAGGAAGAGTGGTGATGAATAATAAATAAAGTAACAGTTGATTATGACTTAATTATTTGTCTTGACAGAGGTGGGGTGCACTCCCTGAGTGCTTTTCTAGTTTTTTTTTTTTTTATGGAATTACCCTGTTTTAATTTGCAACCTACCTTTTCAATACGTTTATGACCAATATTGGTCACTCTATTTTTGTTAGTAAAAGTAGTGTTTTTGACTTCTTTAAATCGGTCGATCTCCATATCTTGGTTTCAGAATTGTTGTGTACGGGAGTTTTCTGATCTTGAATCTACTACCCGTAGTACTATTTTAGATGACGCGCATATTCGTATTGTCAAAATGTATGTTTCGTCCTTTTGTATTATTGTTCAGTGGCATTTTTACGTGAACTGAAAATACATCAAATGTTTGTTACAGTACTATTTACTCAGCATAAGTAAACTGAAGAAATAATTGAAGTTCTAAAGAAATATTTATGGCATGGTTTTCAGTAATGGACTACTTAGCTGGTTGATTAATACAATCAAATTTTGAGGACGACAGAATTCATCATTAAATGCATTCTCATTTGATTCTTGATTCAAAATTATGGTCCCATTAAGCACATGAAACAATTTTATTGTATATTCTTTATTTAATGAACTTAGTTTTATTGCATAAGCCCTACAACATGACCCAACCGCTATTAAACACACTGTGATATTATTGGCCAAATTGGAAAATGTTAAGCTATATAGCATTCATATTGTCGAGGTCAGAAGTTTTAGCATCGTTATATCATGGACTTGACGCTCTACTCGAATGCTGAGGATTTTATGCTTCTTGAGACAAGCTATAAAAGCTACCCAAGTGCCTTGTATTGTATTGTTCATAGTGATTGAAACGACCTTTCACACAGTTATTGTTTGTTCCACCTTTTGTTGATGTTTCTGTTCACGAACTGTTTGATATTTATAAGCTACATTATTCATTGAAGTTTTTGTTGATGTTTGGCCAATTGTAAACATATTTTATGGATCATAACACTTTGTTAAGGTCTTTACTTTATTCATAAGGAATACATAATATTTCTAAATAGCAAATCTAAGAACGTGCTAAAGAAAAAAAATTGTTAGTGTAAGGGAATAAGAATTTTACACTGTTGTTTGGTTATCTACTGGAAGTAACAGACAGACGACTTGCAATGAGATACCCCTTTTTTTATTCATCACCGTGTTTTTACTACGGTATATTTTAAATATGGATATTCTAAGGGATATTCTAATTACTTTAAGAGTTTCAGTCCGAAACTTATCCCGCCTCAATATAACAATCGAAAACATTCTCACACTGACGTTCGATTTAAAGTGACATTCTATTCGAAACCTCACACCCGACGTCAATTCAATTTTTTTGTAGTTTGTGTAACCTTCGATCTCACAACTTTAAAATTAGAAAGAAATATTTGAACGCGCTTTGATAAACATCCCCTTTGATAAAATGTGTATTGCAGTGAATAGGACACTAATTTTACTGCCACGGGGGTGACGTTAAAACTACACGGTCGTGGAAATTCAATGCTCGGTCTGTATTATTATCTAGGACATTTTTTTAAAAAAAAGTTTGGATAATATTCAAAATGCAGCTTGTCGTGAAGAAAAAAAACTTTGAATAGTAAACACAATATCTCTGTTGGGCAGTTTGAATAATTTTCCTAAGATACTAAAGCTGGTGTTGATTGGTATAAAAAAAGGACGTACTACATGTACGTCGCATTTTTTTATCTCGCAACTAATAATTAATCTTTTTAAAAAGATCATTGTTACACTACAAGGAAGGGCCAGCGAGAAAGCAGCGCGAAAGTCAAGTTTTCAATATTTTTACCATAAGCTGCTCCTAATAGGCGCAGATAAAGCTAACTTCACACAAAGTCAATTTACCCCGGGGCTTAGAAATTTCGGTTTCAACGTTTGCACTGGACTTAACAGCTTAGATGCACAAAAATGTATTGACATACGCCCAGGGCCACCTGCCCACTTTCCATAAGAAGTACGATCTGGGATCCAAAATAAATCTAAGTTTAAAAACGTAATGTATATTTAAAACCACTAAATTCCAATAGCAATGTTAACTCTGTAGATTTCATTTTTAATGTTTTGTTTATTCTATAGCTGTTTAGGCATGCTATTCGATACCTTCCTCGTTTTCCATAACGTTGGTTTTAACCTTATCGCCGTTTACATCTAGAGACAGTATTTTAATGATAGACTATTAGTACTTCAGTCTACTTACTAAATATATTCCATCTTTTAAAAATGAAACATTTGTTTATTTTAAATGATTAGTAAAAGAGTAGCCTTGATCCCCCCCCCCCCCCCTCCAATGAAAATAGTGATGAGGTTGATTGACAAGTTATTATAACTTGAGCCTACTCGGGTGATTGCTTAACATGAAATGGAATATCCTTACAGTATCATTTTCCTCGGCGAGCAGTTGGATGGCCTTGTGCAAATGCCAATATGTGTGATTGATTGAGAGAGGAAATGACTAGAATGTAAACATCCATTCCTACAAGGGTTTTTCAAGTACCATTTTGGCACATTTATTGAGCATAAAACAAGAATTGAGCAAGCTTTACAAGCAAATAAGCGACTTCTAGACCGATATTATTTCACCCAATTTGTTTAGTACTTAGTAACGAAAGAAATGGGTATGAGAACGTAATTTTTCTAAATTAGAATTAAAAAAACTAAATTATTATTTGCACATTGATATGTTGCACATAAAAAAGTAAAACGTAGCTGTTGATACAAGAATAATACTGATGCGACTCACAACAGGCCGTCTGTTAAACATTTTACACTCTCTTGAAAGTTTTGCCGTTGGCCATAGTTAATGGCTGCAATTTCGAAAAACCCAAAGAACATTCCATTCAATTGCTCCATATTTCATAATTAAAAGGATCGAAAGGCAATAAAAGAAATTCAAACATTTTGTATTTCAACACTTGGCAGGTTCGTGCCACGTGTTCATGTGTCAAGGCCAGAAACGCGAATTGCCTCACGTTGGCATTTTGATACGACTTTCAGACTAAAACACACACGTAGTTCATACCCTTACGACTGGAAAGATTGAAATTAATAATTACTTCACCTCGGTAGTAAACTTATGCTGATAATACTATATGAATTTGATAACATTGGCACATCTCTTGGCAAGGATACTCCAAATCTAAATAAATGTCGCACTACATGCCCTCGTAGTTTAGTAAATGAATGATGTATGTAGGCTATCCCTAGTTGTTATCATCGCGAACTTATACACGGGGGAAATAAATAAAAATTTACTAAGTGTGCAACTATTAATAGATCTATACATAAATCTTCTTAAAACTCATAATATGAATAGATTGTAAACGGTATAACATTATGAATTTGCCTTAACATGATCTATCTGTTTAGGGACGTCCCAAAGTTGTGAAATGCACGGTGTTTCCAATTTCTGTAGCGCAATACCGTTGGCCATCTGCCACGCATAATATTTTTGGGCAGATGTTCGAGGAGAGTACGATTTCGTATTAGCACCTAATATTCCAGTTGATTTTGATGACCCGGAGCTTGCTCTAGAATCTGGATCAGACAGGGTTATCGTTTCCACTGAAGACCCCGAAGCCGAGCCCGCGGACCGGGTGGACGAGGCGGAGCTTTGTCTGTATGGGCTATGAATAATCCTCGGTAATAGTACACTGACCGAATCCGTGTCCGCAGTAGCATTAACTGCGTCTCCTAAACTACCACCACATTGTTTTGAATCTAGAAAATTTCTTTCTTTATGTTTTGGTTGGTTACCATGTGAGCTGTCATGAAAACTGTTCCTTGACGTAGGGCTAGTCGTGTCAGCAAGCTGGGATGCTGACCTTAATGTTTTCTTCGCTTCTTTTACTAAATGGGGTATTTTCCCATTCTTGTTCTTCTCGAGAGATACGTGCTGTCTCTCCTTTTTGGGGTGAAGTAAGTTAACCTGTCGTCTTGCATTGTTTCCGGTACTAACTGGTCTAGATGCAGGATCTTTATTTTTCTTTTCCTTAAAAACGCTCGACCCGACGCGAAGTTGTGTGCCAAAGTCGTCCACGGTCAAATTTTTCAAAGTAGCAGTTTTTTTAGATTTTACTGGTGTTGACAACTGACCATGTTTATTTGGTGTAGTTTCTTTACGTAGTGACCGTGTTGCTTGCTTTACGAGAGATTTTGAAAAGTTGCTATTTAATCCCGTTAAGCCTGAAAGTTGTGCATTAACAGCTCGACTAACGTCATATTTTCCACTGTAAACTTCCAATCTCATCTGCTCCAATTCTAACTCTAGTTTCCCGGGATCACAAGGTTCCAATTCCTCTATCATGGGAGAATCTTCCCGTGAGGGAATTTCTAGAATTTTTACCAAATGCTCCTCGTTTGTTGGAAAACTGACTCTCTTTTTCGATTTTGCACTTGAAGGTCCTCTTAAACTCGCTCCACTTGAGGGCCGACTCGGGTCCCTGTTGCCACTGTCCCCTGACTGCACGCTCTCCATGTCCTCCTCTGACCGTCTCTCGCCGTCACCCACAGGGGAGAACAGGAGAACTTTGTCTCTGTCCATTTCTCCCTCGTCGTTTCTTTCTATCGTTCGTATTTCACATGATTCCCTCGAGGAAGAGAGGCCCGGCTGACCGCCCTTTGCGCAGGTCAGGCCAGTATTGATCGACCATCTGTTAACAAAAACTTAAATACACAACCTTCTCCCTTCCAGTTCCGCCATTTTCTGCTAAGTGTCTGACGTAGAAACTGGCTGCTCTTTGGAAGGTGCTTAGAGGGTCGGTTGTCAGCCACCCTTTCAAATGCAAACACACAACAGCCTGTTAAATAGAACGGTAGTTTTCGTAAAATTCAACTCGACTACTCAAGTGTGTAATCACGATATTGGATCTCCCCGTCTAAGGGGTTTTTCTACAACAACTTATGTAAACACAAAGAAAGCACAGAATGCTATTCCTAACAGCTTTATGCCCTGGATAAATAATAAACAATAGATTTTGAACAATTATGCGGCTTTGTAGTTTGAACCAGCCGCCTGGTGCCGTTGAACAGTGTAGGCTCCAATCATTTATTTCTAAAACACAAATATGATGAAGTAAAAGTAAACATTAAACGAGCTCTGTGAAATATATGGCTGCGTTCTAGGATACACTACAATACTTAATTATAAGTTACGGTGACCGGTCACTAAGAAACTTCATTTAGTGTACGGAATAGATCGTTTCTGAATTCGATTTTAGACTATTGCGACAGATCTACCTAGCTCCTCCAAACACAATCTCCATTAATATGCACTTTGGGTGGGTGGGTGGGTGGGTGGGGGGGGGGGGTCACTTCGCCAATACAGTTTCTTCCACGCATGTTTATGTTCATTGGGTAGAAATTCATTAACGTAATTTGATAAAATTAAATATCACTGGCGTTTTATCTTACTTCGAAAGAAGTGTTTTCGAGGCTGCATTTTGGCCAGCAACAATGTTTTAGCGAAAGCAGTCGACGTCCATTTGTTTGCTGGATCCTTTCATATATAAAAAGTTAAATTATTTTTAATTTCTTTTAACATTTTATCAATAGAAGTGCGATTTGAAAATATTTATGACTCGATCATGACGTTAACAAATGTTTGTCTCGCTGTCGCAATCTGAGAATATTAAGGTCTATGATGAAAACCTCATCGTGATGAAAACTAAGAAGTCCAGTGAATCTTTTTGCATCCAATTTAACAAGTTAGGTAAAATTTTAATGCACTGCGTACACGTAAATTTTATAAAATTAAGGCAGGATGGCATTATAATTACAAAGAATTGTCGCTTGTAGCGCTAATTGTGTAAACTATAAACATAGCAAACAGAGGATCTTAAATCCTTTATGTGGTCATAACGTCTGTTACGTCGAAGCGTCATGTTATTGTAATGGCTATGAAATCTTTTTATCTGCTATTCTTCTCTTTTCTATGCAACAATGTGACGATCCATATAACATTCGTTGAACGTTGAAATTGTTAATGATTATAGGCCCCTATGAGTAAAGCTAGTCAAAGCTTCTTATTATGTCCAAGTCAACATGAAGAATCAGGCTTATTTTTCACCATAGAAAACGTACAGTTGATAACTTTTGAAATTGAGAAAATTTGTCTAGAATTTCAATCTATACACATTTCGCATCTCAAGAATCTAGTGATTTTCTTAACTTTGCAAAAATTATATATACAATATGTGTCGCTTGCAGTACTTGTGTGATTTTTTTCACAGCATAGTCTAAAATCTTAATCATTCGCCTTTCGTCGCTTTTCTATGCAACAATTTGACGATATATTTTACATTCGTTGATTTTCTGTAGTTGCTTTGCATCAACAAAATGTTTCAAAATTTTACATTTCGCCTCTCAACAAATAAAGCTTTATTTTTTTACCTTTGCAGAATAATAGTTTGTCGCATGCAGCGCCTGTTGTGTAAAATCTATTCCCACTATATTTGACACTCCATACAACTCACTCTTCCTCGTAACATAGTGAATAACTACCCTCTACCAGGGCCACAGATTGATTTTTTACTAGCTATTAAGAGATATGTCTCTGGTTAAATAGATGGCTAATCTCTGTACTGTCGCCTAAGCAAAAATGTCCACAGAATAAAAACTGTAGCCCTGGTAGAGGGTAGTGAATTATAGTATTCCTCTATGCGGTCATGCCGTCGATTAGGTCAGAGCGCCACGTCTCTGGTGGCATAACGCCGCAAAAGTCAAAGATAAGAGGCGCTATTGGGACATGAACGAAATACGTCACATGAAACAAATCGCCTAACGTACTATAAGTAAAAGTGCTAAAGTACTATATTTTTTAACCGAAATGAACTGCAAGGGGCAACAAAAATGAAGTCACTTTTGGCAATCAGTGTAATTTTTTCTTCGTTGTAGTTACGTTCCCTGTATTAAAAGAACCAAAAGACAACCAATGATAACAAAGAGGTTTCATGTAATAAAAACTTTTTAATTATCTACAAATGTCTATCATTCCAACTACAGACGAGATAGTACCCTCTGTCAAGTATCTTATGTATATCTTTACAACTTTTATTGAAAGACGACATAAATTGTAAATGGACAGTAGTGACAAAGAAAAGGTAGCATCTATAATTCTTCACTAAACATTAGAAACTCAGTTGTTCGTGAACAGGTAAAGCTCGGTAGGTATCTTCGGGAATGGAAATAAGAACGACACCCTGAATGTTTGGATAAATTCTTGCACTTGTCAACGTTTTGAAACAATGACATTCTGTTTTAAGTTTTCTGCAACTTTCTTCTTCTAATGACAATGTTCATCATAATATTTTTCTATTTCCTTTGCAATGTCTTAAAAAAGTGAAAAGAATGCAAATATACAATGTATTTTCTTTTATAGTCTTTTTACAGTTCACCATTTTTGTGAGGTTTAGATAGGTTTGATCTTGAAATGCAGTCCAATCAGAGAAAACACCAAACACTTGAGATCTTGAACAAGATAATAGAAAGTTCTCAGGCCCTCTGGATCCCTGTAACAAAAATAAAAATACTTAACATCCAACTATTAATGAAACAAAAACTAATCAGTCAACACTGAAATACTCTAAATGAGAAAGGCAAAAGATTCATTATTTTAAGGTAGACAAATACCAAATCTTTTCAAGGTTCAAAAGTATCATGCATAAATTTCTGAGTTTTTCTTCATTTTTAATTTCTCATTTTCATCAGTGCTGGTCTTTTTAACAAAAAGTTTTAAAAAGCTTTTCATCATATGAAAACAATATTAGTCTAATAAAGATATTTTAGTCAATATAATCTGCCAATAGTTTTAAACAAACATAATTGCCTTGTTGACATGTGGATGGCAAATGGTTTGAAAGTTGGGCAACCTGTAAGCCAGAGTCGACAAGGAGAAATAACAAGATGTTCACTTACTTGCTTTGGTTTACATCAACTAGAGAACCAATCTTTGATGTAGTGAAAGAAATGTGTTCATCCCCAATGACAATTTCTAGTTCCTATAAAATAACATACAAGCCAATTATACATTTGATACATCAATATTTTTTCTCCTTTGTTCTAAAAATGTTAAGATCTGTTTAAGAATATCCATTGGTATTTAAATCAAATTATATACTTCTACTCTCCTTTTTACACACACACACACATGCATGACAAAAAAAAAAAAAAAAAAAAAAAAATGAAAAATATATATTCATAAACCCTTAATATACAATGGATCACTTTCACATTAAAATTGTGACTATTCACATATAAGTTTGGGTCAACTAAGGTCCACTTTTTCAAAAAAAGAACTGCCTTCTAAAATAGTATTCAGCAAAGTAAGAAGCAAATATTCACCTGTCTTCCCACTCTGTCTGGGGAAGGCCATAGACTGTCATCTTCCTGCATGATCTCAGAATCTTCAATGATTCTCTTTAGTTCTTCCATCACACTCTTGTGTGCAAATGCCTGCATAAAACCTTTTATGTTATTTCAATGTCATCAATGGCAACACATTGTTAAATATTAAATGTGACAAAGCATGTCAGTGAAGAGGTGTAATAATTTTTAATCAAATATGCTTCAGGAATGCCAAACTTGACTAGGTCTAGTAAAATATTAAACACAAATCCTCTTTTTAATCCTTACCTCTTTTCTGATCATTGTGTCATTTTTGTAGTTTGAGTTATTGGCATACCGAAGCTTTCCTGAAATTTACCAAAGTAGGATATCATAATACAGGACATAATAATCTTTTACATAATACACTATACTAAACAATCTGGATCCGAACGTTTGGGTTAATTTCACCATTATAAAATCGATAATAGGACAGCCAGTGTCAGATTATTCATACATGTAAGTTAAGGCTTCGTTCACATGGAAAGTCTATTTTCTAAAAATCTATTTTCTATTCGCGGTATCTTATGATCACGGTCTGTGCCCTGAATATCCCGCGGCGTAATTACTGGCAGTGCGAGCCAGTTACTTATACAAAGCTGTAATTAATTCTCGGCTGTGCTCGCATTCTATAAAATCTCATCCTCCGTTGCCGCATCGCTTGCCATTGGATCATGACGGTTGCACTCGTATCTGTCGTGTGTATAGCTTCTTCATCTTCTTCGTCTTGTTGTTGCACAAAATCGACAAACACATTTTTCAAAGCAACCACCATTAATTTTCTAACTTTCTACAGCGCATGCGTCAAGGTATCAGAATCTCCTCCGAGCACAGCCGAGAATTAATTACAGCTTTGGAAGTAACTGGCTCGCGCTGCCAGTAATTACGCCGCGGGATATTCAGGGCACAGACCGTGATCACAAGATATACCGCGAATAGAAAATAGATTTTTAGAAAATAGACTTTCCATGTGAACGAAGCCTAACATACACACTGATTCAATACCCAAAATCTTCACGTAACAAATGGCCATTCAAGCTGCCAGCGATCATTCCAAAGCCTTCTTTTAATATTATGGAAAGAAAATATTCTCTAATTTCTTCCCCTACATTCCCTTCCAAAGAAAAAAAATCGCCCCAGTTTTCGGCCTTAAATGCAACCTGCGGTAGGTATCTAGCATGTATTTAAGGCCGAAAATTGAGGCAAGCAAAACAATGCCTTTTCATCAAACAAATCGACCACCGGCGCGCGCGTGGGTTAAATGTCTCCCTTTACTGCTGCAAAAGAAGATCATATTACTTTGAAGAAATTATGAGAATTTACAATACAAAAGCGCAGTTTGACTCACCATCAGGCCGGAATTCAAATTCAAGAAATTCATGTCCAAATTTGCCTTTGTGCCCTACATAATAGCGGAGATAGAAGTCGGTCGACGTCGCCATTTTGTCTATATAAAGCTATAGGGTTATAAAGGTATATATTCGAATTTTATTTGTTCCCTCATTCTATAACAAAAATGTTAATTTTAAGAACAATAAAATCAGACTATTTTTATAAGGTTTATTGAAGTAAATAAGTAGCCAAATAAGATGCAGTAAAATGTTAGTTGTTTGTAAATAATAATGAGAACTTAACTTGGTATGCAAAGTTAACTCTGTTAGCAAGATGTCTGCGCCCAAACAAAACAACGTGGTGGTGTCCAGTTGACGTTTATTAATTTTATAACTTTCACGTAAATTGTGATGGGTGATGATAGCAAAGCTGTCGTTGAGCGCCTTGTCGGCACTATAGACTGCAAGCAAGGGGCTGTAAGAGCTGTCAGATTTAATGGTAACACTGTAATAAAACCCTATTATTCATTCAGCCACCAAGAAGTGAGAGTTTGTAACTGTCATTGATATTATTCAACATTATTTATAATATTGCCATTTTAGTATTTTGTTTCGTGGCACCGAAAGTGATGGATATGTGGGTATTTGTAAAAGATGCACGTCATGACATAGATAAGACATTTCTTAAATTATTAATAATATATGATTTATCTGAAAAATAATCAGTACATGTACCTGTACTAGTACTAACTTACATTTTAAGTTGTACAATTAATGATTATTTATTCACATTAACAAGAATACTTCTTTCAGTTGATGGAAACTATTGTCTGACATGTGGGAGTGATAAATCGATCAAATTATGGAATCCACACAAAAAGGCACTGATTAAGGTTTGAATCTTAATTTATACCAGTACTTCATAATAATTTTAATTAGGCTGAATAATTTGAGTGAAAAAAGTGCTATAAAGGAGTATGATTTCATCAGGTGAACATTTTGTCAGAGATCATCACTCAAACAATTTAAAGACTAATGTTTATTAGCTAGATTATCTTTATGCATTATGTACTAGTACAGTTATACCTTTGCAATCCATTCTTAATGTATAAATCCAGTTGACAATACCTCACAATTCATCTAGGTGTATAGTGGCCATGGATATGAAGTACTTGATGCTCAAGCCTCCTGTGACAGCAGTCAGATGTGCTCCTGTGGTACAGACAAGGCTGTCTATCTCTGGGATGTTGCCAGGGGGGTCACAGTCAGAAAGTACAGGGGACATCCAGGCATGTGAAATTCAAATTTCATCACACAGGTTCATGGCTTTTGTAGATTCTGTTTTACTGATGCTTATGTGGGACAGTTGAGTACACAAAGTTTTTTAAAAGGACTGGCATTAGTTATATTTTGCAGTGTTTAACATCTGTGAATTACTATTTGAACTTATATTTTGCTGCAAACTTCGAACAATATCAAACGTACACTCAGAAGTTATTAAGTATATCGAGTATATTTTTTACTCCAGTTATGCCCCCGATTCATATATTTGTAAAAATATTATGCATGATTTATATTCTAGGGAGTGTAAACTGTGTTCGTTTCAATGAAGAATCTACAGTTATAATGTCTGGGTCGATTGATGGTACAGTCAGGATTTGGGATTGCAAGAGTAGGAAAATGGAACCCATCCAGGTAAGAATATTGTATTAAATAATTGTACTTTATTCAATCACCATTAAATTTCCCATCCGTACTGTAAGATATAATGTTACCTGTTCTGTTTGAACATTTGAATATTGGTTGTATTATTATGTAATTATGGTAAGCAGGGGCGGATTTAGGGCGTCTTCTGGGTCTTCAGGAAGACGGTCAGATTTTCAAGTTTACATTGACGGGTATCTAATTTTTTCTGTCGGAAGACGGTCAAAAATGGAGGATGGATCAACAAAGATAATTTGGAAGACTGTCAGAAAATAACTCTGGATCCACCCCTGGTAAGAATGAGTCATTTATTCCTTCTTGTTCAGATTTTAGATGAAGCCAAAGATAGTGTGACATCTGTTGCAGTATCAGATCATGAGATTCTCACAGGCTCCGCTGATGGAAGAGTAAGAAGATATGACCTGAGAATGGGGGACATGCATTCAGATTTTATAGGACGTAAATAACCTATTTTATGTATACATAAGTAAAACATCACAGTGACAAATGAAGCACCTTTTTACCTTTTAATACTATGTAGCTTTTCTGGTAAATCTAAGTAATGGCTCTACTGTAACAGTAGATTTGTCATAAAAATTGCCACATTATGGTATAACCGAGATCAAAATGTATCTTGGAGCAAATGTAATGGGAAAGCTTTTTCTTTTGATATTAGCTAAAATTGGTGTGAACTCAATTTTTTTGTTTCCAAGGTGACTGAGCTATGCAGAATCTTCCCCTTTTAACATATTATTTACACTGGCAACCTACATGTAGCATCTGAGAATACTTCTTTTATTAAATTTTATTTTTATTTGACCTGACTGGGGGTACCCTGGAGGTGACACGTACTGGGTACTTGCACTGCACATGATCCTTAAGTGTTATAATTTTTTCAACTTTTCAGAGACTGTAACATGTGTGAACTTTTCAAGGGATGGCCAGTGCACTTTGAGCAGTTCCCTTGATAATACACTAAGACTGCTGGACAAAGCCACAGGGGAGCTCCTTAATGAGTAAGGCTCAAGTTTTTTACTGTATTTTCAAAAATAGATTAGTTAGTGGAATTTAAAGACTCTTCCAAAAGTAAGCATGTAATATTTTTTAAAAAGCAGTGGCAATTATTTTGCACTTTATATGGTTTTATTTTAACAGGTATGTTGGTCACAAGAACGTGCAATATAAAATTGACAGCTGTCTCAGTAGCAGTGACACACACATTTTGAGTGGATCTGAAGATGGAAAAGTGTATGTCTGGGACTTAGTTGAGGTTTGTCAATATACCATACTTAGAACATACTATAAGTATACACATACATGCAGCTACCCTGGATAGACTTACTGACGGTGCCGTATGAAATGAAGAGAAGGAAGAAGGTTATTTGTTATGTAAAGGTTGCTTCGAATGAACTCCCTTCAGTTTTTCTCAAGTTTCATATGTTATATTTCAGGGCAAACTGTTAAAAACCTTGGACCATGGAACAAAAACAGTCCATTCCTTATCCTATCATCCATCAGAATCCTGTCTATTGACAGCCATGGAAGGCAAGGTGTATGTTTGGAAATCAAAGTATGGACAAATTATTGACCCAGGAGACTAAGAATGGTAGTGCTGTCCAGAGTTCAGGATCATATTTTGATGACTATTCTCCAAATATCTTATGTATGGGAAGAAGTCAGTTGTATTGCAGGCCCGTAGCCAGCAATCTCAGAGTGGGGATTCGTTTTCTGAAAAAGTGGACCTTTTAACGTAAAATCCTCAAGTACATAGATCAAATTTTACCCAGAGTGGACCTTTTCCCAGCAAAAAGGGTGGTTCTTTCTAAACCCCCCCCCCCCCCTGAACACTCCTGGGTACGGGCCTGTATTGCAAAAACTGTTGAAAAGCAGAATATTTACTAAAAGTATGATAAAATTAGGAAAAAACATGCTGAAATTCTTCACACGTCTGAGAGCTGTACACTTGGAGTTGAAAAACCAATTTTACTGGTTGGTTAGATGCTTTTCAGGGACAAATGCATGTTATTATTTTTATTAAAAAATGACAAAGTCTGATGGATGAAAACATTTTCTTTTATCACATACAAGTTGAGTTTGTTCGCTGATGTACATACCTGCCATAAATCTGGTATGTTCCAGAGATATCCATTTATCTAAGACTAATTTTATTCTATGTAATTTTGTATAGGGTACAATGAAGTGATGTGGGTTGTCAATTTTTAAGACAGTGGCATGGTTTACCCCCTTCCAAAAACAAGTTATTATACCTTATTTTTGTAACACCAATAAATGGCCAGTTTCATATATTATTGAAATAAAGTGATCTGGAAACAAATGAATCTAAATTTCCTTTTAATACTAGTTGGGTTTCTTTTTCAGTCCTTTATTAATTTTCTAAGTATGAAAATTGTCTTATCCCAAATTTCTATGAAAAGGGTTTCAGAGAAGAGCTGGTCAATTATCATGAAATGAATATGTCTGACAGGATATTTTACCATTTTTGGAAATTTTAGACTGGGCCAGCATAATGCCTTTAAAAGTCTATTATTTAACATCCAAAGATCTCCATATATATGTTGTAGCCTTTGAGTTGTGAAATTATTTATTGAAACAGTATGTGAAAACGTTTTTGATACAAAACTATCACAAAGAAAAATAAGCCTGACATCTTAACCTGATTACATACTGATCAAATATGGGGCGTTTACATTCTTTGCTTCCCACATCTTGGAAAAAAAATTCAGTGGAATAAAAACAAATTTACTGCCAATGTGAAGTTATTTGTTATCCATGGACACTGCAAAACAATGACATACATTATTCAGAAATGGCACAAAATGAAAAATATACAAATAAATTAAATTTATTCACTAAATGTCAAATTAAGGGTTTTCAGAGAGCTCTCTGTACCTTCATAATCATTGTAGTCACTTTCAAGTGTCAAATATATTTGATCCCTGATATTAAGAAGTAATCCAGCACCAATATGTGGAAACCTTTAAGTAAAGCATGCTACATACTGGTACATCATCCTATAAAAATACGTATTACACTCATCTCTTGCTGCATCCCTTCCTTTGGTGGACACGATGGTCTTTGATAATGTCTTTAATTGAGACCTCTAGTCTGCATCAATCCAAAATAACACAGGATTCAAATACCTGTTCTTTGATCGATTCCTTACACTTTTTTATAAATATAAAAACAAAGTCGACCATTTTCACACAAAATTGGCACAATGAAAGGGTTTTATTTCTTAGCTTGTTCTTTCTGATTAAGTCTAGCTGCTTCAATATCTTCAAATGTTGGTAATCCATGAGGCAGTGAAAGCATGTCATGTTCATCTACCATTATTTTGTCTGCCATAGCTGAAAAAAAAATTGTAAAAAGTTAAGACTGTATTTTGATTAAAAAAGTGCATGCTTTTTATCAAATGCATAAATATCTAAAGAAGATGTTTGGGTTTAAACAGAAAATAATTGTAATCAAAATTACAGCTACCTTATACTGTTATTAAAAGTATACAATAAAACAGTATTAAGACAAATTTGCTCTTAGTGTGACAAACTAACCTCTTATCCTTTCTAATTTGTTCATGTAAGCATTATCATACTGATAGCCAACTATGAAAGTGAGCGGCACTGCTGGTATTACACCTCCCAATCTTTTTTGCTTCAACCTAAAAATAATCATTATACTGAATTCTCATTCAATTACAATTTCAACAGCTCCAGTTTACTTTAGAAAACATTCCCTTTGCAGAGGTAAAATGTTTTTACTGGTCTACCCTTATTATTATAAGTATTATCATTTTTTTAATCGTTATCTATAGCCTACTGCTTAATAAAGTATGGAATAAGATACAAGTTATTTTTAACTTCGACTAGAATTAGAATTAGAATCTAGAATTAGAATGGTTGTACTTTGCACCAATTCTTTTAATTCTGCTTAAAAAGTGTGTGTGTGTGTGTGTGTGTGTGTGTGTGTGTGTGTGTTATTGTATTGATACATATCTTCATGTCTAATTTCTGTCAATTTAAACATTGTCAAAAATTTAACTAAAAAAACAGCTTAAGAGCGTCAAACTTTTGGGATCTAATATCAGTAACTTATGATCAAGATTTCTGTCAAGCATGAATCTTTCAAATGAGAAAATAGTTTCACTGGATCTGTGAACAGTTATATTGAAAAATGTTCGAAGATAAAATCTCTATATTTTTTAGAGTCTTGTATCTAGAGGTTTTTTTTCTACATCTCAACTTGAGTTGTTAACACTGAAAATCCATTATCTAACATATGATATGCAGAGTTATCTAATACAGAAATGTCAATGTTGAAGTAGATCCTTACCCTGCTAATGCTCCAATCACTACAATGCCATAAAAAGCAGCCCACCACCAGAACATTTCACGTGCTCGTGCAATCTGCATGGCCATCATACGTTCACGCATTTGATTTTGTTGCTGCAACATTCTTTCCAGCTGAAAAACAAACAATTTGTAAAGATATTATATATAACTTTTTATCCCTGTCCCTCAAAATAAATATAATAATAATAAAAATTTACTCTTTAAATGCAAAACTGTCTTGTTTTGGACATTCAGCACAGCAGACATCTACTTTTGTATGAGATTGTGCAGTGCCATCAGTCTTGTTTTAGATATGAGACACCCAGTCATCAGTTCATGATACTTGTATAATACTGACAACCTGGTCTTGAACCAGTAGGCATATGCATTGTTGTGTACATTTGACAATACAATATTACCTGCATTTGCTGGGACTGCAACATAAATTGTTGATTCTTCTCCATAACATCTCCCACTGTTTTGCCCAAAATGCTACCCATCTTAAATCAGTGTTGTCTATCTGCACTTAATAAAAAGAACTCATGCATTTTAGTTAAATTCTAAATTTCAGTTGTTTCTGAAGTGATACAAAATGCTTAAAGGGATAACATCTCTTTAATTTGGTGAGAAAAGTGCCATAAAATGGATTTTCCTGGGGTAACAGCAATTTTCCCAATTACTTACCAATAGTCATAAAGAATCTGTTCTGACATTCAAAGTTAGTTGATTTTTTTTTTTTTTTTTTTTTTAAATAATTGTAATAACAGATTTCTGGATAATTGCAATAACCACAGTCTTGGTGGTTAAATGAAATTTATTATATTTTTATGTGTTGTTTACAATATTTATTGTGGAATTTTGAATATCTCATATAAAGAGTTGTTATCCCTAGAGCTGCACTGATATGGTGTATTGTCCTTAAGACTATCCAATGTAGAACACATTTTATTGTTAGCTTATCTATTAGTAACGGTCTTTCAATAATTTCTCTTGTTGGATCATATTATTTAATAATATTTAATAATATACATTTAATAATATATAATCTACTGCAAGGCATCTTTCATCACATGAAAATAAACTATCCCTTCCATTTGATGTTAATTATTTAAATGAATTGTTTTAAGATTTCATATAAAGCTGAAGATCAACACACTGGTATTTTATTGTTTAAATTTTGCTATGTATTTTGGTTTACTTAACTTCTGCTAATTTAAGTACAGATTGAAGGTTACCATACATAAGGTCAAAATATGGGTCAAAAACTTTACCCAAAGCTGTAACTCATGAAAAGTAGGCAAGTAACAGGAAACAATTTTATTCAAAGAATACCAGTCAGGAAAATGGTTGAAGAATGCTGATCGTTTATAAACGTACACGTAGCTTAAGTGCATTACCTTTTCTAAGACCGAACGTGATCTTACTTCTCTCTGCAGTAGCAGCGGATGAAACTCAAGAGGTGCAGTGGAAAATATTCTCCTTCACTAGAAATACCCAGTTATGCCATGAAAAAAAACTACTTCCTGTTATTTTTTTTTTCAATATTCAATTAAATTTACCCGTTTGTGTAAAGAATATAATACAATAATGCAGAAAATCTCGTAATGCTGGCATTTGGTCGGGCTTGCATTGGAGCGACATCTACAGTCATCACAGAAAAAAATAATAAAAAGATGCAGCAAATATTAACAATATCTTACGTTTTAACGTTTCTTAATGTTGTTGGGATAGGTAAGTTATTCATGGTTAGTCAAACTTTCACCTGGGTGAATATTTTACTTTACAGTAGCACAGTTTTACTGTAGGTTGTACTTTATTGTTTATTAGTACAAAAGCTAGAAGCCGAACCTTGAAAGTGACCAACAGTGTCCATCTCAGCTGTCCATCTAAATATATCTAATTGCATCTAAATATAATTGCATTACCCGGTATACAGTAAGGGGACAGACACTGTTTTGTGCAGAGATGCGGTGATAGTCAGCTTCAAAACAGTATCTTGTCTAATCTTTTGATTCTCGTATTGTGAGAACTGCGGCCAAAAACCCCCAGTTCCAAAAACTGGCAAAGGGAAACATTTTGTCATCTTGTCACATACAGTAGATTACCAGTCATACTGAAATGTGCAATACAGCACAACACACTGCAATACACTAGATAAAACAACTCTGGATGTCAATAAACACAAGAAAAGGTCATTCACAAGGAAATAGAGTAATATAAAAGTGAAATATATTGCTAAAGGCAATTAATATCGTGAGTGTCGGGATTGTAGTGCATTTTTTGGGAGAGTGTAAAATCCACATGGCAGACCAGGGATCGAACCCAGGACCTCTTGCTAACAGGGCGAGTGCTCTACCGCCTGAGCTATCCGGCCGTTCTACCCTGCGCCTGGCACTACACTCCTCCCCTAAATGCCGAAAGGCGCGAGCCCTATCACGCACAACCGCTGCCACCATTGTAGCGCATTTTTTGGGAGAGTGTAAAATCCACATGCCAGACCAGGGATCGAACCCGAGACCTCTCGCTTACAGGGCGAGTGCTCTACAGCTTGAGCTATCCGTTCCACCCTGCACCTGGCACTACAGGGTGTCTGCCATTTTGCCAAGAAGAGCCACTAGTGTACCAGTATAATGACCGTATGGGGGACAACGGGATGATAAACAAATCATACCAATTGCAGTTGGATCAACGACATTCTTTACCTATTATTCCTAGTAATATATTTCGCTCTTATATAGCCCTGTTTTTTTTACAAATGGCAGTTTCTTATGTTTTTTCTTGTGTATTGCATAAAGTATGATGCGTAGATTTTTATGTATTCTGTAATAATGTTTTATGTATAGCTATGTTGCAGTGTTATATAAAATTACCCGTATGATTGTTATTAAAAGTAGATTTAGCTGTAGTCAGGATGCTGGGAAAAGATCCACTCTGAATCAGCATTATTTAAAAATATGTTAATAAGATGAGGTTATGCAGAAAAAGGCCCTACTTTTCAGAAAAAAAGCCACCCCTACCATGTTTTTAGTGGCTACTGGCCTGACTTTATTGTGGTAGAATATAAATCAAAAGGTGGTGATCAAGTTGTCAAACCACTCAAAAATAAATTATATGCAAGGGAACTGCTTATATGTTATAACCTAATTCAAAAATTGGATATTTAATTTCATCTTGTTTATGTTACATTTGATTAAATTATTATCTAAATGCATGTGTTTTTGAAACATCTGCCATACTGGTATTCCTTCCTAATTTCTAACTAGACAACCGTTTCCAAGGCCTTGTTCAAGCCATGAGTGGCCGTCTGCCACAATCACATGTCTTAACCAATCAAAATGATGAAATACAACCTCTGTCCTAGATTGCAGTCTAGCTGTCAGTCTTATTGTACGTCTCATCTCCAGCTTCAGTGTGGTGAGTGTGTCACAGGTAGAACATGAGCCTATAAAAAAAGACGAACATTGTGGTTTTAACGTGGGCAAAACCTTTATGTTCTGAAAACCTTTTTACTTTCATTGGAGAGGTATTGTGTTCAGAATGGTAGTACATTACATGTAGTACATGTATACTTGAATGCCATGAGTAGTTTGGTAATACTTTTAAACAGTCCATTTCATGTGAAATTTAAATTGACAATTTTGACCTTTTGAAAGAACATAAGAGTAGAAATCACGGGGTGACCGTGTAGTGATCTGTTCAAAGCAAGGGCAGTTTTCTGCTCATATTTGATCAGACTTTAAATAGCTCCATTTACTGTCCCCATTTTTAGTCGGTATTCCCTTCTCATTCCAGTGCAAACACTGCTTTCATTCTTTTCCTTCTTAGTTGTAAAAACATATATAGACACCTAACATAGGGGAGCTCAGGTACTAATGCATTTGAATTCATGAAATAATTTTTTGTTTTTTCTTGTTTCAGTTCTAGGCATACCAGATGAAAAAAATGAGAAACCACAAGCAACCATATTGAGGCAATACACATATTTAGTACGTTGGAAATTGGGAGATCTTGAACAATATAAGGATTGTGAACTCAGTTATGGTGCAGACCTTAGCAATAATCTCACAGTTGTGCAGTATATAGTGCCTGCCAGCATTGTGCAAGGATATGAACTAAATAATTTAAGTGCTCATGCCAAGTATACTGTGAGAATTGTATGTTATAGAAATAATGGGTTGTCTCCAATCAATAGCACAGTGGATTTTATTACAAGTAAGTACTTAATGATAAGTATTGTTTTACACTTAAATTACAAGTCACAGAAGGTACTGTGAAAGTCTTTTGATTTTCTAACAGACATGTTTTCAAGTTCGTGTTCAAAGTTTTAAAAAACAGTTAAGTATTCTGAATGAATAATATATACCTGGACCCTTACTAGTAAGGTTGTTTTGTGTAGACTTCATGTTTATTTTCATGTCACTGTTTCATAAAAACCAAATGTAGTATTCCAACTGTTATTTCAGATGGCTCATTGGAAGATGTGACTACACAACAGACAGGAGTCAATACAGAGACAAAAAGATCTATAATTTCCACAGTCACAAGTACTGAATATCCCTCAGTTTTAAAGGAAAAGATATCTTATGGTATGCTAAACAAAGTAGACATTACTCTTGGTGTTATCTTTGGTATTGTTGGGATAACAATAGTTGCTGGTGGAACGTTTTATATTTGGAGGAAGGTACGCAGATACAACAGGATACAGAGATTTGTTGGGTATGTATCTACATAAGTTTTAAATGTAAACTACACTTACTGTAGAAGGTTTATTTTTCTTCAAGAGCACCATATCTGAAATTGAGATGTTACAAAGCAGAAAAAAGGAGAATAAAAGCCCCATAAGTTGCCAAAAATCACTCACTAGAATTTGAGAAATTTTGTTGGACTGATTATATTAAACATGGTTTGGGGGACTGACAAAAATTATGTCTATTGGAAAGGAGACAGTGTGCATAAAAAACATCATTTTAGGTATATTCCACCTATTTGACCCCCCCCCCCCCCCACACACACACACCCAAGTCATTTTATGTCCTGTAAAGCTTTTTATATTTCCCAATTCTGACTCTTAAGAAGAATCTTTTAAATAAAAGTTTATCTGAAGTGTACCTAGTGTTGTTATTATCTTCTTAGCCTCCTCAGTTACATGTAGCCATTGCCAGCTCACCACATCTGTATAATTCCTGTCACCCAGGGCTGCTATACAAAATCAGGCCTACCCAACTACCAGACTCCGCACCTACGGATCCAGAATAAACCGGTATATCAGACCACACTACCCATTTTCAAGGTGTGTCAGATCGCATTACAGAGTATCAGCCACCACACCGATTTTGCCTGGTGTGCGATGTGATAGCGATGATCCTAAGCTGGGTTGGAAAGTAAGGCATCTCATCTAGATTCATGCGCTGCTGCAATTTTTCCTGTTGAACAGTGTTTATGCTAAAAATCTGACAATACCGCAATTTTTTAACATAAAATTTAGGTTCGAACATAGCCAATGATGTTTTGTAAATAAGAACTTGCAAACTTATATATTAATTTAGAAAAGTAGACCTAATTTTGATAGCAGAAGCATATTCTGTCGGGGGTTAAATATAGTTTTCATGGCTAGCGGGATGGACTAGATTGACGGAGCAAGCATGCTGTATGATGAGAGTTTTCTACTGGTGCTACAAGATGAAGGTAATTTACCATTTCAATAATAGTTTTTTCACCGACTACCGTCTGTCGCCATGTTGTTGTAGTCATACAACTCCTACTTGACAAAAACGAGGTGCGATACCCGGATGACGGGTAGGCCTACAAAATTTGTGATGGGATATGATACTCTGCAATGCGATCTGACACACACCTTGAAAACGGGTAGTGTGGTCTGATATACCGGTTTATTCTGGATCCGTAGGTGCCGAGTCTGGTAGTTGGGTAGGCCTGAAAATGTCCCGCCATTTTCTTGTGGGATAACAAGGCAATGCTTGTGACAGTAGATGTTATTCGTTTTGACTGGCCAGCCATTTAAAACTGAAGTATTAAATAAAAAATGGAATAAAACATCAAATCCAAGAGCAGGGATGGGTCAAGCAATAGTTTATGAGACTCGAAGTAGAGAACAATTGCTTTTTTCCTCATGAAAATTCATTTTGGCGGGCACTTTTTCCCACTTACTTCACCAATGCCCCAAAAATTAAGATTTGCTCAATTTAAGGGTCAGTCAGGCTCATTGTGTTACAAACTTTCCAAGTTTGTCTTGTCCAAGGTGAACTTTGTCATCGGTTTTCAAGTATTGAAAACATAATCCAAGTACGTTTTATTAATTTTTTTTTTAATATTTTGTATCAGTGAGTCAGAACTTTTGAATGCTCGTATTTGTGGTTAAGAGAAGATGAGAGGTAAATGCAGTTGAAACAACTTCTTGGCAATCCTTAGGTTGCCATACAATAGAATTTTCAGGGAGAAGGATTGAAAATGTCAACCACATTGTGTGTGAAGTTGAAGTTCATTGGAAACAGTCTCAGCTGTACGTGGCGGTGCAAGTGATTTTTTTCCTGTTATTGTTAGTATTGTTTTGTCAAGGACTGCCTGGAATTCTGTGCTTGTGTCAGAACTGTGACATTTGAATGTTTGTGCTGAAGATTTTAATAGTTGCTTTTCCATGTACGATTTAGTTGCAGTTTTCTTTGAAAACCAATTATTTCTACGTGCAAATGAAATCTATCTATACACTCTTTATATGAATGATTCTTCTCAATATGAATGTTTGTGTACCAGTAAAATGTTCATATCTTAAATATCAAATATATCAAATTTCTTCAGTAGATTTGTAACTAAAGAGACCTTATAGTAATGCTTTTTTTAACTTTCTGAACTCATGAAATAGGTTTTTATATATGTAAAGACAATTTTTTAAAAATGAATTCTATTACTGGACTAACATTGCTCTATTTGATGAAATTGTGTCTCCCTCTCGGGGACTTCAGCTGGTCTACTGAGAATACAGGTGAACTATTCTCAGTCCGGTTATGTATTTCACAAACTGTAGACAAATGTTAGTCTAGTATTGAATTTTAAAAATTTCTTTATGTAAAAAAGACTGGATGACTAGTATACATGATANCTCTAGTTAAAAGTAGATTTAGCTGTAGTCAGGATGCTGGGAAAAGATCCACTCTGAATCAGAATTATTTAAAAATATGTTAATAAGATGAGGTTATGCAGAAAAAGGCCCTACTTTTCAGAAAAAAAGCCACCCCTACCATGTTTTTAGTGGCTACTGGCCTGACTTTATTGTGGTAGAATATAAATCAAAAGGTGGTTTTCAAGTTGTCAAACCACTCAAAAATAAATTATATGCAAGGGAACTGCTTGTATGTTATAACCTAATTCAAAAATTGGATATTTAATTTCATCTTGTTTATGTTACATTTGATTAAATTATTATCTAAATGCATGTGTTTTTGAAACATCTGCCATACTGGTATTCCTTCCTAATTTCTAACTAGACAACCGTTTCCAAGGCCTTGTTCAAGCCATGAGTGGCCGTCTGCCACAATCACGTCTTAACCAATCAAAATGATGAAATACAACCTCTGTCCTAGATTGCAGTCTAGCTGTCAGTCTTATTGTACGTCTCATCTCTAGCTTCAGTGTGCTGAGTGTGTCACAGGTAGAACATGAGCCTATAAAAAAAGACGAACATTGTGGTTTTAACGTGGGCAAAACCTTTATGTTCTGAAAACCTTTTTACTTTCATTGGAGAGGTATTGTGTTCAGAATGCTAGTACATGTAATACATGTATACTTGAATGCCATGAGTAGTTTGGTAATACTTTTAAACAGTCCATTTCATGTGAAATTTAAATTGACAATTTTGACCTTTTGAAAGAACATAAGAGTAGAAATCACGGGGTGACCGTGTAGTGATCTGTTCAAAGCAAGGGCAGTTTTCTGCTCATATTTGATCAGACTTTAAATAGCTCCATTTACTGTGCCCATTTATAGTCGGTATTCCCTTCTCATTCCAGTGCAGACACTGCTTTCATTCTTTTCCTTCTTAGTTGTAAAAACATATATAGACACCTGATATAGGTGAGTGCAGGTACTAATGCATTTGAATTCATGAAATAATTTTTTGTTTTTTCTTGTTTCAGTTCTAGGCATACCAGATGAAAAAAATGAGAAACCACAAGCAACCATATTGAGGCAATACACATACTTAGTACGTTGGAAATTGGGAGATCTTAAACAATATAAGGAATGTGAACTCAGTTATGGTGCAGACCTTAGCAATAATCTCACAGTTGTGCAGTATATAGTGCCTGCCAGCATTGTGCAAGGATATGAACTAAATAATTTAAGTGCTCATGCCAAGTATACTGTGAGAATTGTATGTTATAGAAATAATGGGTCTCCAATCAATAGCACAGTGGATTTTATTACAAGTAAGTACTTCATGATTAGTATTGTTTTACACTTAAATTACAAGTCACAGAAGGTACTGTGAAAGTCTTTTGATTTTCTAACAGACATGTTTTCAAGTTCGTGTTCAAAGTTTTAAAAAACAGTTAAGTATTCTGAATGAATAATATATACCTGGACCCTTACTAGTAAGGTTGTTTTGTGTAGACTTCATGTTTATTTTCATGTCACTGCTTCATGAAAACATGAAAACCAAATGTAGTATTCCAACTGTTATTTCAGATGGCTCATTGGAAGATGTGACTACACAACAGACAGGAGTCAATACAGAGACAAAAAGATCTATAATTTCCACAGTCACTAGTACTGAATATCCCTCAGTTTTAAAGGAAAAGATATCTTATGGTATGCTAAACAAAGTAGACATTACTCTTGGTGTTATCTTTGGTATTGTTGGGATAACAATAGTTGCTGGTGGAACGTTTTATATTTGGAGGAAGGTACGCAGATACAACAGGATACAGAGATTTGTTGGGTATGTATCTACATAAGTTTTAAATGTAAACTACACTTACTGTAGAAGGTTTATTTTTCTTCAAGAGCACCATATCTGAAATTGAGATGTTACAAAGCAGAAAAAAGGGAGAATAAAAACCCCATAAGTTGCCAAAAATCACTCACTAGAATTTGAGAAATTTTGCTGGACTGATTATATTAAACATGGTTTGGGGGACTGACGAAAATTATATCTGTTGGAAAGGAGACAGTGTGCATAAAAAACACCATTTTAGGTATATTCCACCTATTTGACCCCCACCCCTACACCCAAGTCATTTTATGTCCTGTAAAGCTTCTTATATTTCCCAATTCTGACTCTTAAGAAGAACCTTTTAAATAAAAGTTTATCTGAAGTGTACCTAGTGTTGTTATTATCTTCTTAGCCTCCTCAGTTACATGTAGCCATTGCCAGCTCACCACATCTGTATAATTCCTGTCACCCAGGGCTGCTATACAAAATGTCATGCCATTTTCTTGTGGGATAACAAGGCAATGCTTGTGACAGCAGATGTCATTCTTTTTGACTGGCCAGCCATTTAAAACTGAAGTATTAAATAAAAAATGGAATAAAACATCAAATCCAAGAGCAAGGATGGGTCAAGCAATAGTTTATGAGACTCAAAGTAGAGAACAATTGCTTTTTACCTCATGAAAATTCATTTTGGCGGGCACTTTTTCCCACTTATTTCACCAATGCCCCAAAAATTAAGATTTGCTCAATTTAAGGGTCAGTTACGCTCATTGTGTTCCAAACTTTCCAAGTTTGTCTTGTCCAAGGTGAACTTTGTATTGAAAACATAATCCAAGTACGTTTTATTAATTTTTTTTAAATATTTTGTATCAGTGAGTCTGAACTTTTGAATGCTCGTATTTGTGGTTAAGAGAAGATGAGAGGTAAACGCAGTTGAAAAAACTTCTTGGCAATCCTTAGGTTGCCATACAATAGAATTTTCAGGGAGAAGGATTGAAAATGTCAACCACATTGTGTGTGAAGTTGAAGTTCATTGGAAACGGTCTCAGCTGTACGTGGTGGTGCAAGTGATTTTTTTTTCCTGTTATTGTATTGTTTTGTCAAGGACTGCCTGGAATTCTGTGCTTGTGTCAGAACTGTGACATTTGAATGTTTGTGCTGAAGATTTTAATAGTTGCTTTTCCATGTACGATTTAGTTGCAGTTTTCTTTGAAAACCAATTATTTCTACGTGCAAATGTAATCTATCTATACACTCTTTAAATGAATGATTCTTCTCAATATGAATGTTTGGGTACCAGTAAAATGTTCATATCTTAAATATCAAATATATCAAATTTCTTCAGTAGATTTGTAACTAAAGAGACCTTATAGTAATGCTTTTTTTAACTTTCTGAACTCATGAAATAGGTTTTTATATATGTAAAGACAATTTTTTAAAAATAAATTCTATTACTGGACTAATGTTGCTCTATTTGATGAAATTGCGTCTCCCTCTCGGGGACTTCAGCTGGTCTACTGAGAATACAGGTGAACTATTCTCAGTCCGGTTATGTATTTCGTAAACTGTAGACAAATGTTAGTCTAGTAATAGAATTTAAAAACTTTTCTTTATGTAAAAAAGACTGGATGACTAGTATACATGGTATTTATGTATTTACTTTTTTTCATAATTCTCATATTTATAATAAAGACAGGGCAATTTATGTTGTTCAGTGCCATTGTGTGTTTGCATACTACCAATGTTTTCTAAATTGATTGAAATTATTTGGAAAAAAAATGCAATTTTTTTTTCATGGCAATATTCTAATTGATCCGACAATATTAAATTACTGTAAATCACATTGGAGTATAATATAGGATTTGGATATTTTATAGAATTCAGTTCATTCTTACTATGCTCATCTCAGAATAAAATTTAATGGACATTGTGGGTGATTTTATCACTAAATTTCAGAAACCGTACGTCAGACAGTAATCCTTTCCAAAGTTTACGTCAGGAGGAAGAAGAAGAAGACACATGGAGTGGGACATTGATGACCTGAAGTATTAACAGGACATTGGTATGGATGTCACACTCTGTTTATCAGTATGGCCAACCACAGCAATGAATATGAAGCCACTGGTTGCCACAGAACCTCAGCTGATTCCAAAGAAGTAAAAAGTTTCTCAGTCTGCTGGGTAGTATTTTATCTGAAGTAACCAGAATGACTACACATAAGAGGTGAACAATTTCAGCACTGGCTTTAAATGATAATGGGAAAAAAACTGTTGCCATGGCAGAAGACCTCGTGGTAGTTTGGATGCCTAAGTGCTGGTAATTGATGAAAATATTGATGTACCTTCAACCCATTAAAAAATCTGCTCTTGTGAAAATGTTAAAATTAACATATTTAAGTACATGGTAATATTATATGTAAACCAGTTATGACATATAATCCATTATGCAAAAAGGGATTATGCACTATTATAACTGAATAATGCACATATTCATTTGCAGCTGTTATCATGTTCGCTGCAATGAGTGGGTTCTGCAGTTAACATCTCTGTGTCACAAAAGAATGTTATGTGGCAAGTGAGATGTCTTTTTTATGCACAGACGTGGTGGTTTGTGTGTATATTAACATAGCCTGTGTATTTGTCTGCAACACCAAGATAGGACATGCACATCTCCTGCTACCTCAATAATGGAAAGCAATATTGCTATTTTGCTTCAAATTCTCTGTGCTTATTCACTGGCATTGGCATTGAAATGAAGGTTTAGAGTGAAAATCGTGACCTGATTATTCTTTGTATTTTTTCTATAACATTTTATAAGTACGATAATTTTGATCTCATGGACACTATATTATCCAGATTGCCTGTCTGATTTAACTGAAACCTGCTAGGAATAACCATGGACCCGAAATGATGGCCAATTTTAAAAATAGGTGTGATCTGCTTATTATTCTTTATTCATTATTATTTTTGATGATTTTGACAAAAGACAATTGGACCATTGGCTGTCCTGTCCTGATTACAGCTACAGTTATTTTTAAAAAGGAATGTTTTTTCCTAATATTTAAAATGAGATATGTTGTCTGTACATTTGTCAGCCTTACTTGGCTTGTTTCATACTTAGTACTGGTACATTAAAAAGATGGGTGCCATAATCAGGGTATTCAGCATGATATTGCTATAAATTACTTTCTTTTATAACACGCAAGCTCCTCACAAAATTCACTAGAATTTTTTGTAAAAAGGATCAGTGGATCATGTCCATTTATACAGCACCTGCAATATGATCCTTTACTCTCCAGCTTCCTGCAAATATTTTGCATTCAGGCTACACAAAATTTAAGGGGCTTTATAAACCGATTTGGTATAATTTTATATATCTGTTGGAATTTAATCGTTTCAAAATGATGTATGAACTTAACAGACAAAATGGTGTGAAAAATGAAGACAGAAATATTGAATTTGTCGGTATATTTAATGTTTTCACAAATGTCACTGTGATTAAAAGGAAGATCATTAATGGTCTCTGACTTAAAATGACCTCCGAGTCTCCGACCTTAACCAGGAACAATGGCCTGGTGAGTTCGTGGTACCCACCGATCATTTTCTTGAATCTTAAAATGATTTTTTTTTTTTGGTTGAAAACCCAAGGTGAAATTCACATGGTGTGTTATCATATCTTATGAGATTTCAAAAACAAACATACAAACAAAAAACCAACAAGTCAGCTGGTCTGAAATACAGGGTAGTAAGTGGTCTGCTGCCGTCTATGTAAAACTAAAACGAGATTTTAAATCTTGAGACTAATTTCCAAAGATGTACCTTGACATGTCTGAACAATATGAATGTATTAGAAAATTTAATATGAATATACATGCCATCTGTTTATTGGAAGTCGCTATTATGTAAGCATATTGGGGAACGTGTTATGTATTTGTCGTGACTACATGTAATGTATTGATGTTATTTCACCAGTTAAACTAGTGAGGAGCAAAGAATACTCGCGGATGTCTTTAAAGTAAGACAATCTTTTTGTACAACAGATTTATTAAAAGATTTAACAAATAGCATATCGTATGTGGTTCATTTACCTTGGTTGTATATCACGATCATGTATTTCCATGCAAATTGGAGCAATATCAGACTAGGATACATTTGAGGTTACTCATTAAACTCAAATAAACGGAATATATTCATGTAACGGTAACTTTAATTATGGTTTTTTTTTTATTTAACGGAAGCAGTATTAAGTGTAAGTGCATTCAGTGCTATGATAAGTCTCTCTTCATGTCAATTTCATAGTGTCCAGAATTAATGTGTATATATGAATTACCGTGAATATGTTTTACTCTTGGGTAAGCATAAAGGAATCAGTTGCTGCTGTTGGGCACTTCTAAAGTTTAACAGAAGAGTGAGTGGGCAACAATCTTTACAGAATGTTGGGAAACAGCCTTCCTATTTAACCAAAAAGAAATAAATGCATCATCTTGAAAACGTTTCATATCGTTTTTGTTTTTCTTCTCTCCAATCGCACCTGTGACCTCAAGATTTCCATAAATACCTTCTTTTTTTTTTTTTTTTTTTTNCAAAAAGGGATTATGCACTATTATAACTGAATAATGCACATATTCATTTGCAGCTGTTATCATGTTCGCTGCAATGAGTGGGTTCTGCAGTAGTCATCTCTGTGTCACAAAAGAATGTTATGTGGCAAGTGAGATGTCTTTTTTATGCACAGACGTGGTGGTTTGTGTGTATATTAACATAGCCTGTGTATTTGTCTGCAACACCAAGATAGGACATGCACATCTCCTGTTACCTCAATAATGGAAAGCAATATTGCTATTTTGCTTCAAATTCTCTGTGCTTATTCACTGGCGTTGGCATTGAAATGAAGGTTTAGAGTGAAAATCGTGACCTGATTATTCTTTGTATTTTTTCTATAACATTTTATAAGTACAATAATTTTGATCTCATGGACACTGTATTATCTAGATTGCCTGTCTGATTTAACTGAAACCTGCTAGGAATAACCATGGACCTGAAATGATGGCCAATTTTAAAAATAGGTGTAATCTGCTTATTATTTTTTATTCATTATTATTTTTGGTGATTTTGACAAAAGACAATTGGACCATTGGCTGTCCTGTCCTGATTACAGCTACAGTTATTTTTAAAAAGGAATGTTTTTTCCTAATATTTAAAATGAGATATGTTGTCTGTACATTTGTCAGCCTTACTTGGCTTGTTTCATACTTAGTACTGGTACATTAAAAAGATGGGTGCCATAATCAGGGTATTCAGCATGATATTGCTATAAATTACTTTCTTTTATAACACGCAAGCTCCTCACAAAATTCACTAGAATTTTTTGTAAAAAGGATCAGTGGATCATGTCCATTTATACAGCACCTGCAATATGATCCTTTACTCTCCAGCTTCCTGCAAATATTTTGCATTCAGGCTACACAAAATTTAAGGGGCTTTATAAACCGATTTGGTATAATTTAATATATCTGTTGGAATTTAATCGTTGCAAAATGATGTATGAACTTAACAGACAAAATGGTGTGAAAAATGAAGACAGAAATATTGAACCTGTCGGTATATTTAATGTTTTCACAAATGTCACTGTGATTAAAAGGAAGATCATTAATGGTCTGACTTAAAATGACCTCCGACCTTAACCAGGAACAATGGCCTGGTGAGTTCGTGGTACCCACCGATCATTTTCTTGAATCTTAAAATGATCTTTTTTTTGGTTGAAAACCCAAGGTGAAATACACATGGTGTGTTATCATATCTCATGAGATTTCAAAAACAAACATACAAACAAAAAACCAACAAGTCAGCTGGTCTGAAATACAGGGTAGTAAGTGGTCTGCTGCCGTCTATGTAAAACGAGATTTTAAATCTTGAGACTAATTTCCAAAGATGTACCTTGACATGTCTGAACAATATGAATGTATTAGAAAATTTAATATGAATATACATGCCATCTGTTTATTGGAAGTCGCTATTATGTAAGCATATTGGGGAACGTGTTATGTATTTGTCGTGACTACATGTAATGTATTGATGTTATTTCACCAGTTAAACTAGTGAGGAGCAAAGAATACTCGCGGATGTCTTTAAAGTAAGACAATCTTTTTGTACAACAGATTTATTAAAAGATTTAACAAATAACATATCGTATGTGGTTCATTTACCTTGGTTGTATATCACGATCATGTATTTCCATGCAAATTGGAGCAATATCAGACTAGGATAAATTTGAGGTTGCTCATTAAACTCAAATAAACGGCATATACTCATGTAACGGTAACTTTAATTATGGGTTTTTTTATTCAACGGAAGCAGTATTAAGTGTAAGTGCATTCAGTGCTATGATAAGTCTCTCTTCATGTCAATTTCATAGTGTCCAGAATTAATGTGTATATATGAATTACCGTGAATATGTTTTACTCTTGGGTAAGCATAAAGGAATCAGTTGCTGCTGTTGGGCACTTCTAAAGTTTAACAGAAGAGTGAGTGGGCAACAATCTTTACAGAATGTTGGGAAACAGCCTTCCTGTTTAACCAAAAAGAAGTAAATGCATCATCTTGAAAACGTTTCATATTGTTTTTGTTTTTCTTCTCTCCAATCGCACCTGTGACCTCAAGATTTCCATAAATACCTTCTTTTTTTTTTTTTTTGATACGTCTAATGTTTGGTACTGTGTCGTGTAAACATTTTGTGTAAACTTCAAATAGTTTTAAATGTCGAAACCGTTAGATTATACATATTTCCCTTTTTTATACGAAATATAAAGCATTCCCAGTTCAATTTTTTGTTAATAAATAATGCAAATTTCAGTACATAGTTTAAATTACTATTAAAAGCTTTAACCTTTTGTTTACATACAGTCAGTTTGTTGTTGAACTTTAAACTTCTAGTTGGAATGGCTTGTAAGGAGTAAACAGTTTACTAAACAGGGGCTTGCAGTGTTTAATGGAGGGGTTGGCGGTCAACTGTTAAATTCGTCCACTTTTCCCTGCCTGTCAATCGCGTTTGCAGTGGACGCGTTCAGTTCGTCCATTTTTGAGAAGGTATAAATACAGCTGCTCTGCGCTGAGTATGCCAGTATATCAGTGTAGCACTAGCAGTAGAAAGTAAAGTATAGCATAGCTGGCGCCAGATTCATTATTTAATTTATTCTGTCAGTGAATAGCTACTCAGCTAATGTTTGTACTTTCATTCTCTCCGACATGAAATAAACGTTATTGTATTGTATTGTATTGTATTGTATTGTATTGTATTGTACAAATACCCGGTAGATGTGACTTGAAAAAGAACAGTGTTCTCAGAAAAGAAAAGAAAAAAAACTGATTTTATGTGTTGTGCGTTTTTTTCCACGAAAGTACACCGCACTGGTGACAGCAATTTTTTTCAAGAAAAGTCCCTAAAAATGTTCCTAGACAAAACTCTAGACCAGATAAGAGTGCTACAAAACCTTACAATACATTAGATTTTGAATACAGTAGGCCTACTTTTGTTCTTGTCATTTAATCTATATCCCGTCTGCTATTTTAATTCTATTGGTGTCTCCTTCTCCGGCGTCATGCCATTGATAAAAAACATTATGCCACGGAAGATGAAAAGATGGTGGATCTCGTCAGGCAAGAATCTTGATCGCATCACGCCCGTCGACATCCGCCCTCGCGTGTATGTCAGGCCTCGCTGACCTGTGGTTTACATGTGTCTATTACGTTACAGTCAGATTATCTTTACCTACATAATACATAATATTTGGTTGTTATTTAAAAATATTAATAAACAATTTATATCAAACACCTCTATCAACATCTTCAACGCCTCCTTCAAATACCTAACGGACATCAGTTAAATTCGTCATTAGTTGTCCTTTTCACTTAGGTGACATTTTAGATGCTAATTCTAAGTTATTTAACCACGAAAACCATCCCATTGTACACATACCAATTGTACGCATAGAGACAATGATTGAGAAATGTCAACTTACCACATTAATTTAAAACCAGTATTTCTTTTGCATTTGTGAGAAAAACTCAAGCCAGCGCTATGGTGACACATTGGCCGCCTACTTGTTTTCCCTTCAAATATCACTTTGCAGTCCAAACGTCGTACTCAAGTATACTTGTATCAGTAGACAAAATCTAGGGAATATCAACATACAACTTGAATTAAAAATTAACATCTTGCTTATTTTTGCAAGTACCAGGCGGAAGTTAGAGCGGTTTTTGTTCTTGGTATTATGAAGCGTATTAAGCCCTAAACGTTTTCCCCCCTAAATCTTTAACCGCAAGAAAAAATACTCAAAATAACATACAGATAATGGCTCTAAAATCAAAGCTACTATCAACTTATAACTAGGTAAAAAGGGGATACGTGCAACCTAAACCATTCACCCTGGGGTCACTCGTCCCAATTACGGCATTGTCAATGATTCTTAATATCCATGGTACCTGTCGTGCATAATTAGAATTTGGCGTTGATTTTGCTGTTAAGTATTTTGTAATATTGCAACAAAATTGAGCAAATAACCTATCCTATGCATCATTATTTTCTGCTTTGTCTGTATATTTGGCAGCTTTGCTGCTTTGTTTTACTCCAAGTCACAGATAAAGTATCATATTTAAAATGCAGTTCAATTCAGTTTTATGCACACGCTTTTTGGTATTATACACTGTACGCGTGTTAAGAGATTGTTCGTCACTGTCCCTAGTCTCTCTAGGAGCGACACACGCTTCGTCTTAGGCCTCTTCAGAATGCCTGTGAACTCTTATTTGACCATCTTGGCGGTAATTATGAAATTTGACCTCAATAGTGAATATCACATGGTTCCAAAGTTTTGCTCGAAACCACTGATGGTACCCAATTCATTAGAGGAATGAACGACGATGTTGTCTGTTGTAGTAACCTGCCATAACCTATCTGGCGTTCGACAAGCGCCTTGAAAAACGCTTTCTGGTGACAATATGCCCCTTATTCTGAAGTTGCTTTTGTTTAGTTGTAGCAGTAAAACTGTAAGAACAATGGGTCCTGTTTTCTGGTGGTAAGTTGTGGATAACCTGGGCGTGGTCGCTTCGTAGGTACACCAGTGTGGGCATACCTCTGAAAGACTGTGGGTATCGTTTCTTTTGACACAATAATCTGTCTGACGATGTGTGTCTGGTTCGCGCCATTCTGGCGCAGAGCACCAATGCTGTGAAACACTAGACAACATTTTGAAAATAATTGAAAGACGATAAAAGGTGTTTTTTCTTGTAGTGATTGCTTCGTTCAATTCACGCAACGTTAAACTAGCTACTTGTATGTAAAATTTCACAATCATCTTAGCAGGTGTTGCCGAAATATGGAGACAAATATATACAGAACTATGCTCTATTATAGTCATACTGGGACCAGCCCAAAAGAATACTGCCCAAAAAATCACGGCATATTCCGTAATGCAGGAGTGCTACAGAC